ACTTTATATTTTTCACTTTTTGTTGGTTTTAAGCTGTTTTCTTGCATCAAATAATTTGCTTGTTGATTTTAAAAGCAATAGCATGCAGAAAATGGTATATAGCACAATTGTGTAAATGTTGTTTGAATTAGTGATGGGAAATATCAAACACTTCTGTCGATAAATAGCCGTAATACAATTTGTCAAAGGGTTTACAACCACAGTACCATGTCCACAGGTGCATGTTATGTGCATACGCATACGAGCATGCAGGCAGGTACGAACACACTCACACAGACACTCTCTCTCTATCTCTTGCAAACACATATGCACAGACACTTTGCACATCACACACTTTGCACCATAGTTACACTTAAGAGCCAAGGTTAATTGTGTTCTCCACCAAATAGACCTGCTAATATCCTGCTTAATAATGAGGTTACCAATTCACCAACAAGGTGATCTCACTAACTAGCTGGGCCCACTGCCTCTATTTCTGCAAACAAACACACACACACACACACACACACACACACACACACACACACACACACACACACACACACACACACACACACACACACACACACACACACACACACACACACACACGCATACAGATAATAGAGAGGACGAAAGCAATTATCAATTCAAATGTTCTATGCAATGACTCATTTTGAACCTGGAAGTGATTCTGCCTAAAGCAGTTTATTATCATCACTCTATTCACAAGAAAACAACAAAAGTATGAACTAAAATAGTAAAAAAAAAAGAAAAAATGGTCATGAAAATGTTTTTACTTAGCAACTTGTCTGTATGAATTTGAATATTGAACTAGAATTGTTTTTATTTTCGTGGCATGTTTTGACCCCTCATTCCCCACACAGGGGACTTGTTGCCAAAGGGTAAACTGTGTAGACTGTCGGTTTTGAATGTCCACCATCATGTTGCTTTGAAGCATGGGTTTGCTTGGCTTTGTCTGGCTGTTTGTAAGCCCTCATTCAGTTTTTGTGCGTTTTGGCTGACATGGGCTCCTCAGTGTTTGGCTTGCAGTGACTGTCTGTGCTGCTATAAACCTGTGATACAGATGGCCAGCACTTCTCATTAATAATTGTCAATGTACATATTGGGTGTCAGTATAATCTGTGGGGTGAATGGAATGCTTCTAATGGATATTTCATTGTTGATTAAATCACTCAGCAGCCAAGCCATTGGAAAGGTGCATGGTTAGATCTTATATTCTTGGAAGTGTACCTGAATTAAAAAAAGGTAAGGCATGATTACACCAAGGTTTGCCTAACGAACCTTGACTTTCACAGGCCAACGTAGAGAATATTGATGAGTAAAATGTTCAGCCAGTCACTCACCAATCAGGGCATGTCATTTTGAAAGCACAAGCCTGACTGGAAGCACTAGTTGCTCAATGAAATGCAGAAATATGGAGGTTACATAACAGTGCCTCCAACTGAACAGTGTAAGATCTAAATCAAAGCAAGAGGTGGAAATGCTATCTGGCAGATATTAGGTGCACGAGACAAAACAGCCTTTAGTGCAGCCGTCTGATTGACTGACACACATTCTTACTGTAAATACAAAATCATTCTTCTGTACAGCTTTTGAGTTCTGAGTACGGCTGTCATGTGCATCCCCATGCCGTATTTGCTGCCAACTTTTGTGTATAAAAAGAATATTTATTACCACAATAATGAGGATGATGATGAAACTAATGATAATAATGATTATTATTGCATAAGCATAGTGTATGTGGCTGACTTGTATTGACTGTTTACAACAGTGGAACAAAACGTGTGTTCAGAAACATATTCAGTCTGTGTATAGTTTCTATACATATTGTGTTTGTAGAACAAGAAAAAGGACCCTCCTCAGCATTTGCAGAGCAGAATGCCTTTGAAAGGCATCAGGAGGTCTTCGATTAAATGGATATGATCTGCAAGGTGATGAGGGTAAAGGGATGCAGTGAAAAAAAATGAAACAAAAAATCTGGAAAATGTCATTCACTGTTGTAAGTGCAATGGGCAAAATGTCAGTCGTGTATCCATTGTGAAACCTTGTGTTCTATTCAGTGTATTCCTGTAAACAGATAGAGTAAATTTTGGTGCATCATGTCAAGTAATGTGATTAATGAAAAATATTGACCCTGCAATTTCCAAACAGAGAGAAGAATAAAAAGAAAAGGAATATATTGTGGTTATTGTCTTCAGTCTGTGTGTGTGTGTGTGTGTGTGTGTGTGTGTGTGTGTGTGTGTGTGTGTGTGTGTGTGTGTGTGTGTGTGTGTGTGTGTGTGTGTGTGTGTGTGTGTGTGTGTGTGTGTGTGTGTGTGTGTGATTGAGGTGTTAGTGTGTCAGATTTGTGACTGAGTCTGCATGTTTGTATCAGGAAGAGAGAGATAATTGGAATATTCATCCATCCATCCATCTTTCGTGTCTTCAGTCATGTTTGAATGTAGCCTATGGTAAATGCAAACAGTGCAAAAGTATGTATTCTTTAAAAAAACAATATCACCGTTTTTTTTTTTAAGGATTGAAATGTATACCGAGAAAACAGAGGTATCCATGAATTTTCACCCTTGACAAAACGTACATTATCCACAATGCAACTCGATCATAGACCCTTCAGTTGGGGACATGTTGTGTTGTGCTATAGCGGCTTATGTAGTATTGAGCAGTTAGCCACAAACGGACATGGTAAGCTACAGATTCCCAAATGTATTTTATTTTCAGACTTGTTTTATTTTCAGACCTGTAATCCTAAGAACCAACCAATGCTGACTCAAGTGACATATTTTGAAGTCATTTATCAGATGTCAAGCATCTTCCTCTAGAGTCACAAAAGGCTCTGTACAACTTTGTTTCTTTTTTAATATGGCAGTTGTACTCTCAAAGATCAGTTAACACAACCCATTCTGCAGCCTTCATATCCCTCAGAGCAAAGCATAACAGTAATGGTTACATCTGCAGATCTTTGCTGCCCTCATCTGGTTAGATACATAAGTGGAAGCAGGATACATACATTTACCTCTAAAAGATATGTTCTATTTAAAAAAATTAAAATGTTCCTACTTTGAAAAAGCAAGTAGTGTTAACTGTCAAATGTAATATATTACTGTACAAAGTACTAATGGTATTCAAGAGTGGAAACAAGGAAAGACTAGAAATTGTACCTTTTGCAGCTGAAGTCACGTTGGTAGGCAGACTCTTGAATTCATTATGAACCAAGTTAAAGTCTTGAGTTGGGGTTGGTGTCTGGAAAGGGTTTGGAAATATTATCAATGCATTTAGGCTGTCATTTGGCTTCACAAATCAATAATATACTGTATGTATGAACATATCTCAAAATAGCGAAGTGTAAAAATCCCTAATAAAACCAATATAAATGTTAATGTAAATGCTATATCCTTGATGTTAATCCTGCATCTAAAAGGTCAATCATATGGTCATCATTTTCAAAGACTACACTAAGATGTGAAAAGATTGACCTGAACTTTCACCTAATTCTGCGGCTAAAACAAGGTCAATGGTTTCTTTAATGAAGTCAGTCTCTGTACTATGACCTAATTGAAAGCTTGACAGATCTCCAAGCCTTAAAATATGAGCAGAATCTCGGGAAGAAATATCCGATGGTATTTCAAAGATTTAGACTCTTCTTTTCTTACTTGTGAAGTTGAACTGCGAGAAACAAAATGGAAAGTGCCAGTTTCAAGAGAGCTATTGACCCTGCTGTACCATACAATAACCAATCGCACAAAAGCAATTTTAAAAGAAAGCGAGTGAGGACTTCATACAAGATATATTTTGTGTTGAAGATGATCGCAACATAGGTCAACAAAGGTTAAAACACCACTAAAGCTTCTGTATTAACTGACCCATAAATGAAAGTGTTGTGAAGCCTTAAGTGCTCAATCTTTGATCTACAGTAACAAGGATTTATTGCTCGGCCTGACCGCCAACTCTACAGCACTGGTGTCTAACTTGTTTCCCCCTTCAGGTCTATAGTGAAGCGTATTTCACATCATGATATATAAATGTGCTGATCAACCCTCCGCAAAGACTGTTGGAGGTCACTCACTCTTTGTTACTTAATAGACATTTCTCTGTTTCAGTTTTTTTCTTTTTAAACAACAGTCTTTTAACTGAGCCATCTATGTCCCATCTCTCATTAAAGAGCAGGGGAATGTTTGTATACAGCAGGTTGATTAATGGTTTTTCATAACTGTCCTCAGTTATACATCTCTTGACCTAGACATCCTCTTCTCAATAGCATGAATTAAACTATAATTGCGAGACTTGCATTCATCCATTTCCTGAAAGCCATGACGAGAGCTTCAGCATCTGAAGATTAACAGGTCATTTCCATCAGGGATGACATCTGAGGAACATTGTGACTCAGCCTCAAGTGATAAGAAGTGTGACACAGAGAGGTAGAGGAACGGAGAATGACTCATTTTGCAAATTCATTAATTATTTTTCATTGCTACAGCCAAAGTGCACTTGCACATCACCATAGTTGAGCCAATCTCTTCGAATTAAGCTGAATCAAAGGAGGAATCACGGCTCAGGTTTTCCTCGCCCACCTGCCACTCACAGTCTTAATCTGCGTGATTGCCAGGCACTCCTACAGACTGTATAATCAATACGCAACACTTTAATAAGGAAACAATCCTTTTCCAGGCATGTGTGCTCAGGGTTTTCCTTGTGGAGCATTGCTGTCTCACTTAAATAAAGGTTGAATAATCTTGAATACATCAATTTAGAAATAAATATAACTTTGGATAATTGCATGGCATAAACCACCTCAAGTGCTTCTGTTATACATTATTATTAAACCCTTTAAAATGGTGTATAAGAAGATGCCGCTCACAGTTTTAAGTACCAGTGTCTTATCCTTGTACAATTAAATAATTTGGGCAAACAACAGTACGCATGCTCAAAGCCTATGCCAATGAAAGTTGATGGCACAAATGTAATGTCACGTGGTACTAATTACTTGTTTCCCAACTGCGATTTGATTGGCTGTTTGCCAAATGCTGCGGTAGTTAGCAGAAGTGAGTATTACTTTTACAGATGTTAATACATTTTGAGACCATAATAACAACATCAAAAGTTTGGTCACTATGAAAAAACACGAGTTTAAACACCTTGGTGCCGATCAGCCGTGGGACATTGTTACAAACCAGCTAGCTGATGAATAGTCAGATTTTACATTGAGTGGTTTTACAGGAAAAACCTCCTAGCTTGCCATGGACTCTGTTGTGCTTCCCGTAATTGGTATGCGTCGGAGATAGTACTAACTTTGGGTCATGGACTTTCAGGATCTCAAGCATCTTGTTGAGAGGATCACCAAACCTCAAAGCACCAGAACAACGCGATGAAATTGGGCTTCTCGTAGGAGCAAACACCCAAACTGCGCATTTAACCTAACCTGGACTGGAGAAATTCAACAGCAGATTGATATCAGGTATGTGCTCAGTCAGGTTATCACCTTTTTTAAACTGTGGGAAATGTTAAATTATTTATTAAAAGTAAAGTTCTCTCTACCTTTTGCAGCTGTGGAGAGAAACTGTTATAGTTGTTGTCCCGCCATGTTTTGCATTCATAAACATCTATAGGCTACACTGAAAAGCAGTGTGAAGTTGGCCTTTTTAGGAGATTGCTGACATACATACATACATACAGTACAGTACAGTACAGCACATACATACAGTACATACAGTACATACATACATACATACATACATACATACATACATACATACTGTACATACTGTACATACATACATACAGATGTATCATGATGAGACTATCTTTTTTTATAATTTCATATTAATTTACTCGACTAAGAAAACTTTGGAGCTCCATAAAATGCAAGGAAGACATCTCTTGTTCTTGTATCCTTCACAATAAGACATTAATGTATTTTCTTTTAATTTGTGAACATCATTATTTGTCATGCAGTCATATAAGCAGTTTATAAGTCTAGTGTCTTGTAAAATAATCCAAGCAGGCTGATAACCAAGTGATGCAGGGCTTTAAAAAATAAATGTTTCCATCAACAATGTCTCTAACGTTTCCATCAACAATGTTTTTAACATTTCCTTTAATGGTTGCCTTGACCGACAAGGATAGCACCAAGAGCTTCACCATGGGCCTGAGTCTTCAGAGGATCTCTGTGCTGTGGAAGATGTCCTGCCTCGTCCCTGTGTCTAAGGCGCTGTGACTAAGATGCTGTGTCCCATGGCTAAAAGGACTTTGTTGTACACTTTTACCGTTACTAATATTTATATAAATGTAAAATTTGAGAGGGATAAGAAGCCAAGACTTGCCATGAACCCTGCAAGGGACAAGCAAACCTAACCAGCTGCCACTCACATTCTGCCTGTAACTGAAATCTAAAAACCACATAGAAGAAAGAGGTATTCAATCAACGGAGCCCAAACGGCATGTTCATATAACAATGTGCAGGAGAGAAAAAAAATAACAACTGAGAGACTGTCTGTGTGTTCAGGACACAGAAATGCTGATGCTTCTCCTTTGGGCCCTGTCAAGCTCACTTAGCATCAGTGTTTACAATGCAAAATGGGAGAAAGTCTCGATAATTCCAGGACGCCTGAAGGCAGGCGAAAGCTGATGGAAGAAAGGATCCAGGGGCATTGTTTCAGCTTTGAAAACCCTGCAGGGCTGTTTGTTTGAACACTTCTGAAGGACGTGCTCATCTCATTGTTAAGTCACACAGTGTGTGATGTCATTAGTTCAGATTGATTCATACTGCGACAGAAAATCCTCCGTCAGACTTGCTCACTGTGGTTACTGTCTCATAATGTTGACAGTCTGAATACAGGAAAAGAGCTGGTTATTGTTTTATAAAAGACATCACCATACGTCACTGCTTTTTGCTTGAGTCACTCCCCATCTACTTAAAACAATACTTCTTGCTGGAAGTTAAATGAGAAGATTAAAATACAATTTTGAAGCCGACTGCAAACATGAAACTACTAACTTTTTGTGGATGTGAATTAAAGCAATACATTTCTCATTGTGTGCTTTACTAACAGAGAAAGCGGAATTCTGCTTGTTAAGCCGTGCCAGCCGTACCTACATATACTGTACCAGGATGCATTGCATGCCAGCATCTGACACCCTGGGGGTCTCACCAGCTGTATCCTCTACACAGCAAATCCAGCAGCAGCCTCTGTCATTCCTTGGGCCGTAAACTGTGGCTAGAATGAATATCGACTCAGCCAAAACACTGTTTAATGTACCCTTTTCTGGAACATTCTTTGCACCTATATATTTTTTTACACTGCTTAAGATCTAGCTAGTTAAATTACTGTCACATCAAATGACAATGCTGGATGCGGGGGGAAAGACAACGGATTTTGCAGCTGCAAACTTAGCGTTCTGAACAACATAGCACATGATGAGGAATGTATTGCTTTTATTTACCATTGACAGTTGGACCTTTCCTTTAACAATTTTGACTGCTATTTAGGTGGATAGCGCTCCCTTTATACAGATTTAGACTGGCCTTTTATAGTCTTTATGCTAAGCTATGCTTAAATCTGGCTATAGCTTCATATTTAACTGACATGAGAGTGGAATCGATTCACCCGTCTAACTGTCTGCAAGAAGGCAAGTCTCCCCAAGTGGTGCAAGCTTTTATTATCCACCCCTGCTTACTTGATCCACTTTGCAAGTGGTCTTGGGGTAATTCTGTTTCTTCTACTCAGCCAATAAGAATTAAGTGGATCAGATGTGCAAGAGTAGGGAGGAAGAAATGACAGGATGAAAATATTGAGGATTTTCCCCCAGAGTTGAGCCTGCCAGGCGTGCAAATCCCTCCTCCTACACTAGGATTGGCACACTACAGTCCCCTCCCTTATTTAACCCCAACCATATTTTACCTACAGCAATAAGTCAGAATGTCTTGATATTGGTGATGCACAGCTGGTAAGAAGGGCTGCCTAAGAGTCAAAATAAGGGGCAAAACATACCCCATTGAAAACCCTTCTGCCGGCTCTACCCATGATTTGACGACTGATCCAAAGCCACTTATCTCATTTTGAATAAGGCCCTCCTACCCATACTGTAACTACATCACAGTGTTTCCGGGCACCTGTAAATAAATGAAAGATAACAACAGCCATTGAAGAGACAAAGATGAAACTCAAATAACAAACTGAAACATATTTGATTATTGTGTGGTGACTTTGTCAATAATTACCATTCAACACCGAGATGATGAGAAATTGAGAGCAGGCCGCTCCCGCATCTCCTCCGCCCATCCCCTGCTGCCAGCTGCCTCTGTGATGCTGCTCCTGTGTGTAGAGGAGGAGAGAGCCGCTGCCCAATGACAGCGCAGGATGCTCAGAGGCTGCTCCGGTGAATGGAGGCGTCAAGATGCCATCTCAAGCGGTGAAGGAGAGGAATTAACATCGAGCAAGGTACATTTGCCTCTTTTATTTTACACACAGTCTATCCGCGTTTCTTTTTCGAAGTGTTGGCACGTGTGTCCTTTCGTTTTTCGGGCGTATTGTGAGCGTTCTGGCTTTAGAAGCAGAGGCTACGTGCATTTAAAGCCATTCCGGTGGTCGTCGATGTGCATAGACACAGCCAGTCAGTGCTGACTTGATACCTGGAATTTGTATTTTAAAGCCGTGTGGAAACGATAGTGCAGCGACGTATTTCAAAATAAAGGTTTCAGTGGGCTTCCCTACCTCGGGTAAGAATAATATTTCATTGGTGTATCAGGTGCTCGATGCACACCACGTCGGAGCCATCGAAAATGTAGGCCCAATGAGCTGTCAATTGGTCTGTCGTGCCTCCTATGCTGCATCAAATGTTAGTCAGCCTACATCACCAGTAAGCAAACATAAGAGTAAATATTTGAATTGCAAACAGAAGCCTTAGTGTGTAGCCTAATTAAGATAAACATCTGCCGAGGTCGTTTCATACGAGAGGCTTTTTTTGCATTCGCAAGCCATTTCAAAGCAGGACTATTGTTGAATATTGAATTGTGGTGGACTGGTGATCCGGCTATTTCAAGACCCACACTTGTATTTTATCATCCAATCATTTAAGTCTGTGGGTAGCACGGGGTTGGTAATGCTGTGTAGTAATACGTGATGAGGAGGCTGCATGTGTTGCACTTGCTCAAGTAGCACTGCACCGCACTGAACAGCCTGGCATTTATTTTCACATGAAATGCCTTTATTATCAACCCATTGGAAAGGCTATTTTTAGAAAAATCCCTTTTGTCCGCCCTAGACATGCGTTCTGACCTCAAAAGCATGTTCTCACAGTCAACGATCACTGCTTCTAATTAGTAGTCTTATTCAGATTGGAAAGAGTTGGAACAAAATGCCTGCATGCTGGCTTTCAAAATGTCATGATCGCCTTATAGAAAAAGACTCTCCCTAACCCCACAGATACACTCAGCATCGCCTTTGGTGAAATCTTTGTGTCAGAACATCTGAATCCTCCCATATGTTAACGCACCACTGCTCTCTGAATTGCCAGTGATCATTTCATCATGGCCTGTAGTAATACTGGCATTTGCTGACAGGACTTTGGGTGTTAACTGTAATTACTCACTAATACCTGAGTAGTGGTCACAAATGACAGTTACATCATGGCCAAGAGCCACATAAAGCTGCATGGTAAATATCTAACAATGAAAGTTAACCTTTTTATGTATTTGTCAGTATCCTTTCTTAATTGTAGGCTATTGATGGGTTACAATTGGCCTTCTCAGCTGGCATCTCTCAGATTTTCCAGTTTTATCTCTTTTTCTGCAATGATCTAATGATTGCACTTTGGTCAATTAGCTTTGCTCAACATAAGAAATTAGCCTTACTGCTCTGTGAATATATGTGTGAAAATGTGTGTAGAACATGATTTTGTCTGCTATGGATTTGTACACAACATTATGTTAAATTAGATGTCCAATATGTACACACATGATAATTGAATCGTTGTATTTGTTGATGTTGAATATATCTGTTTAGAAACACTTTAAATCGAAGATCCCTGGTATCATACTGCTAGAGACAAAAAAACGTAATTATGATGGGTCACCTTGGGCAATTTTTAGTTTTTCTGGCATTGCATGGATTAGAATATTAATTGATTACTGAAAAACATTTTGCAGCTCATCCCTGTACACTTTTACTTTTGGCTCAAACCATATCATTCCCATACGCATACTAAACATTTGACAGACTATGCATCTAAAGCCCTTAAGGCACAATATGCAGCTGGGTAAATAGAAAATTAAAAACATCTTATATACAATACAGACATTACAGTGAAGATGGTTTACTTTTGTTGAGACAGCCAGGTTCAGTGTGTTTATTTTTTTATAGTGGAAGTCTGTAGTGTTAGCATTTATTTTAACAGAGTTTTCCTGTCATCATGATTTTTCTGAAGTAGCCTAGATATTTTTCGACATATGTTAAAATGTGTTAAAATGTAATAAATAGCTGAGGGTGAAAATTAGAATTAACACAGATGAAGCTTGAATTAAAGAGTGGAGGTTGTGGTTAGATGGCACACAGCCCAGATCACTGGCCCACCCGTGCGACACAGTTGGCATCATCTTTTTTTAACTTTTCCCCACATCACATAACTTGATTTTGATGTGATTCACAATAACAAACGCAGCGACATAAGTGAATCATAGCTGAAGTTTAACACTTACTAGAATGTGTCAGCTGACAAACAAGATTTGTAAATACGGTTTTCAGGGTAAGATAAGGCAACTTAAAGGGGTACCAACAAGCTACTGCCTGAATCACAGGAACAACAGTGGCAACATGGAAAAGGCTAGAAACAAATATTATCACAGAAAATATTTATTAAAGAGGAACAGTAATTAAAGTAGACTGATGTTAGACCAGTTTCGTCCTGAGAAAATAGGACCATTTTATTATGCGGCTCAACAGACAACATACAGCAGGTCAATTATCCTTTATTATAAGATAGTTTTGCTTATTCTGCCAATTGCTGGATCTTTTAATGGTTCCATTACATTACATGTTACTTGTTAGATGCTTTTATCCAAAGCGACTTACATATTCAATACTGTGGACAATCCCCATAGGAGCAATTTGGGGTGAAGTGTCTTGCCCAGGGACACAACGACAGTGACCCCTTGATCCGAACACTTACGCTCTATCCACTGCGCCACACGCCTCCTGGTTCCAAATACATTTGCCTACCAGACTTTACAGACCTGCAATAATACAGAAAATATGATGTAGTTATAATAGAACCCATCAGTCTAATTTAACAACAGTTTACGCAGGTTGAACATTTGTAAAGGACGTTTTATTTAAAAACTGACTAATGCAGATAAGAGCTATGTGTTTTTTTAATTTTTTTATTGAATTTGCCAGTGTATCTCAGAAACTGAACAGAAAAAATAAGTTGGTGTACATTGTTCTTATACTATAAAAGCAAAATGTTAACACATGCTCCGTCCAATCCAAATTCAGATAATTTGTTCCGCCATTTTATATTGGGACGTTCCTGTCCACTCAGACACCTTAATATAACTAGCAGTGATGACAGTGTCCTGTCCGACCTCCTTTGCCAGCCTGCAGTGATTACCTCCTAGCTACGTGTTTCCACACAGTTCAGTGAGTGCAACTGAGGGTCTTGTCATCCAAAACTTCATACACAGAGGAAACCTGTTAACACATGAATTGTAATTGCCTCTGTCACTCAGAATCATTAAAGAAAATTAGGGGTGATTGGGATTGTTACAAAGAAAGCTCTCCATGAGGCCTTCAGGCCGTCATGTCAGCTTGACACTGCCGCAGCACTCACCCTCTTAGTTTTGCCACTTTTTTTGGAACTTATGCTTCCGTCATGTGAGACGACTGAGGTGTTTAATCTGCGTTAGCCCAGGCATAGTCACCATGGCAACTGGGTCTGAGCAGCAAGTTTCACCCGAGGAGAAAAAGTGCCGTAGTTCACTTTGATGGAAGAGTCTAATTTTTTTTGTCCACAGACTATCCAATATTATTTGTCACCAGACAGCCTGTGACATCAATAAGGTCTGTCAGCAACTTTGTCTTCAACATTCGCTGTTAATCCAACTTTTGTACTTGTAAATATTTCTACCATAATGTAATAATGGAACAGACATTACAGTATGTGTCATCTCATGCTTAAATATTTTATAGACAGTGAAATATTTCGTACGGTATTAAAGCTTGAGGTATGGCAGAACCATTATTAAATCATAAAAAATTAAGCCATCCATATCCCTTGCTCCTTGTTAGGCAGCAGGCTATGCACTATTTTAGGATCTTATGATTTATGCCATTTTAATAAAATGGTGGCTAGTAAAACTATAGAGCATATTGTGAATTGCACAACAACATGGTTACAAAATAATTGCCTCATGGCTATTTTATAAGCACGTTTTATGTGTTTATTAGACAATACAATTCAGAAGAGGATTAGTTTATGTCATCGGCCACGGGCCTAATTATGACAGCTGAATTTGTATTTGTTATTGCACCGAGTTGGGGACATTGTAATGACATTGTTTTGTGCAACACCGTGGTAGATGTTGGTGTACTCTGGTGCTCTCTGACTATTTGTGATGTGTTATAATCTCTATAATCTCACTATAATCACTGATCAAAATGGGGGCCAAATTGTTCTTTTACTAATTTGGTCTTTACAGAATTAGCTGATGCATAAACTGTGTGCTTGTTGTTTTACATTAAGCCTGATTCTCATTATAAAAATCTCCAGAACAGACAATATACTGTAAGATATAATATTGTATGCTCTGTTTTAATTAGTTTATAGTTTACCCGATGTTCTCTGTGGTTGTATAGCTGTCTGGCCTGATAGTATTAATGGGATGTAGATAAATGTTGGCCAGTGGGTAACCAGGATGATGCTGGGAAAATTCCTAGGCCATTTGATATAAGAGCCACATAAACTTTGACAGTTAGCTGACGATGTTGGGTAAGACAGTCTTAAAAACTATTTATCTAACTTGAGCATCTTTCAGGCCAATTTTCTTTCCCAGGGAAACCTGCAGTTTATTTCTGCTCCTTTCATCTGACACATACAAACAGTTGTTTTTCATCTAACAGGTTCTTCTCTCCTGTTTCCTCAGGTCTGACTTTGAAGTGTTCCACCCATTAAGGCATGACATAAAGTCACTCATGTATGCTTCAGAGGGTCAGAGCAGTCTCACTTCAGCACGCTCCCGTTAAGGACCCTCTGGCGGCCACACCGCCGATTCACAGGACATGTACGGCAGTGCCAGAGCTGTAGGCCATATAGAGAGCAGCCCCGCACGGTCCCCGCGCCTGCCAAGGTCCCCCAGACTGGGCCATCGGAGGGCCAACAGCGGGGGCGGGGGTGGTGCGGGGGGAAAGACGCTCTCCATGGAGAACATCCAGTCACTCAATGCTGCCTATGCTACTTCGGGGCCCATGTACCTGAGCGACCACGAGGGCTTGGGCTCCACTGCCACCTACCCGAAAGGCACTATGACTCTGGGACGCGCCACCAGCCGGGCCATGTACGGGGGCCGCGTCACAGCAATGGGCAGCAGTCCCAACATCGCCTCAGTGGGGCTGCCCCACGGCGACCTGCTGTCTTACAGTGACCTGGGCTCCCTCTCCATGCTGCAGCACCACCACCACCACCACCAGGGGATGCCCTCCGCACTGCTGAGGCAGGCGGTGCGGAGCAGTGGGGGGGAGCTGCTGGAGTTTCAGGTCCAGCTCAGGGATATGCAGAGAGAGAATGAGCTGCTGCGTCGGGAGCTTGACCTGAAAGACAGCAAACTTGGATCATCCACCAACAGCATCAAAAGCTTCTGGAGTCCTGAGCTGAAGAAGGAGCGGATAATGAGGAAAGAAGAGGCCGCTCGCACATCGATCCTGAAAGAGCAGATGAGAATCACTCACGAAGAGAACCAGGTAAAACCAAACCTCTCAGCCCTTGTAATCCATCCATTACTGCAGTCAATTTCTCTAGTCTGCTATTTCTCTATGGTCTTCTTTGATCTGTGTGTCTCTGCTTTCACCATCTTCCACTCTGCAATAGACCATTGCCATCCTCAGACCCAGAGTTCAGAGTATTATTGCGCGGGCGCGGGCGCTGTACAATAGCTGCCCACTGCTCCTAGTACTAGACTCCTGGTACTAGGATGGGTTAAAAGCAGAGAACAAATTTCACTGTGTGCTGTGTGCTCTGCATGTGTGACCATTAAAGAGGGTTTCATCCCTCCCAATTCTTCTATTCTATTCTTCAGTCATGTTTTTCAGTACTTGTGAAACCTTTCTGGAAAGAGTTCTTTTGCGCACATACATATTTAAAGGTCCCATGTCATGGCCATTTCTGATCATAATTCCATTGTTGAGGTCTACTAGAATAGATTTAAATTGTTCAATTTTCCAAACTCAGATTGGTTTCTCATACAGCATCTCTGTATAGTATGTGTATTCACTCTCTGTCGTACACGCCTTGTTGGAGCTCCTACCCGCAGCCTCCCCGCGTCCCGCCGTCTCAGGCTGAGAAATCTGCGGAGCTGCAGCTGAGAAAAGATTGAGTGTGTGTGACTAAATGTAGAAACGTATCAATATGCAGAAAAAGTTATTTATCTTTCATCACCTAATTGCCCTAGGAATATTTTTTTTTAATTCAAGTCAAAAATAAGTTTTGACAATAGAAAAAGTAGATATAAAGCCAAATAACCTACTGCACTTGCATTCAATATGAGAAGACATTTTATCTGTTCACAGGCCAGCTCTTGGTTTAATTTGAGATTTCAGCTACACAGAAAAGTGCACGACACACTGAGGTATTTGCTGTGCCTTGCTAGATTGAGTGTTTTTTTTGTTTTTTAAGCAGTTCTGTGAGATGATGCAGCTGATTGTACAAAGTCTCAAGCAACGTTAAGTCTGAAATTTGCCAGCTGGCTGTCTTGTCCGTGCCAGTCTGTCTGCGATTCTGTCTGTCTGGGGTTGAGTGATGCAAAACCCTGAGCAGCCAGCAGGCCACTCATCACTCAACACCGTCACTCCACCCTTCAAGGTCACAGCAGGACACCATTAGTGTGACCCTTAAATGAGACCTGCCTGTCTTTGTGCAGGACATATCTGCATGCGATTGTGTGTCCTAACATCCCCTTTTAAAACGGATCAATTGTGGCGCACCTGATTTGACTGGAGGTTAAAGAGCTGCAGTCTGCCAGCCCTGAAGCAGTGTCACGCTGCTGAAGGGAAGGATGTGGAGCGCTCTGCCTCTCAGTTTTACCTGCTGGTGGTCCCTAGAGGGGAGCCAGAGGTACTTTGATCCTTTTATATCTTTATGATTCATGTAAATGTATGGGGACAGTGTTCGGGTGTAGAATGTGCCTGTTCAAGCTTAACCAGCTCTGCCACTGACAAGTCCAAGCCATTCATCATGCCACTTATTCCTTGTGTTCAGTGTGATTAAATACTCGGCGGGAATCCTTGTATATATTTTTAGCTTGGCTTCATACACTGTAGGAGCTGAATGTGTCCGACAGAAGAAAGCCGTATAGCGTTGGCTTTCATGTCTTTTGTACTCGATACAAAGCGAGAACTCTTTTTATTGTATTTTATGCTCAGCCTTGTCCATCACTGTTTGCTCTGACTCTGTCTGCATTGAATTCTATTTATATTCCTCCTGGCTGGGTTCATTAATGAAGTATGCCAGCTAATAAAAGGCAGATGTGCCTTGTTACTATAATTGGTATTTTTTCTATAGGCTGTGAGGCGTCCTTACGTAAGTGTATACTTACGGTGGGATGGTTTGAGAGGCTGATTGAGGAGCAAATTGCCTCATTAATAATGGAGTAATTTCAGGCCAATCATTACATCCATCTTCTAGCAGCCTTTACAATTGCATCAGGTGCCTTAGGCCTCGATTAGCTTGAGTAAATGCAGTGCATCATTTATTTTGTTAAAAAAATAAGATCTGGGGATATGTGCATCTTTTTACAACATCTTAGAAAAAAGAAAGCCGCTCGGGCATTAGTTTATCTTTCATCTGTTTCATTGGAGCACAAACTGAACTGTCAGTGAAATACCAACCGTAGCCTTCAGAGCTTTAAAAACGACAGTCGATGGTCAAGACTGGAGGTAACTAGCCCGGGACGCATTTTTTATGTACTATGCTACTGGCTCAGGCTATACCGTTAATCTATTTTACTTGAATTCAGCAGAATGTTTTGTCATGCTGAAGCTGGACAAAATCTGCTGGAGGGAAGTCTGTGAGCTACATGTAGAGCGGACTGAGTCATGACCACTGCTGCTCAGCCACCCAGTCAGCCCTATTCAACACATAAGCCCCAAAATGGAGGCTGAGCTTCCTCTCATCACACTGCCTTTGCTATGCATGGATACTTGTCTCTAAGGCATGACATGTTTTTATTTAATCTTTACTCTGTACTGCCGAATGTTACATCTCACAGTGCTTTAAAGGGGGAATATTTGTTCAGGAGGGGACTGTTGTGTCTCAGTAAAGTATAGGGTGTTGGGTCTCTTACACGTCCAATACATTACTTCTGTAGTGTTAATGTGGACAGTGATGTTTGAATTCATGATCACAGCTTTCTCCCCTTTGTAGTCGTGCCAGCTGCTAATGTGTGGTGTTTAGTCATCACCACCCGTCTGTCTCTTGTGTGGGAGAGGTAAAGTCACATTTAGTCGTTGGCACACGTGATTCATATGCGGTGAAGCAGGTGTGCACCCCACACAGTATGTTGAGTTAAAGCGAGAACCTTATGGTCATGCAATGGACAGTTTTGACTGCTTTGGCTATTTTGAAAACCAAACAATGAAAATATATATTAATACGTTGTGGTTTTAAAAAAAAACGTTCTTTATTTGGATATGAAGATGTTCCTTAAATTCACCCAAAGAAGCATGAATTTGCATATTTAAAGGTACCGTTTCAGACAACTTAAATTAATTTAAGAAATCAATAAAGGACGTTTTATGATTATTATTGTTTTTAAATAGTATTGTATTTAGATCTAGTTGGTGGCAAACGATCTTTCAGGAGTCACATACTGTACACATGATGAGTAAAGGTCATGACATTGTGAGCTCAAGTTGACTCAGGGAGTATCATGTGAACAAGAGCTCATCGGTTTTTCCTGGTAACCATCCCCCTCGGTGAGCATGTAAGATGGCTGCTGCTTAAGCCAGAGGAAATAAGGTAGTGAAATAAGGAGTCTCAACTATTACAGCAGGAAAACATGTACAGTGTGAAAGAACACTCCCCATTAATTGTGAGGTTCCTTTGGGAGTTTTTTCCACGTTTACTTAGTGTCTCATGCTGTACACATTATGATGCGCCCTGAGACACATTTGTGATATTGGGCTTTACAAAACAAATCTGATTGAATTTGATTGATTAAGATGGGAGTGGAGAATGAAGGAACAAAGCTAAAGGGATAGGATGTTTTACATTCTGCTTGTGTCTTGTTCTTCGGAAGAGCACGTCTTTAGATTAGACCAGTGCAGTGCTAACAGTGCAAAAATGTCCATCTTACACGAAAAGCGAGAATGCAATAAAGATGTGTTCTTCTTTGAAAGGAGGCCAGGTGATTCATGAAAAAGAGAATTAGACAAGACGGTGAATCCACAGTTTTTACAGGCTGCTGTGGCTCAGGAGGTAGTCCACTCATGGTTATGAACTTATCCAGGGTTGGCAGTTTGATTCCTGTCATCTCATGCCCACATGTCAGCTTGTCAAGTCTAGTTTTTGAAAATAATTTTGAATGACAATACTTGTGCTATTTGAAAGGCGTTAATTTGTTGACATTGCTGTTGAAGAGTCAGCCTTTTCATCTATCTGAATAGTTTATTTACTACCTGCCCTGAAAGGCTGTCTACAGACTCTCACTGACTTCACTTCATCATTACACAGAGGCTGTGTATCATTGAGCATTTTGCATCAGTTTAAAGTGAAAGATTTAAGACATAGTATTAAATCAAATAGCTGTCATTACTAGAACATACAGTAGGTTAGATCCTTGTATAGCTGATCATATACAATTTAGATATATTATTATTTAGGTATATATTTTATGACCCTGTTGGGTTCTTGATTAAAATGTTTCCCTTTTTCATATGATATATTTTTCTTCCTAGTCGAAATCTGCAAATACTTTGCAGGCACTCTCTAAATTATACATTTGAATGTGCGCTTATTATTACACTTCAAAGTGACTCTCAGTAAATGAAAAGGACATTGTTTGGCTTTATAAAACTGAACTATATTTCATTGTCACAGTTGGCTGTTCTGTTTTATGAGGGGAACTCCTAGTATCTGCTCAGGCGCATCCTATACTGTTTAGCTGACAAACAGGAATATAAATAAACCATATTAAATAGCGCCATGCACCTTGGAAAAACACTTATTGCTTTACAGTTCTGTAAGTACTGTAAAGAAAATATAATTTACAATTCAGCATCACTCCTGTTTGCTGTTCCAACTCAGATTTCTGCATTAACGCTGATTTCTACCTTTCTTTTGCTGAGTGGAGATGAATAAATGCCTGGTCTGCTGGCATGGCTGTGGGTGTAATTGTATATTGTCAGCCGTCACGACATACAACACAGAGATTAGGGATGTAGTGAGCAGTAGGATGCTCTGACTCAGCACTTTGGAGCTGTCCATCTGTCAGATGCAAACGCCCACTCTCTCTTAACACACACATATATGCAGTATACTTTAGCAGATATAGCTGTTCGTGCCTGCATGCCACCTGTAAAATAATTTGAATATCATCAGCTTTGAGTATCAATCTATGCACAGAGTAGCTTTTATGTTAATGTTTTAACATGTCCAACTCTTCGGCCCTGACTGAAATATTTTCAAAATCATTGGATGAATTGGAAGGAAATTGAGTCTGGATATTTGTAATCCCCAAAGGGTTAAGCTTCTGCCTTTGGTGATTCCCAAACTTATCCTCTGGTGCAACTAGTATACATTTTTCAGAAAGTTTTGCAAAGACATGGTGCTAACAAAATGTATGCTAATGAATTGCTGACCCCCCGACTTTCCCTCTAGCTCCACAATGAGTCGGACATTTGTGGTTTTAAGGGAATTGCATCATCAACTATTAGATGGATTCTAATGAAATTGTAAGCGGACACTCATGTTCCCTCCGGGATCAATTATTGTATTTTGAATGATCCCCAAACTGTTTTTATCTGCTCCCATCATCAGGTCAAATTTCTCATTTGTACAATATTTGTTTTATGATCTACAAAACTAATAACGTGTCTTAGCCAAAGTTCAAGTTAATTGTTAGATAACAATAACCGCTACCTGTAGAGTCTTTGACTTAAGGTTTTTTGGGGGAAATATTAAGTATAATACTACATGTTTAATCAACCAACACTTTAACACATAGCTTTGGCATCTTGACAGAGTTTTTAGGTGAAATTTGACAAAATTCAATAGTCGATGGGGCTCTCAGAAGGATTTTGTGTCTCTGCACAAAAGGATTTATGACAGGCAGTTACCCCTGGCTGCCCCGGTGTCAGTCAGAGAGAAGAGCACTGTAGCTCAACATCTCTCCAGGACTCCAGAAACCTCTGGAAGATTTGTTTGCAGGATGTGCAGCAGAAGATGACTGACTCACAGGAGCTAAAACAGTTCTGCTGCAGATGTCAGGGGGAATGGCCATAAATTCATTTAAACCCACAGTTTGAAAAACATTGATTCCCTGGGCCGCCTTCTGCTGTTCAGTTCAACACAGCAGGTTATTGATCAGGGAGAACAGAGTAGGGTAGAGGAAGCAGGCCAGGTCAGATTAAAGGCAGAAGATATGAGGAGAGAGAAAATGTTTTGTTTTAAGAGTTTGCATTTGACTCACTTTCACTGTTTGATAGTAATTACTTTGTATAAGCAGTGTAGCAGCAGGCCAATATTTACAGGGACTTAGGGAGCATGTTAATTTTATTTTATGAGGAAAATAACTGTTGTATTGAAGGGTTTTTTGTCAGGGAAAATAAGTTTTGGACAGTGTATGGATCCATTCATTGTTATACATTATATTTACAAGATGTAACAGGAATGTTGGCATGTGACAGCATAATAATAAGTAAGGCTATACTCGGTATGAAATTCAGAATTTGAGATGTACTAGGTAGGTGGTTTCTGTCGCTGGATTTAACGTCACTGACTTCCATAAGTATGTCCAAAACTGTTAAAGATGGCAGCAGCCCTGCAGTCAGCTGAAACCTTTATCAACTCCTTCTGCTAACACAAACACTGCCCCCCAATGGTCGGAAGAGCACATGTTTCACACAAGTAGTGGAGAAGTAATATACTGACAATAAATTAGTCAATGTAGACTGATAAATGTTTCAGCTCCTCAACAAATACAATTAAACACTAATATATTGTCTCATCTTTATCTTATCAAGACAAAACCCTTACTTACAGTGCTAAAAATACTTCTAATATTACTACTACAGCACTAACTACTTCTACTACTACTGCTGCTTCGACTATACTAGCACTGTTAATATTTGACTACATACTGTATGTTATGTGGAGGCTGTTGATAGATGAATAAAATCAAACCAAAACCAATGTTTTAAGTCAATGTTACTAGAAATAATTGTTAACAATATTAGACCAGTGAATACATCTAAGATAAGTCAATGTTAGATCATGCTCGTTGCTCAGAACCATTTTTACAGCCATTTCAAAACTACTCTTCATCTCTTTCCAGAAAGGTTGTCTTTCAATACATTTCTCATTGTGAGTATGATAATATTCTGATTCAGGGCTGGAGCTGATAACCGAGCAGCTGCGTTGCGTGTCTCTCATTTTAAATCTCTGGCTGTTTTGTGTTTATCATCCGTTTCTTTGTTATCATGCTCTGACGCTCTGTTTTTACCATACATGTGTTTTTCTATTCATTCTGCCCATGCTCTGCAGATGCTGGATGTCAGGAGAAACAAGGTTTGTCCCTATGTTTGCACCACGAGTTGTGTGCACAACATAGAGTCACCTTCAGTGTGCTGTGTATTTTCAGACACCTGACAAGCCCTTTGCATCATTACAACCTCTCCTATGAACCTCAAAAAGGAAGTGAAATCTTTACAGCAGCTCACACTCCATCCTTTTCCTGTGAACCCTCATGTGTTACCCTATTAACACTGTGAAATGATAAAAGTGACTGTTTGTTGAATTGTGTCAATCCAAACGTGTCTGGTGGTCGATCCCCCTGTAGTAACGCAAACCCTACAAGCCCAGACTGCCTGTAAAGTGGGTTTGTTTGTGGTGTAAGAATCTGTTTCCTCTCCTCTAAATCCTGATTGAGCCATTTTGTGGACATAGATTGATCTCTCTCTGGAGATATCTGCTGTAGGAAAATGTTAACAGGAGAGACCAAGCCTGAGGCAATCTGTGACAGAAACGAGGCCATAACACTCCTCCCCTAAATCTACAAAAAATACCCCTGCACACAAAGAAATATAGTAGGCTTAATAGATAATAATAATTAATTTGATTCTGGACATGTACATCGTTCTTCACAAACAAGAATGCATGTAATCAACACATTACAGTGCCGTCTACAGTGCAATGATACAGTATCACATGATACTAATGGAAATGAGCTATTAGCTCAAATCTGGCATAATTCATCTCTTCTCTTTTTTCTGAGATTAATGTATTTGTATGCATGGTCTTTATTGAAATAAATACATGATAATAATAATTATAACAGTGTCCAGTAACGTTAAAAGGTCATAGTGAAATTGAAGATAAAAATAATGAAATTGCTCATAGACCTCTTTTCACTATAATTGGATGTGACTTTAGAGGTTTGAAACATGATTTGTATCCTCTTCTCTGCTGCACTGCAGGGAAGCATCCGGGTTGTCTTTTACTCAGATTAGCACAATAACCACCCTTATTAGTTCTGCTCACATGTAAAAAAATTGAGCAATCTTCACTTGTGAAAAGAATAGGGAATTAATAACTGTATTGTCATGCACATAGATTAAAGAAAAAGATACATAATAATTGTCCTTAAATAGGCCGTATTGTATTTTGACAATATCACTTGTTTGCAGTCTATTTGCTTCGAATGATTGGAAAGTGATATGTTCCCCCCCTTTCCAACCAGCTGAAGCATTATTCCTCGGAACAATGTGCAACTGCATTAAAGAAGTGTATTTAAATGTGCTTACCCTCATGTGTGTTGCCATGAAAAACGTTGCATTGTGGTAACATCTAATATTAATTTCAATAATTGTAAAGTCTCTCTTCCAGCACCTCCAGATGACTATCCAGGCTCTGCAGGATGAGCTGCGCACACAGAGAGACTTGAACCACTTGCTTCAACAGGAGGGTGGGAACCGCTCAGACCATTTCTCCAGCATCGAGCTTACGGAGGAGAACTTCCGCCGTCTGCAGGCCGAACACGACAGGCAGGCCAAGGAGCTCTTCTTGCTGCGGAAGACCCTTGAGGAGATGGAGCTGAGGATCGAGACCCAGAAGCAGACGCTGGGTGCCAGGGACGAGTCCATAAAGAAGCTGCTGGAGATGCTGCAGAGCAAAGGGCTGCCACCGGGGCCCGGGAGGGTGTCCGAGGACGAGGAGCAGGAGAGAGCCAGGCGCATTGCTGAGGCAGAGGCCCAGCTCGGACACCTGGAGGTTATTCTGGATCAAAAGGACAAGGAGAACATCCATCTACGAGAGGTACTCTATGACCAGGTTCAGTTCATATTAATATATGGGGGTAACTGTATAAGACTGAACACTAACTGTTTTCACTTTTCATCACTAGAGGGCAGTGTCGATTTAATATGCTTTATTCTGCGGCTCATATTGTATCATATTGGTTATGTAACGTAAACACTTTACATGTGTAATGTGCCTTTATATGAATTTAGTAGTGTTTTTTCCCTTAAGTCAATTTTAGTCATATAATCGTGCTTTCTGTTGCGTTAACACTAGATTCTGCTGTAATTGTGCCACATAATAATGCATCTTTTCTAAAAGGAACTGCACAGAAGAAATCAGCTGCACCAGGATCCAGGCAAAACCAAGGCCCTGCAGACCATCATAGAGATGAAAGTAAGAACCAGACGCACAATATACAGCCAGGATATTACCCACTACAGCAGTCCCCATTGAAATTGTCCATTGAAGTGTTCTTTAGAATAGTGGAGTAACTACTACTAACTATCTGACAGTTTACAGACTTCAAACAAGCTAATAATTGACAGTCTGTCTAGAACCAGATGTTAAAATACAGATGTTGTGTTTGAGTCACTAGCATTAACAGGCCTTGTATTATGTAAGCTGCTGTATGACTTAACAGGCCTGTGTGTTCTGCTGAATCTTCTGTTGTTATTGTGAAGATCAGCAGCTGAGTCAATAATGAACACACTCTCACACACAGACATGCACAGACTGTGTTTCTGTTCACAAAGCAGTTGTGTAAACATCAACTAGAATCAATATTACTGTTCAATATTACAGCTGTCGTCCCTCGCCGAAGAGATGCAGCAGCTGGTCATGGCAACCGACATTTCTAAAATGAACTCTTCAATATCAGAGACTGCAGGTCCAACAATTCAGCCTGATTATATTTAGTTTGGCATTGTGAAATTTGCAGTGCTTCAAACTATTTCACACGCACACAATCTTTTTTTGAAAACACTAAAATTGCCTAACTGAATTATTAAGCAAAACGGTATCAAATGATGCACATATTTGGATTTTTTAAATTATATTTAAGCTGGTTGTGCAGTACTAATAATGTATGAATGCATCTTCTTGGATTTGAATACTTATCTTCAAATATGACAAAAAAAATATGTATATAATGTTTAATGTAACTTTAACAAGGTTAAGGGATACTTAAATACTCGGACAAGCATTCATATTACATTAGAAAATATTCAAGAAGAAAGACAGTTGAGAGACCCCACCCATCATCAAGTATAATTTTCTTTAGCCTTTAGATCAAGCAAATTACATTTCACATACACACTACATTTGAATACATACAAAAATCTGATTCAGTTGTAATCAATATGTTATATAAAAATGCTTATTCAGATCAACAAGTGTTGTATGGCTGTACTCTCCGGCAGCCTCACTGCAGAGGCCTGACATCACTTCCTCAAAAATAAATCATGACATCATCGCTGAGCTGACACAGCCCCTCTCTCTCGGCTGGGTCGGCACTGTGCAGGCCTCAGCCTTCCCCCGATGCGGTCATGTGACATCTGTGCTCTGGGATACTGTTGATTTGCATACAGAGCGAGGGAAGACCCGCCTCCTCCCCCCTGTGCTGTGCAGGAAGACCCTGCATCTCTCCCCTCTCCTCCACTCCCTCTGCTGTGTGGATGCTGATGCTGAGGCACGAATAATCCTCCCTCCCCGTCTACCCTACATCCCTCCCGCCCTCTCCTGCTCACTCACCAGAGACAGTGCACAGTATATAGCCTGCCTGCTGCTACCATGGAAACAGGTGTGGTTGTTTATGACAGCGAGAGGCCAGTTTGCAGGGAGATAGATGGAAAGAGGCAGGGGAAGAGAGGTAAAGAGTAAGATTTACTGACCAGGTCGATGTACCAGTGATTACATGTGGATGGAATAAATTCCCCCTCCTTTGAAGGTACGCCGTCTTATATCTATTGCAGCAATGTTAGTTCATTGATGTTCGTCTCGTAAACACGAACACTGAGGTGAGATGCAGCGTCAGGGCGAAGTACATGTGCAGTGCTCAGGTCGTCTGTCAATCATCATTCCGACACAGTTCCAATGTTCCTCTGCAGCGGGACTGACCCTGCTTACGGCCACAGGTTCATGAGTTCAGAGCCACTAGGAGGAGAGGAGGAGAGACACAAAAAGAGAGAAAGACAGGAAGGAACAAGGTTGCTCTATGCTCTGCTGGAGAGGTTGATGGACCATGGCTAATCTTAAAGACGTTGTATTATTTATTTAAAAAGCCGTGAAGCTAAAGCTGCACTCACAGTCGCAGTCCAGAGCCTGGATTCTGCATCGATCTGCAAGCAACTACGGCAAAAGCTACGCCTTGTTACTTTCTTCCTCTCCCTCTGCTCGTTTCTCGTCCATCCTGGGCTAATCTCTCCATGCTGGATGTCTGCTCAATATTTCCTAATGGTGATTAATCCTCTGAGCTGCTGCAAGGGGCTGAGCAGAAAGCCTCTGATTTGACCAACAGATACCGCAGTTGCTCTCAGCGTCTTCCAGAGCTTTTTCCACTCTTTTATCTCGCTACATATCTTTCTCTCTTCCTCCCTCTGTCTTTTAGTCTCCCTCTTTCTTTCTGTCCTGGACTCTTGTATCTAGCTTACATTCATTTGCAGCGTGCAACTTTTGGACATGCCAGTCTGGATTTTGAGGTGTGTCTCCTCTGCATGTTTGTGTGCAGGACACCAAAATTGCCTCTCTGGAGCGCAACATTCGAGACCTGGAGGATGAGATCCAAATGCTGAAGGCGAACGGCTTGCTGAACACAGAGGACAGAGAGGAGGAGATCAAACAGATGGAGGTCTACAAAAACCACTCCAAGTTCATGAAGACCAAGGTATATAGGCTCTGCACTCTGCATGAAATGTAGATCCTATGACAATATGGCTGAAAAACCAACACAGTTGAGTCGTTTCGGTACAGATATGACTGTGCAGCGAGGAGAATACTAAACAAAGCTGTGTGTCTTTTAAATAAGCTGCTTTAGCATTTTGTCTTATCAACAAAGTGTTCTGTTGGCAACTATCTGAGAGAAGCTTCTGTTTCTTTTAAATAAATCAGCGTACCAAGGATACCAACTAAGGCAAACTCAGCAAGGGAGTTATATGGCATAATACAATACTTAACATTTCTTTCGTAATTGCTTATAAAAGCTGGGTACTTTATTATTGTGCTGCCAAGAATCGTAATGTCGGCATTAGGACATTACCGCTTCACCTGTGTAGTTTTCAGAGCAGTGAGAGTTTCTATCAGTGCATGCTACATTACGTCATGATAACTTGTGTTTTAGCAGTTGGAGCTACACCAGCAGGGCCACCTGAAATCTGTTATTGTATCAAGGTGTGTGTGTGTCTGCTGCTCTCTAAGGCTCATATGTCTCTCAGGAGCTTTGGCCCTGTGTTTACATGCGCGGATCAGCCACAGTTTTGTTATTCTATTTTTAGACCTCTTTCATTAATCATGAATAGAGATGATGTATAATATATGACAAATGCAGGAGAGTCAGTCCCAAATGCATTTTTAATGAGAGAGCGTGTTGATGAAAATAGTGCATAAGCCTTACTGACTGGCTCACTGTTTCCCACTCATTGTCTCTGTCATACCCCCACATATGCATTGCTAATTGCAATGGTTGTCGTCTGTAGATTGACCAGCTGAAGCAGGAGTTGTCAAAGAAGGAGTCGGAGCTGCTGGCCTTGCAGACAAAACTAGAGACTCTCAACAACCAGAACTCAGACTGCAAACAGCATATCGAGGTGCTCAAAGAGTCTCTCACTGCCAAGGAGCAACGTGCTGCCATCCTTCAAACAGAGGTAACAGAAAAACCCTTAAAACATAAAGAAAATAAACATAACAATTCACTGCCACACAAAAAAATGTCCTACTCCAAACCAAACCGAGCAAATAAGAGGCTAGCCCTGAGCCCGAGGCGTATTACTGCAAATCATATCAGCACTTCATTTACTCTGGGACTTCAAACTAAACTGTGACTCAGGGCTCCACCAAATATATAGAAATGAGAAGTGCACTGTCAAAGCACATCTCATAACCATTAAATAGCTACACTAACAAATAACTAACTGTGGATGCATTACTCTTACTGTAATGCATCCACCTTACATCATTCCCATACTACGAAATACTCGCTCAGGACCTATGCTCCTTTGAATGACATAGAGATAAAGTTAAAATGGATTAATACCTAAAAGCCAGTATTAGCTGTGCCTATGTTTGTCTTATAATTCCTTGTGACTCATTTACCATCAAATACAAATGATGTAAGATTATTGTATTGTAAGTAGACTCACAGCACTGGGTGTGTTTGGCTGTGTCGTGCTTCAGGTAGATGCTCTGCGTCTGCGTTTGGAGGAGAAAGAGTCCTTCCTGAACAAGAAAACCAAGCAGCTGCAGGACTTGACGGAGGAGAAGGGCACTCTCGCCGGAGAAATCAGGGATATGAAGGACATGCTGGAGGTCAAAGAAAGGAAGATCAATGTCCTGCAGAAAAAGGTGAACATCAAAAAAAAAGGCCTGCCCTTTTGGGTGGATAACAGGAGTTTAAAAGTCAAAAAGTGTGACTACAAACTGAGGAAATTGTCAGTACCATTTACTAACCACTCTGAGTTATTGCTACATGATTCATCTGTTACAATGAACTATGGTGAGGAGGTGCAGGTGTATGTTGACCTACTCCAGATATAAATGGACATTTTAAATGAGTGGTGAGTTGGGCAATTGTTCATGTCAGATTTCTGTGTCCTGAACAAAACCAGTCACTCTGTGAAAAGATAAAACAGAATAGTTACTATCTCCATTAAGACTAGAGTCTCTGCTCTCAGGGGAAACGTGTCCATAGAAAGTCAAGCAAGAAGATATTTCTGCCTCACTGCCTCTAGTGTGTGTGTGTGCTATAAATACTCACTAAGTGTTACTCCCTCTCTCTCACTGACCCGCTCACCCATTCCCTTTCTTTCTCTCCCCTTGTTCTAACACACCTCCTCTTTCTCATCCATCTACTTGTATCCCTCTCTTTGACATCTCTCGTGATTTCTCCTGATGTGGTTATTTGGTTGTATTTCTCTGTTGTGTCAACCATATAGTATAGTATATTAGATCAGCGCACATGTTTTAATGTCTTTTAAATAGCTGTGTTTTTACATTAGTCTCAATGCATAGTTCTAACAGATTGCTGCTTGATTTATATTCTGTTCTATTTTTAGTTCGACTTCCTAAACTCCTCAAAGTCTGGCAGTTTTTGATGTTTTTAATGGGAATGCTTCGTTGTAAAGCCCTTGCACATTTCAAACTATGAACATGACGTTGTCTGTAGAGGGTATTAATCATCAAAGACTTTCATAATCTCTGAGTCCAGCTCTTAAAGCAACGTTAAGCACTCTGGTTTAAAGTCATGCTTTTTACACCTGCTGCTTCTTTCCCTTTTTCCGTCCCTGTGCCACCTCGTCCTCCCTGTGTCAGATTGAGAATCTGCAGGAGCAGCTGCGAGACAAAGACAAGCAGCTGGGGAATCTGAAGGACCGGGTCAAGTCTCTGCAGACCGACTCCAGTAACACAGACACTGCCCTGGCGACCCTGGAGGAGGCTCTGTCAGAGAAGGTATGGTACAAAACGGCAGCATTAGGGAGGATGCAATGTTCACAGTTGAGATGTAAACACCTGCTGCACGACAACATTATTGACGTGTGGCCGTTTCTGTACAGATTTAACAAACAAGATACACATGACTGGTATCAATCATCAAGTATAAGTCTCAGCAAAAAGCTAATAAGCATATTTTCCAAACTTTTCCTTGGATCAAACCCAACTCTGCAAACTTGAACTTGTTGTTTATGACACCTCATACAACTTAAAGTTCTTAGCGCTTTACACTTAATTCTTAAGTCGCTTGATATGTGTCTTGTTTCTCACACTGAGCTAAGACTTTGGTCATTCTTAAGATGTTTCTTTAAAGCATTCTCAAGTGTATTTCATTTAACTCTGTTTGTATGTCTCTGTGTGTTAGGAGAGGATTATAGAGCGTTTAAAGGACCAAAGGGAGAGGGAAGACAGAGAACGTCTGGATGAAGTGGATTCCTACAGGAAGGAGAACAAGGATCTGAAGGAGAAGGTCAACGGCCTTCAGATAGAACTAACAGAGAAAGAGGTCAGTGAGTACGCATGGAGCAAAGACATGCTGCATCTGTTTCTCTACTACTCTGCTCTGCTGTACTTGACTGCATATCTTTCCTGTTTCTATCAGTAGGCCCTCACTTTGTATGTAACCTGTGTCACTTTGTCCTAGTTTGACCCGCTGGTTTGAACCTGTGCTAACTCTCTGCGCTGTCTGTCCCCCTGCAGTCCAGCCTCATCGATCTGAAGGATCATGCTTCGTCTTTGGCCTCCTCTAGCCTCAAGAAGGAATCAAAGCTAAAAACACTGGAGATCGCCATCGAGCAGAAAAAAGAGGAGTGTAGTAAGTTGGAGACGCAGTTGCAGAAGGTAAGGGTGCATTTCAAAGTACACATTTGACTCATCGTGCTAATGTGTAGATCTCATTATTATTCTATGAAACAGGAATTTACTATTCCATTTGTTTTTATACTGGACGTAAAGCTCTATCATTCTGTCCACATGTTGTTGCATTGAAAGAGGCAGTCCAACATCAGGGTGAAACCTCTGTTGGCATTACAATCTGATTGCAAAGACCATGTAGTAGATCTTCACATGATATACATCTGAAATTGACATCTAAGTTTAAGAAAAGTTAAAGAGCAATAACTACAAGGCTTTATAAAAATGTGTTTGTCACCTACTGTTTCAAAGGTCAAACGTTTTTTACTTTCAAATGTACAGTTGTTGTTCTTTGTAACCGATGCTCTGAACACACTCAAAACATAGATTTCATTTTTCATTTTCAAGTCAACTCCCACATACATCTGATTAGTTTAACCCTTACACCCTTACACCCAGTCAATATACCCATTGGCTGCATACAAATTAAAACCAATTAAAATGAATTTTAAAAATGAAAATGAAAAAAACATTATCTTTATGAAAAGGTTATACACAGATGAAGAAGGTATCAAAGAGAGAAATTGCTTATTTTAGTCTTCATTATGTATGATTAATGCTTTAACTTTGGCTGAACTATGCATAGCTTCTCTGCCCTGAGCGGAGATTGCAAATGCCCTCCATTAATTTCACCACTGTGCGTCACCACTGAAAGGAAAAATATTAGCTCACCTTAAGTCCTGGAACCACTTCGAAAGAGACTATCAAGTTATTAAAAAGAGTTTTGTGTTTTTTATATTTCTCCACTAATTTACAGTATTTCTGCACCAAGGCCTCTCACTATATCGTTATCAACTTATCGTACAATATGGACAAGAACATCAGATCATTTTTCTATATTTTCTTTTAACAAAAGCAGTGATTGTGGCAGGCCTTCTTGCTGTGTGTTCAAATCAAATCAAATCAAATCAAGTTTTATTTATATAGCACATTTTTAAACGATTTTTGGTCGAGCCAAAGTGCTGTACATATAATAAAAAGACCCTACAGTAAGGACACTTTACAGCAAATACAACAGCACAGCTTGTGCAGAATATCAGTATGAGAAAACGACACCCTCTGTCCTTTAGACCAGGGGTACTCAAACTTTTTTATTAAAGGTCCAGTTGCGAACTTTATACAAGGTCACTGGTCCGGATCAATGCCAGTAAAGTGTCCCCCCCCCTTGAGTTTGAGAAGCCCTGCTTTAGACCCTCACATCGTACAAGGTGTTGTTTCCATAGAGCAGTGCTTCTCAAACTCTTTTCAGTAATGTACCCCCCTTTGAAACATTTTCTCAGCCAAGTATCCCCTGACCGACCCCGAACATTTTTGATCGAAAAAGCCTATATAAATAATTACAATATAGTGATGTTCCCTCAGTGTGTGATTTATTAACTCCTTCGTGCATGCATTACAACAAACTAAGGATATTTTCATCTTCATGCATGAAAAAAAATAACATAACGACATTTTTATAAAACAGATTTTTCCAAGGAGTTTTTCAATTGAAGTAATATGTTTAACAAACCAATGAACAAAATGATATATTGTGAAAAACTATAAAATACGATACACACATTTGACATGTTTATATGAGGACCCCCTTGGTGGTTCTAGGAATATTTTATATAAAATTGTGTTTTCTATTTAACTTATTGTACTAAGATTATTTTTGTAATCATGCATGGTATTTTTTTAATTAACCTTTTTTTTATTTTATTTTTTAAATCTCGCGTAACCCCTGCAGTACCCCTGCAGTACCCCCAGGGGTCCGCGTACCCCTATTTGAGAATCACTGCCATAGAGGGTGATTCTCAATGGATAATCTCCAATTCCTCAACAGAATGCACTTTTTGCCATTAAACATAAGGAAATGTGAAGACTTTTAATCCTTTTTTCAGTTTCATACGGAAGTGTGTGAACCTGCCTTATATAAACACAGTTGATTATGATAATAACACCAGGCCCTCGCTGCTGTGATTGGCTGCACTGCTTAGGCCTGCTGCAGGGAGCAGGCAGTCCATAAAATACGTCCTCCGCCTCCTCCTACTCCATCACCCACAGACTATCCCCATGTCTGTCCCTCTACATTTGTCTGTGCTGTGTTGTCCCTAACCTGTAACAACGTGTGCTGTACTGACACTATGTTACTGCTCTGTCCAACATGTATTGTGACATGTCTGATCCTGCTGTTCCCTCCTCTGGCTCAACTAAATCCTAACACTTACTCTCCCGCCCCGCTCCCTTCCTCAACCCTTCCGTTTTCAATGTAGCAAGCTGAGCAGCTATTCAGTCACATGAAAAATCCTGTAAGTCCCTCTCTTGAGCTCTCTGAGGCACATATTGAAAGCATGAGGACCACTGATTACGTCTTTGAAACATGCTAAATGGTGATCATGCCAGCCGTCAGCGCAGGTTCTGCTTACACCTCCGAGCCACCAGACACATGTTGATCATCACACCGTACTGATATAGTGAGCTTTACACTGCACTCAGAGTCCTGTGCAACTGTTTGTGTTGTGACACATGGTGAAGCTGGTGCTTATTACACAGTATTTCAAGTGTATTCTGAACTTTATTAATAGTGGTCTGTAGCTGGTTTATCTGTTGCTAGTGTATTTAACTACAGTGTGTTTTCTTCTTCTTGCACATTAGTGCAACAGGTTTCGAAGTGTGAAGCTGACCTTTTTTTTATCGTTTTCATAACTGAAATATGTTTAAAGACGACGGAGATAAAATGTGGATTATAACTTTTTTTTGTCTTTTACAGAATACAGTGTATTTAAGAATCTCAGATCCAGGTCAGGCGTAAAATAGTTTCAAGGGGTGCACTGATAATCGATTTTTAAAGCTGATAACAACATCACGTGTATCTTTGACAGATTTTTGTTGAGTTTATAAGTACAGTAGCTATAGTGTGTTTTTACAATCTTTGAACACATCCTAAAAATATCCTTGGCTTTCGACATCTTAAACGGCAGGCTGAATGGAGCCTAATTTCTATATCCAAAACATTTATTTTGACAAGGTTATTTTGAAATGCCCTCACATGAATTGGTGGATCTATAATAACGATGTACATTTTTGCAATTTGAATCATTGAAAGAAATCTCCCACAAGTAAAATCCTGACATCACTCCTCATGCTTAAAATATGAAACGTATTCTCCATTCTTTTGACTGACAATCACAAAGACTGTGCAGCTTCGTTGGGTTTGCATGACGTGGTCGACCTTGTTGCATGTTGTCACTGTTGGTGTTGCCACGCTTTCTTTCGTCACAGTGTGGTGTGGTTAGCTGAGGTGTCAGCCGTGGTTGGAGATCTCTGCAGTGTTTTGGTGGTTGCTCTCTGGCTCTGTACAACTTTGCACTTTTGCGACCTGTGTTGACGTGTGGCTGCATATTGTCTCGAGGGTGATGTGTACCACTGTAATGTACTTCATGAAGAGTTACAAACTGTTGCAATAGTAGTGAGATAAGTCAATATTGACCAAGCAGTAGAGCTGTGTTTAGTTTGTGACAGAAAGAGACAGAATCACAATTTATCTTTCCACTGCCACTAATTTGTTACCATTTTTGACACAAGACACAAACACATACATACCCAATCCTGTATTCTGCACACTCACCAAGTGGGGGAAGTGTCTGGCAGTCTCAGAGGGCTGTTAAATGGAGCTAAATAATAGCTCTGTTAAAGCTAATGAGCCAGCACCAGTAATGATGCCCTTGTCCACAACATTTGACTCTGCTATATTCATTCAGAAACAGAGAGGGAAAGAGAGAGTGCAAGGGGAGTGGTTAATATAAGACAATGATGGACTGCAATGTACCGCGTGTATCTCTCTTCAGTGGGCAGTAACACATGCTGTGCTGTGCTGCATGATTATGTTGATGTTATAATGTTAACTGAGTGTATCTGTGGTTTGCGTGCATGTTTGTGTCTTTCTCTGGCACGTGGATGCAGAAGGCCCATGAGGTGGATCATCAGACCGGCCCCAGAGGGAACCCGGAGTACGTGGACCGAGTGAAGCTGCTGGAGAAGGAGGTGAATTACTACAAGGACGAGGCGAACAAGTCTCAGACGGAGGTGGAGAGGCTCCTGGACATCCTGCGAGAGGTGGAGACTGAAAAGAATGACAAGGACAAGAAAATCACTGAGCTGGAAAGGTAATTAACTTTGACTGCTTGGACAAGTTGGCGAAAGTATTCAAAGGCATCTTAACCTTAACTTTACACTGATGTTATACCTCACTTTTGGTATAGTAACATATATAATCAGATTTCTGCATAAACATACTATCCTCTAACAAACCCCTTCTGGCTTTCAAACTATGATATACAATAATGCAAACATTCATTATAGGAGCACAACATGATTTAAAGAATCCAGTGATTTATTTTCTCTCTTACTCAAAGTGCTATGTTGCTGCTGTGGACATAGATAGTTATGGCTTTATCTGTATATTTGTTTTAAATGTTGCCTTATTGTTTGCATCACACAAAAAACTCCAAAACATTTATTTTGTAATTTGTGTTAATTTGTTATTATCCCAAATGTTTGTTTATATTGTATGTAGATAATTTCTTCTGTGGTGTTTGGTATTGTGAATTTGAGAAAGCACATTGTCTTGCACTGAACCCAGACCTGGTCTTACACTCAGAAATACACCCTTTGATGGACAATCATTTCGGCTGCTTGTTGAGACACACACAGAAGGCTCTCTGTTGAAGTTGTGACGCTATGTGAGATGTGATATTTGAACACAAAGTGCCACTCAATCACCCCCATAATGGAAGAGGTCAAACTGATTTCAGTTAATGGACCACATAAATAAAGCTGGTGGCCTCATCAGCTCTTGGCTCACCTCTCAGTGTGGTACGTGGTCTTGAGCCTCAACACTAGAAGCTTTTGGCTTTGGTTCAGCTGTTGGAGGAAACCATCGTCATTCACTTTGGCTGGAATTTAAAATGATGAAATAAAGACTGAATGGACTGCATGAAAATGACACATTAGCTCTGTCTAGAGAAGAAAGAGGGCGTTAAGAGTTGAGTAGAGCCGTACCATGCAGTGAAAAAAAGTTCTATTTGCTCTTCCTTATAGCAACAGGGTCCATTTAATTTTTGTCTCATGCTCATTTGTTGGTGGTTTTCAATTAATTGACTGTTCTTTTCCTTTTTTGCCAACTTTACCCACTCTTTTCTATCCCTTTTACCTTTCTATCATCTGTTTCATGCCCACCTATCCCTCCTTCAACCTCTGCCATTGATCTTTTTTTCAATCGACAACTCAACCCTCCCTTTTTTTAAATCTCTCCACCATCTCCCGGGCTCCTTTTCTGTTGTGCGCCCCGACACCAGCCCCCCTTCCACTGCCCCTCGCCCCGCCCCTCGTCCCGGTGGCAGAGCTCCCCCTGACCCGCTCCCTTCAGTGTCCGCAGCCCCCCAGCAGATAGGGGGCATGGTGTGGGATTTCCTGGGAAAGTGAGTGCTCTGCCCTGGCACTTTCTGCTCGGCTGCGTGGTTAAAGTCTCGGACTGCGACTGCTGCAACTGCATCTGGTTTCACCTGTGTGCCTGGGTCTGCCTGCTGTCTGAAGGATTCACATCACTTTGTATCAGAGTGACGGGCTGTTTTTAATCGGTGGTGTTAGCGCTGTACCGCACACATGATGCAAAGATCCCTGGATTCATGTTTGCTTCTATTTATTACTCTTGTGTTTACTCAACGGTATGCATGTGTGCCATGAATGTTTTTGAACTACTCTGTGTGAGTGTGAGAGAGTTTAGGCAGCACGTTTATTATTTTTCCAAACTGCATGTGGCAACCATCATTAAAAGTCATCTAAGCCTGAACTGATGACAGAATGGGGAATAAAGTAAATTGACAAATCACATTACAATGACAAACCAGCACCACGTCAAAAATAACTGTGTGACTCAAATATTGTAAGTCTTAATGATCCAAATTAATAACATGTTTGGACGTTTTGAGTTCAGGATTTGTACTTCAAAGGCGTTCATATAGTATAATCTGTGCTTTACTTTGGATTGGCTTAACGGTAGACTTTACTTCATGCTTGGTTTGCTGCTGTGGCCTGCTTCTGTAATGATGCATAGTAAAGTCCCACAAAAAGAAAATCACACCAGGGATGCAGCAAACTAGTAACGACATTTCACAGATTTGACTTTGAAATGTTCACAGTTTTAACTGAAAGCCCCTGTCAAAAAGTGTGCATATATATATAGATATTTGATGATGTAAAGACTGCATATATACTGCATTAGAAGCGTGTTGTTCCCTACTCACCTTTCGTTTTTCATCCATTTTGTTGACTATGTTATATTTTCTGTCCTTCAGTGTGCTTTGTTAAGTGCAAATACACACTGACACACTAACAGATGCACACATTCGCGTTTTTGTGTCTTTATGTGGCGTTGGTTGTCTGTTGCAACCTATACAAGATAATTCCATCCAGAGCTGAGGCCTCTTCTTGCTTCCTCAGCTCATTGTATCCACCCATCTCCCCCTTTACCCTCACACTTTGTAACTCTCCCCTGACAGCCCCTCTCTCTTCTTGTGGTTTTTTCTCATTGCCAACCTTCCTGCTCTCCTTCCCCTTCACCCTTCCAAGCTTGCTCTAACCGATACAAAGGGAAACAGCCTAGTGACCTGCATGAACAGAGCTGAGTCTCCAAGTCTACACACGTCTGTGAGTGAGGTGCTGTAGTAGGTAGGGTCTGGACTGAACCCTTAATCGTGAAGTGTGTCAGTCCAGTTGGGTCTTTTCTGTCTGAACCTCCCTGCATCCATGACTAATTCTCCCAGTAGCTCACTCCTTCTCCCGGTCTAACCACGGTTGGCTTTCCTTCCTATTGCTCGGCCACTCAGACCTGTCTTCCCTCTTCTTCTTTCGCCCTGCTGACTAGTGCCTGTCTGACTGCATGTCTCCAAGGTTTGGCAGCAGATGCACACGGTGCCGTAATTTCAGAGAAGGTGCATCCTGCATTACTGTATCTGTGTCAGGCTGCAGTGCAGTAGCTGTCACAGGCGACTCTGTAATATCCCATATGCTGTTTGACAATGAATACACTGTGATCTCCTCGGGGTCCTCTGTACTGTTTTTTGTGGTTGTTTTTTATTTTGTGGATCTAATGTATCTTTTTTTTTTTTTACCTTTCCTTTGTGTGCTCTCGTCTCCTCCACTTGTCGTCTCATATCTTTGTCTTCTACCTCATCCTCTCCCCATCTGCAGTCTAACTCCAAGGTAAGTTATGCCCCTCCCCACATTTCCCACCCATCTCTACCTCGATCCACCCTAACTCTTGTGCTTAAACATGTGATTCATTTCAGCAATGTCATTTTTACATGAAGCTATGAATTAATCTGTGATACTCATGTCTTGTCGCTGTCCCGGTCATCTTGTGATTGCTACCATTTTTGAAACAACATTCATTCAAAACGCACCTGACACGATCATCCATTACGCTTTACTTGTTTTCTTGTCTGTTTTTCATGTTTTCTCTTTTTGTTGTATGACATTTGGGAATATATTGTACCCTACTCACACTACTTACTTCCTATGCAACACTAATCCCTCAATAATATAATGCATTTTGACATTTTATAGTAAATAAATGTTGCAGCAACTACAGATTGGATTTCCGAAAAGAATATATAAGCATGGAAATATCCTTAAAGTTTTATGGTTTTACAGACAAGGTGGCAAAGACCAGACCAAGAAGGGTCCAAATGTCAAACTGGGACCACAAGGGGACAAGAAGGGCTTAGTACAAGACCCTCGTAAGGATGGCTCCATGGACCACTTAAAGGTACGGTTAAGAAAGTACACTGTGTATTTACTATGTACTGTATGTAAAAAGAGGGACGTAGTCACCAAGACTTCATCGATTGGTTATTTGACTGCTGTTTTGCAAGCTCCAGTTATGCATGGCTGTCACTATCTCAGTTTTATGAAACACGAAGGTGAAGAAAATTCAAACTAAACACTGAAAAAAAAATGTTCAGGGACAAAAAGTTACTAAATGTGAAAGGTGAAATGACACCGTGAATAGGTCAACGTTGTACGACCAGAATACGACAACAACCAACACAGACACCTTTGTGGTGGCGACCTGTCAAAACAAATGCTGCTTTATCGTCTGCTTTACTATAAGTACGACCATACTTTACAAACTGAAGATCTTTCTGTATTGAAGGAGACTTGAAACCGCTTCAAACTTGTTGGGGCCATATGTTTTGAAGTGGTTATAAATCATATCCAAAGTAGGGTTTTTTTCAAATTGCCTTTTGCTGGATATTGGAGAAATCCAGGTTTAAGGCACTTCCACATTATCTCCCGTTTCAGACCCAAAGGTTGCTGCTTGGTATTAACCGGTGCTTCAACATGTTTTTAAGGAAACTTGCGTCTTCATTTCTATGTGTCACATCTTGTGTGGATTCCTCTGTGATGCAGTTGGAGGAGCTGATGAACACGCTGGAAAGGACGAGGCAGGAGCTGGATTCCACAAAGCAGCGTCTCTCGTCCACACAGCAGTCCCTGCAGGAGCGGGACGGCAACCTCACCAACATGAGACAGGAGCGCAGGAAACAGCTGGAGGAGATCCTGGAGATGAAGTTAGTGCCATCATGACATATTGTCAGCTTCACAAATACATCAAATAATTTTGTGATGGCCACTTCTCTTATTGTTTTTTCTGGCTAAGGCTTTAATTCATTACTGGTCTGGAATCTCAAATGTTCCATTAAAATAATAATAATTTAAAGCCATTAACATACATAAATACAAAAATTCCTAGTTTACATTTTAAATCAATTGAGCCTTTTCGCTCCTATATACTTTTTGGTCTATTAAGTATCAGATACTAAATAAATACCCCTTTTCACAGTACAGTATCTTCCTTGAATCTAGGGAACCAGCAGAGACTGGGCCAAGAAATAGTCCCACATATAAAAATAAACACCCTAATAACTTTTTTATGGATGAAATTTCCCAACGTTTAGAGTCTTTTTTGTAAACATATAATGTTCTTTCTAATTCACAGAATATAAATGCTGATAACAAAACGTTGTTGTTTCTTCTTCAGGCAACAGGCTCTGCTTGCAGCCATCAGTGAGAAAGATGCTAATATTGCACTGCTGGAGCTGTCGACCTCCAATAAAAAGAAGACCCAGGATGAGGTGCTGTCCCTCAAGAGGGAGCGGGACAAACTGATGCACCAGCTCAAGCAACACGTTAGTATTGCAGCACAATGTCAATGAAAACTGTCTGCACTGTAATGGTTGCCAAGGCAACATTAATCAAAATGAAAAATGTAGCTGCACAAGGCAACTAGACATTTTTTCCATTTCATCTACAGGGGGTAGTGCACATGCATGGCCACTGATCCTCTTTGCTTGTTCAGTATGTCTCATTTTGCTGTAGGAGTCAAATCTATTGTTACTGTGCAAATCTCAAGTCATTCCATCCAAGTCCAACTCAAGTAACAAGTTCTCATTTGCAAGTCCTTTGGCAGTTTTATCTGGCCATTAACATGCCATTTCATTTGAGCTTTGATAGTTTCCTATCAAAGCTGTGTTCATTCCCATAGCTGAGGTCAAATCCATTCAGTGCATAGGCCTAGTGATGTTAAATTCAAGGTGTGTTTACCAGGTCCAAACTTCAGTCTTAAATGTTTTTGCTTTCAAGCCTCAAGGCATGTCAGGTCTTCAAGGAGTCAAGTCTCAAGTAAGTAAAGTCTTGCAGCAGTCAAGTCTAATCTTAATCTTTGACTCGAGTCTCACTCGAAGTCTTAGATCTAAAGCTCTAGTATGATTTACACATCAGGAATTCAGGCAGCGACATTACGGCCTCTTAATGTCTCTGTAAGGGGCCCTTTATTGCCATGATAAATTAATTAAAAAAGAATGACTGTTAGACCTCTGTTTATTGTGACGTATGCTGCTTATTGTCAGTGAACTTCAACATGACTCATGAGCAGCTCTTCTTGTAGTTTATTTACAGTCAATAACACTAAAGTATGTACACAAAGGATTATCACTAATCATAATGATGTAGAGAGAATGCAGTGAAACAGCATGATTGAAGACAAATTGTGGTTATAGTGTACATAGTCCCATGTCAACAAGGACTGACACTTAAAAGACCAGTTCAACGTTTTGTAAAATATGTTATACGGTAAATATTAGTATGGAATGACTGCAGTCCCCAGGAAAACAGCTGAGAGTCAGGAAGTCACTGAACCCAACCCAGAAAGAGATTTAGCATAAAACTCACCTTGAACCACATCTTTGTAATGATGTATAGTAACACGTTAGTTAGTGAGCTTAAAAGTGCTGGGAGTGAATTTTGATGCTTTTGGACTTTTCTCTAGCTGTTAATCTTAATGCTCAGTTGGCAAGTGACTTTAGATCCGTATTTAGTATACAAACATGAGAGTGGTAGTGATCTAGGTATTTAACCTGGTAAAAAAGCAACAATTTAGATTTTTCCTGTATTTTTTAAACCAAATCACAAAATAGTTCAAAATGAATACAGAGATAAATCAACTGCTTCAGTCTGAGAATAAAAGAAACACATACGCCTCAGTGTTGTTTGCATGGTTATTGCACTGGATTGTAAAACATTGTAAGGTGTTCCTTGTTTTTATGTCAACCCACATTTACTAAATGCTGTGTATTGTCCAGTCATTAACTCATTTGATGTTCATTGTGAGGGAATACTGTTCTTTTTAACAGCTGCAGATCAGCATGCACTAACAGTCCTCTCTTTCTGCAGACACAAAGCCGGATGAAGCTGATCGCCGACAACTACGAAGACGAACAATATCATCCCCACGCTCCTCACCACCCCCAGCCTCAGCCTCCGCACGCTCAGCCTCCGCACGCTCAGCCTCAGCCTCAGCCCCAGCCCCAGCCTCAGTACCCCCACGCTCCCCACGCTCCCCATGCTCCGCACGCTCCCCACCCTCCTCACGCTCCTCACGCTCCTCACGCCCAGCAGACTCCATATCCCAACACCATGCATCCGCAACACCCGCAGGCCCCCCAACAGCACCCACACCCACAGCAGGCACAACCCCAATACCCTCACCCCCAGCAGCACCCCCAGCAGCACCCCAATCAGCACCCCCAGCAGCACCCCAATCAGCACCCCCAGCAGCACCCCAATCAGCACCCACAGCAGCACACCCAGCAGCACCCCCCACCACCTCCTCAGCACCAACAGCACCCACGACCCCCACAGCCCCAACACCCTCACCAACAGCACCCTCAGCATCCTCCCCAGCACCCACACGGACATCCTCCTCCCCAGCACCCTCACCCGCAGCACCCACACGGCCCTCCCCAACAAGGACCCCACCCCCAACATCCACATCCCCAGCACCCCCAGCACCCGCATCACGGCCAACATCCACGTCACCCATCGCCCCATCATCGTGGAGGGCCGGCCCGAGGACCCCCACATGCTGGTCACCGCCCTGCCCAGGACCAGGTGAGAGGCCATTTGTTTTGTAGTTTTAAGAAGTTAAAACAGTACTACAAGTACTTAGCACATCACTAAATCCTCTGATGCTTAGTTTTACTCGTAGACGTTTATAACATATTTTCTTTATCACACTGCCTGCTGTTACAGAGGTTATTTGTTCAACTGTAACTCTGGTTTCTGTCTACTTCCTCGTCTTATGCAAATCTCTGCTGCTTGTGTGAAATGCTACCATTAGCAGGATGACGACGAGGGCATTTGGGCATAATCCTTGCTGTGACAACCAAAGCGCTAATATTGTTTTGAGGGGTGAGATATGTTTAAGACGTTATAACTTTATGATTCTCAGTTTCTTCACGCTTTATAACTTGATAACAGCTGCATGACGCCTTGATTTTTTTTGTAATCTCTCACATTCAGATGATTCAGTCACTACTGGAGTAGCAGCCACGCCACGATGTTGAAACACTACCCGACCAAACATGTATTACCTTCACTCAGTCGACGCTCAGCAATGGGACTTTTGTTTATTTTCTCTGGGGACGAGGAGGGGGCACTCAGGTGTGCAGGTCAGGCGGGGAGACTGACAGCTGATCAGGTAATTTCCAACACATAATGTACAATGACACACACACACAATGAATCTAATCAAAATAAATGTACAAACTTACCCTATTTTGTTTTTCTCTGCTCAAGGTGACCTGGGACCTCTTCTCTGTGTGAAACAGGAGCAGCCGTCCTCTTCTTCCTCTGTACAGAAACACAGACGCAGGACTACATTAAAATGATGTTGATGCCCACAGAGACAGATGTGGCCTGTCAGATTCTTGCTTGGACATGGCATGTGATCAAGATGGCAGCCCTGCGTCTCACAGAGGTCACCTCACCTGTCTGTCACCTGCTGATCACTACACCTCTTCAGGCCAACAACGCCCTCTCCATCCACCCAGCAGAGATCTCATGACTGCCTGCCAGCCCAGTATTTGTTCCTCATCCTCCTCCCTGCGATGGATCAAGATCCTGGTCTTCTTGCTGTCTGTTTCTCCTGCCCACTGATCCCTCTGGCTGGCTTCCCCTACCTGACTCTGTCCTGGTTTCTTGATCCTCACTGCCCTGCTGACCCACCTGGTGACATCTGACCCCTCGACCTGGCTGTCATCACCCTCATGACTCATGACTATTCTGTAGTTTTAATCATTTGATTGTGTCGATGAGCTAATTTACCCTTTGTGGCACACAGTGACCTCTTTTTTACCTTTATACATGCCAACACACAACACATCTGTTTAGAGGCACTTGCTTTTTCCACACACCAGATTAGATCGTTTTCTGTTTTAATTTCTTGTTGGTAAAAGGGAGAGCTTAAAGCTTGCTGATAGTACGCCTTAAGCCTTGCCTGCAGTGGTGGGGTTCTCTTGGCTACTGAAGCAGGGCCTTCCAGCTCATGGGCTTGTTATAGCCTCAAGGCTGTGGGTGCTATCAATGTTTCTCTTCATCTTACCTCATTTTAATCAAAAGTAGTCAACAAAATAATCAATCTATGCAGAAGTCAATGTAGAGTGAATGCATTTTTATTCCCACATCCTTGCTCAAATTTATCACCAAAAGTGTAATCAACCATCCAATCAGAGCGGCCAAGAGAGGGTTAAAAAAATAATCATAAGTCATTTTACCTTTCCTTTCTGATACTATGCACCTATGCACCTCCTCCGTGTTGCAGGAATTTTTACTAATGGTGCTTCTGCTGGTGCTCAAACTAAATGGTGTCAGAAGACCTGGTCAAGAGCATCTTGTAGTCCTTTTACAGTAGAGGGACTTGATCCCAAAACGGGCTTCACAAACAACTGTAAGACTGCTTTGTACATACGTCTTGACCTTATGAACAACAATTACTTCAAGACCCACACAGAGGTGATGGTATGAAGAGTGCTACTATAAATACAGTATAGACTATAAGGTGGAGGTTCAATCGATGTTTTCCCTGCAGGTCTGTCTGTACCATTGACACCCCATCTCTGACTACAGTATGGTCCTGCTCCCCTCTCCGGTGTGACCACCCCCAAACATAGTGACCTGTTTTCTCCTTCTCAACAAGGTGGCCTGTGCCTCGTAAAAACTGTACACATATATGATAGATATTCATATATATTATACATATAGAGAGAAATCTATAGTGTGTCTATACGTGGTCAGAAAATCGTTTCAAACTGACAAGATATATATGTTTTTTTCTTCATGGTTATTTTTCTAACTGGCTGGAGGTCAGTGAGATGTCTTATTTAGAGTGTTGAGTGGTGTGATTTTCCTCTGATTTGTACATTGTGAGAAAACCCTTCAGCAACAAGAAACATTCCCTGTCTGAAAACAGGACAGCCCAAAAAGAAAAAAATATAAGAGCTTTAGAGCAGTTTGAGGAATAGAAGTATATCCAAATCTATTTAGAAGTGTATAAAATATGACATTATTACATTCCTTCCTTATGAAAACATTTAGTTGAACATCACTTGACTTGTGGTGACAACTTCGAACAAAAAAAAAGACTGAATTTTGCAGCTCACATCAGTAGCAATGAGATTATGGCTGCTGGACTAAAGCAGTCAGAAACTTGCACTTGTGAGTGATGACTATCACGTTTAACATCCAAGTAGAGGTTCGAGTGACTCTGTCGGGATGCATTTCTTTCGCGTGTTTGTCGTCGTTGTCGTCTTGTAAACAGAAGTGGTGACATACGTGACTGTGACAGCTGATCAAGTAGAAAAAACAACTCGCATTATATAGTGAAAATTGAATTAGACTGTTACAATCCCCTACTTCCTCTCCCTCCCCTCATGGTGCCTGTGTCTCCTTTATATGGCCAAGTGTTGATTGTTGTATGTAAATGTCTTTCCATCTACCCATCTTCCAAAAATGATGTGTCCGCTTCACCTATGAACCTACACACATCCTGTCACTGACCAAGAATCCATTGATGTGTGAAACTTTCGTGGTTGTGTTTACAAATGTTAAAAGAAAGGTCCTGATTTGGAATTTTCTTTTTATGGGAAGACAATGCAAACAGACAGAGGAGCAAAAATCCTCTCAATTCACCATCGGGAGGCGGAGTGCATTTCCCCGACTTTCAGGTCCTTATCTTTTGAATACTTGAAGTAGGGGGTTCTCCTACCATCAAATACCATACTGTATATGATTTACATGGTAGAACACATGAAACATTTGAATTGTGCCCATGCATGCTGAATTTTACATAACGTGCCAACTGGAAGCGACGACGTAAGGATAATCTCCTGTTCTCTATGCAGAGCGATTTCTCAACTGTTGTGTCAAATAAAAAAAATGGTAGGAGACACAGAGGCTTAGAGGCTGGGGCTTGTTCCCTGGGCTTGAACGAAAGACTAATCCTGGGTGTGAAAGACTAACATCGCACTCAGTGTGAGGTGGAGTCAAGAAGTCAAGTCTGTGGCTGGAGGCAGCCGTGTAGAAAAAGACTTGAAAGGCCTGTAGGTTCACCAGTTATTTTCAAAAGGCCTTTGAGAAAAAAAGTATGAAAAGCCTAACATTTTCACTTTATCGTTGTATACAGGTTGTTTTTCTTTAACTGTATGTTGCTGAAAACTTTGGATTAAACAAATCACTGTGACCAATGCCAGAAACATTTTTTTGTTTTGACAGAACAAAAATTGTTTACATTTTTATTCTTCATTTTTTGTATTTAAGTTAACTTTATTTTTTCTATGGTTTAAGCTTATAAAATATGCCAGTTTGAGACTGTACTATTTGTATGAGTAAATGTTTTGAGCTGTACAGTAAAGATCTAGGAACACGTTAAATGTGAGTGTCCAGCATGCTGAATGATTACTTGTGTGAACGTGAGCTAGCCTCCCATGATGCATCATTCCTCATTCATTACTTGCATCTGCATCGTGCATTGTGACGGTGTGATGTTGTGTTTGAGAGTGATGTGTGTCTCACTTACTGTGTCCCCTTAGTAGACAGCCTGTGCAGTTTTGTGAGAGTGCAGCATGTTTTTGGGGTTGCTTGTGTAAATGTATTCAGAAAAGAGAAAGGAGTGATAGTAAGTGTGAGTGCACATAGCTGCTTTTATGGGTGTGGGTATGGTGGGTGTGTGTGTCATGAATGCATAAGAGAACAATCTATTTAAAAAACTTTATCAGAGGAAGTCCCTAGAGAAAAAAGAGAGACTGAGTCAAAGTTTTGAATGAAGCATGGATACTCTGTGATGTTTTCTGTTTTTGTTTTTTTAACCCTCTGAGGCTATCCTCAGCTCCCCAGTTTGCTATTGTATGTGATGTAACAGAATACTACTATTGAGTGTTGGCCAGCTTGTTTATATCCATCAAATAAAGGTGACTTTCTTTCTGTCTCTGTTGGCATTTTTCTACTCAAATCTTAATTATAAGTACTTTCTAGTAATACTACGATCATTATGCAACTGTTGGATAGTGCAAACACGATATACTACATTGTAGTACAGGTAAAAACTTTATTTTTCGTGAATGCAAATACAATGTCATTGATACAGTATTAGGAGAAAATCCAAGCAAGCTGTACATTATTTTTCAATCTATCTATAGTTAATAACATTTTATTTTGTTGGCATCAAATACCAAAACAAGGCATCTAAAGCTAGAAAAATGTCTAACACCATAACACCTTTCTACTAAACCTTGCAGTCTTCCAGTAACTGGAGATTGTGTTGGCAACAGAACCAACTCAATCCACAGACTGTAAAATAAGGTTAAGAATCTCCAGACTATAAACTGGTAGGTGCGCCTTAAATAAAGCTTTAACTACATTTTAAAAGGTCGAGAATAAACAACCACATTCCTTTTGAGAAGCTCGGTACCACAGACTTAATGAAAACTCAAAACATGTAAAGAACATCCAAGCCAGTGGGGGAAAGAAAAATATGTAGTTAGCGGAGAAGCTGCAGGTTCATGTAACTAAAACTTGAATTTTATTCAAATGTTTCGAATTAAAAGGAAAGGTTGGTTCTGCACCTTAAAGGTAGGGTAGGTAATTCACTTCAGAAACACTTTTTGTTATATTCCATGGAATGCTCTTAACATCCTGATAGCAATGAATAAATGAAATGCTTTGACAATAAATATATATAAATATTTCATCTGTGGAAGCCGTGGCGCTGTAAAAAGCAAGTCCAATTATCTGCCTCGGCCCGCGGCAGATAATTGGATGGCCTACCTGCCTGTCAGCCTTCCATCTCGTGCCCTCATTGGTCATGTGCGCGTTCGTGTGTGTTGGAGGAGGGGCTCTGTAAGGAAGTCTGAAGGAAGGGGCAGATTTTTTTCGGTTGTGTACTTTCAAATTCTAGCTTACTCGAGCTGGTTTCTCCGTTCTTACCTACCCTACCTTTAAGCCCCAAGTATTTTTTACATTTTTGTTCATGATAGTTCAGTGCTTAAAAGTTTGCCACAACAATTTCTCTAACTGAGAGAAAAGTGTGACAAATATGACCATCTTTCAGAGCAAAATACTTTCATATCAAAAACGAATATTGTTTATAACAAAAGTGAATGCGCAGATTCAGTTGCATTTTCTGAACAGTAATTGTTTAAGTTGCTGGCATACAGCATGTACTATTTGTGTTAACGTCCCCTGACGAAGTTGTTTAACAAATGGTCCCCCCTGTCAGAAAGCCAGTACCCTGCCATGGCTGCCACTGCCCCCATAAATACAGATGTGTAGACCATATCTCCTTTGGCAGCTAGTGTGGCCAGAGCACAAAGCACCACCCCGAAGAACATCTGCTGCAGCACCTCCACCTCGTCGTCCTGGATATCCTCAAACAGACCTTTGTCCTGAACGCCTGCACAGAGAGATACACGTGAGAGGCTGCAGTCAGGTGAGGTGCATGGGATTGTGATGAGACTCACGAGGCTGCTGCTTCTTCACACAGACACCATCTTTGTGGATGAATGCCTCAGCACAGTCACAGCGGAAAGAGCCTTCTGTGTTGGTACAGATCTCATCCAGACCATGGCAGGCAAGTACCCTGTCACTGCATTCATCTATATCTGAGAGAAACAAGGAGAGCTTCATTATGCAATCTCATCTGGAGCACAAAATCATTCTTTCAAATATTATGTTTAAGGTATTTACCCAAACATTTGGACCCTGTCAGTGAGTACCCAGAGGCACACTTCCTGCAGCGTGCTGGTCCACTGCCCATACAGCCCACACAGGCCGGGTCGCAATCTGAGGAAAGAGTGACCTTACATTTATTCATTTACAAAACAAGGCTTGATATTGCCTGGGCATTGATACATGATAATATATGTTAAAAACATAAAATTAACTAGTGAAAGATTTACATTTTATTTTATATTCTCAACTGGTTGTATGTAAGGAAACCAACTTTGTGTTTGTGATTAAACTTAGTTTTCTCACTCACAATATCATTAACTGACATTGAGGATATATTCATATATTTGGCTGGTTGAGCTGTCTGATACACTGATGACTTTTACCTCCTTTTGTCCGTTTTGGGGCTCTATTTCTTTATTTTTGATAAAATAATAACATCAATAGAATAGAAAATTAATAGATGGATAGGATATATATACTGTATATATAAAGGATATCTTTGTTAGCCCTGTATCAGTCAAACAATGTAATACATTAGCTGGCTTCAGCCTCACAAAGGTAAGAATTTGCTATTTTTCTGTAAATTGAATATCTTTAGGTGTTGGGCTGTTGGTTAAGCTAAACAAGGTGTTTGAGGATGTCTTCCTAACCCTCTGGTAAATTATGATAGATGTTTCCACTGTTTTCTGGCATGTTATGTTTATTCAGTTATTTATTTCATTTGGTCTTAATTATTTCTATAGAAGAAGGTAACATATTAAGTATTTTACACAGATTGTAGACCACTGACCTCTGCACTCAAACGAACCCTGTGTATTGAAGCAGTATCTGTTTGTAGGACAGATACCCAGCTCAGTGCCACACTCATCAATGTCTGAAACAGATCAAAACATGCATTCATTAAAATACATTTGGAACATTAGTCTGCTTGTCCTATACCAAACATAAATGTGAAGGCAAGCTCTGCACAGTACCTACACAGGTGTTATTGTGGAGTGTCCATCCTGCTCTGCATTGCTCACAGTGGTCATGTTCTGGGCCTGAACACTTGCTGCAGGAATCTGGACAGCTGAGCACCTGAGCAGCCAGCAGACCACACAGCCACACAGCCTGCAGAGGGTTCCTGTGGAGCGTCCTGACTGCCATCTGTTCCATTAGGTCCAAAATATCAGTTTAATCCATCTATAAGCTGTATGTACGTTTAAAGCTAAGAAGCAGAATTTACATTAATAATACAAAAAGAAGGACATCTTCGTATGATTGTACATCTGTTAAAATATAAATATAAAGAGAGACGGCTAGGAATAGGTCGAACTGAGTAAGAAGACCTTAAACTAACTTCAATGTTATGAGCAATTTAGGTGGTTTACATTTTAAAGTGAGATGACAAACTAAAACATAATACAGTAAAAAGAAACATAGACTTCTAGCTATTAATTTAGTCATATTCAGTTCTGTACACAGTCTTACTTATGTTGGCAGAGTTTGTTCAGTATATGAGATTGTTATATGCATGCAGATGAGTGTGTGTAAGCATTTGGTATATGTGTAGATCTTTCTTTTTTTTCCTCTAATACACATGTAAAGCACATTAAGTGTCACGGATGTACAAGGAGTGGACCCAAAAGCACGAATGCAGACACAGGATTCAAGTACTGTATCAAAAAGAGTCTTTACTTGAAAAGCAGTTGTAGTACAAAAAATATAATAAAACCACAGGATCGGCAGATCCAGAAAAATACATATAATGATAAATCTACACTAAATGCTTACCTAACAAATAAACTAGAAAAATATTTCTACCTGATCTTACCTTACTATAATTACTAATATGAACAATGACCGTAACGATAACTTAGAAGAGTTTGGAAAACGCTGGAGAGTTTGGCATAAGACACAAAATAATCTGGCAACAGACAAAGGGAGACAGGACACTATATATACTATATACAAAAGGTAAGTGGACACAGGTGGAAACAATTAGGGGCGGGGCAGACACTGACGATGGCAGGAAGTAAAGGAAACAGGAACGAGACAAGGTGAATACAAAATAAAACAGGAAGTGAAACATAAAAAACTAAACTAACAAGTAACATTTAACACAGTTGCCGACGCACAACATTAAAGGTGGGGTAGGTAATTTTGGAGAAACCAGCTCGAGTGCGCTAGAATTTGAAAATACACAGCCGGAACAAATCTGCCACTTACTTACAGAGCCCCTCCTCCAACACACACGAACGCGCACATGACCAATGAGGGCATGAGATAAGTTTGTGCACAGATGGAAGGCTGACAGGCAGGTAGGCCATCCAGTTATTTTAGCCGGGCCGGCTCAGATGATTGGTCGTGCTTTTTACAGTACTACGGCTTCCACAGATGAACTTTTTTTATGTATTTTTTGTCAAAGCACTTGCTATCGGGATGTTAAGAGCATTCCATGGAATATAACAAAAAGCAGTGTTTCCCCTACCCGAGCAGCACCCTGCCAAGGCAGTAAACCTAGGGGAAACACTGAAAGTGTATCTCGAGCCGGTTTCTCAAACTTACCTACCCCACCTTTAAGTTTATTGGTAGAAAAATGTGCTCTATAGAGCAAGCTGTATTGCCTTCTCTACATTTACCTGACAGCTAGATTCAATTTTACAAACAAGCACATGACCTGCTTACAAAGTTTGATGCATTGTTATAGACAAAACTAGTATATGGGGCATCCTACCGAATTAGTACAAAGTGCGGTCCCACAACAAGAAAAACTATTTAACAAAACAATTAAGTATTCAGACATAGATATTTACTAAGAATATGTTATGGTCTATTTAAACACAAAGCATTACATTAGATAGTGATAAGCTTAATATAAACAAAAACATCATGTATAGGGTACTTTCTATTGGGAAGTAGCTGTCCCCAACCCTGACACCCTGACATTTCTATTTCTGTAAATAACACTTAAAACATTTTTTTAAATTTAGTTCAATGGTGTATTTATAAGATCTTTATGATTACATTCAAACAGAAGTTGGAATATTTAGATTTATTGTGGGTTTAATTTTTTTATAAAAAACTATACTCAAAAAATGTCCCCAGTTTTCATGTCACTACCGAAACACAAGGGGTTTTAGTCCAATGGCTGAGTCTGGTTTTTAGCCGCACCCCTGCATTTCTGACTAGGCAGTGACACTGCATCCCTGTCCCTTATGGCTGAATGGCAAGTAGCTATATCCCATACTTTTGATATAAATCTGTTCCATAATCTGAAAATCGGCGTGTAACCTGAAGAATTGTCACTACCGAACACATATTATCTTCAATTAAGTAAACTTTTTCGGAGTTTTATGCAAAGTATTATGTTTTTATGTGTGTTAACCTCTTCAAAAACGTGTATGCTAGCCATGTACTTGCTAGCATTCTTTAGTTATGCTCAATTCTAGCTAGAATCGTCACTACCGAAACAGTCACTACCGAAACATATGGTTACGTTTCGGTAATTGACATGATCGTTTCGGTAGTGACAAAATGGAAAGCAGGTAAATCCCATAGTTTTGAAATAAATGTGTTTTAAAGTCTGAAGATCAGTGTGTTACTTTAAAGGTTTCTTATTATACTATTGTTAGGCATATATTATAGGTCTCAGATATATAAAAAACATGTCTATAAGGGTTTTGCTCAAAATACCAAACAGATCACCCATTCTAGCCTCATTCCCCTCTCTTTCAGCCTGTTACTAAAGTGCTGATTCTGGGTCAGTAGCTTCAAACATTCACACTTCAACATAAGGCATGTTATGAGTTAAGATTAAGCAATAAGGTTGAGGGAATATGATACAACCTTGAGAACAAAATACTGTGGTCACTACCGAAACACTGGATGTTTTGTAAAAAAATTAAGTATATTGACTTATCAACTAAAATGATATGATACTGATTGGTTTAATGTATGTTCAATTTCAACAATCATCAACTCTGGAATCAATATGATCAGTATTATGCATTTGACAAAGAAAGTTTGCATTATGATTTTTATGGATTGTATAAATTGAACTTTGACATTTGATTACAAATTAAATTTTATTGATTTAATTGTGAAAACCCTCAAGAAATATTTGTTAAAATACTATTTAGAGAAGGGAAGGTAAAACAATCTTAACAGGTTAATATAATGTTTTTTTACTACAGTGTATGTAGCCTAGGCCTACTATGTTTCGGTAGTGACCATTTTTGGAAGAGGAAGAACATTCCAATACAGTCTGAAAATACGATATATAAAAATGTACGGTTATTTTACTAGATATGTGTAATTTAGATATGGTACAAAATATATATGGACAAAGTTTTGGGAAAAAAACATACAACATTTCAAAACATTTCCGACTTGACTTTGCACCAATTCGGTAGAATGGCCCATAAATAAAAGTTAGCTTCACCATAAACACAATCATTACAATTCTGCTTACATGCATCACATTTCACTCTGATTTACTTTGCAATTTCGAAATTAATTAAGCTAATAATACTTCAATAGTGCTACATTTATATTATGTAAAAGCACAGCAACCATTAAGATGTACTCAAAACAAACTGTAGACATGCGTTAAGGGTTTATTTACCTCCTCTGTGTGTGTCGACTGACTCTGCACTCTGTCGGTCTTAATAAAGTTTAAAAAGGGTGAATACAACTGACACACAAGTTGTCACACTTCAACACTCCTTCGTGGTTTGATGCCAAAAATAAACCAAACATCCCGAGTGGGCGGAACATCGAGTTGCCTCATAGCACCGCCCCTCTGAGATGTAGTGAACACATTTAACAAGTGCTCCTCTGCGTCTTTAAACTGACACTAGATTGCACCAATCGGATCCACAGCCCTTGACTGAAGATGGCCAATCAAAATCTGACATCCACCATGCACAAAAATAAGCACATGTATTTATAAACCAGTGTTGACAGACGGACAGTACATGGATATGATAAGTCTGTTACATTTTAGGTTAAACATTATGAAGCTTAAAGGATAGGTCTGAGGATGTTCTACATGTTTCTTCTTATACACAACAATTGATTTAATCCTTAAACAAGCAGTGTGTGTAGGTGTAGCCGAAACCTGATATAACGTATTCCTCTACCGTAGTAGACCACAGTTTTTGGCACAAAACATTAAAATCACAGGTCTGCCACATTGTAACATTTAACTTCATAACAATGAACATTCAGTCCTATATCCTGCTGGTGTTCACTAGCACATCATGTCCAGTTGAAAATAGTCCCCAACAAAAACACAAGTTAATCTTTCCTTAGTTATATTTGCTAAAAACGTAATGTTCTTGCAGTTACTTGGGATATCATGTATTTTGTAAAAGATAAACAGGGTGGGACTAAAACATGCAAATGTAGAGTTGAACATTTGGGAGATGGTTTGTTATTGGTCATTTCATGGCATAACACCATGCAAATAGATCATTGCCAGCTATTATTTAATAATGTCCTATATGTTCATCTCATCCACACTTTGGATGAACACACGCTTCATATGCACAGAGCAGCAATAATGTACACAAATAACTAAAGGGTGCTAAAAGGTCTTTGTCTCCATGTTTCTTTATCAACTCTCAACATATTTACAGTGTGATTTCTTCTGCTAGATTGGTCCTTCTTTAGACTTTGACCTCCATCCATCTGATGCCCTCCATTTCCACCCTGTCCATGTCTTTACCTGATCCCTTCCCTGCCCCCGCTACGGCGAGCTCAGACAAGAATGCCTGGGTCTGAGAGGGAAGCTGGAACAGGCGCAGCCCCTGAAGAAGCTCTGGTAGACTCCTGTCAATGCTTGAATTGGGGTCAAATGTCACAAGAACAAAACGTTCTGCAGCTCTGCCCAGCTGCTTGTCCGCTTGGATGAGACACAGAGAGGCTGTGAACACATCAGAGTAAGGGGAAGACTTCTGAGGAAAACCCATGTCTTCCCTCTTCATCTTGATAACCCCTTGGTTCTGGTGGGTCCATGTTTTTACTCGCTCTAAGGCTTTGTGGGTCAACACAATCACAACTCGGCCGCCCAGGCTTTTCAGCTCCAGCAGCTGGGAGTACAGCCATGGCAGAGGCCCCAGAGTGCACTGCTCCTTCCTGCTCCACTGGTCCACAGACACGCTGAAGCCCTGGTTAGAGAGCTGTGAGCCGAGCCGACGCACTGACTCCGAAACACCGTCATCCACATCTGGGGGGCTCAGCAACACCACATGACACTTCATGCCAACTTTGGAGAAATAAAACAAGAGGATAAATATCAGAGAGTTGTTCCATTCCAACTTAATGACTTTTTAATAAAGTAGTGATATTACAAGAAAATACTTACTCTGTACAAATCCGCCATGATGCCAGCTCCACACCCATTCTATGAAAGACATAAAGATAGGAGTAAACATATCAGTGGGCTTATCAGAAATACACCAAAAGGTATTTATAATTTCAGTGCCACGCACAACTGATTCAATGTTTGCATAAGCTAGAATCGGAGGGGTGAAAAATGTCCTGGAATTCATCCATATTCATTAAACTTATTGCAAAAAGGAAACAAAGATTTGAACTTACTCTTCACAAAGTCATGCCAGAGAAGATATGAAGATATGAACACTGTCAAGCAAAGGAGCAGCATGATACCAACAATCAGGAGACTCCAGTGCCACCTGTCAGCTGCAAGTAGTACAAAACAAAACCCTGTTTATAAAAAGCATCAGGAACATGTGCTGCATTTCAGCTAAATGTGTCCAAACCAGCATCAGTTTGTGTAATTATTAATGTTTCAGACTCACTGTTTTCAAAACAGAATGGACCCAGCTCACGATCCATTCCCTTTACCTTCACCTGCACAAATACATTTAAATAAAGTATTTATTCAACGTTGGTAAAGTAATAACATTACTGGGGAGGGAAATTGTGAATACTTTACCATCACACATGGTGAGAGCTTCAGGTTGATTTCTTCAAACACCCCTGTTTTATTCTAAAGAAGACACAATCATAAATGCTCTGTCAAACTTAAAGTACTGTGAGATAAGAATAAATAATAAAGTAAAGAAAATAAAACTGAGGGGAACAAGTCAAGTATATTTACAGAGCATGCTTATTAATAGAGGCAAATACTCATAAAGATAAGATAAAGACACATAAGATAAGATGGTATTATAATTGCAGTAGACCAGAAGAAGTTCATAAACTGATTTCTGATTCTAGGTATGGCGAGGAGACCTTTAGATGATAACTCTAACAGAATATGTTGTGTGTAAACATGTAAACAACATAGGAAGGAGCTAAGCTTTTTATAGACTTAAAACCAATAATAAGTATTTTAAAAGATTCTTACCCACTGTCCCTTGCTGTTTTGTTTCCACGTGCCATGTGACAGCTGCTGTCTAAAGCCCTTCATTTCCCTGCAGCTGCTCTCCTTCTTGCAGGGCCACACCTCGCCCTCCAGCCTGCAGGGTGCGGACAGATTCCACGACAGCATTGGGCGGAGGTTGTTCATCTGACCCGGGCCCACAGACACTGACACATTCTGCCATACGTTCCTTTGGAATACATCTTGAATGGACACATAGTAAACATCAGCATTCCAGAGCTAAACTGCTCAGTCTTTACCTTGTGATAACAAGACCAGAAAGAAAATGAGAACAAAAAGACGTCTCACCTGTGTCAGTGAAAGGGCAACTGAGAGAGCGCCTGGACCTCTGCCCATCCTCATCCCAGACCTACACACACAGAGACACACACAGAGACACACACACACACACACACACACACACACACACACACACACACACACACACACACACACACACACACACACACACACACCACACACACACACACACACACACACACACACACACACACACACACAGTTATAAAGGTATACAGGTATACAGTGTTGATGTGGTAGCTATAATATAACCATAATGTTTACCTGGAGACAAAGGCAGGGGGTCACAGAATACAGTGGGATGGTTGTCCTGTTCCATCCCTTCAAAGTAACATTAAACACAACAAGGGTTTTAATATAACTAGACTTACTGTATATATTGTTTATTAATGAGATTGAGAAACTAGTGGTTGCAAGTAACTACATTTATGTCTGTAATTGTTCTGTCCTTCCATCTAATGCCACTGTATGCTACTGCTGAATTACCTACAGAAAAATGATATTGATACATTTAAGTAAACTTAAACTTTGAAGAAAAATGCTAAACATTCACTGGTTCTACTTGGTGTTACTTGTTTTTCTTGAATTTGACTTTAAACTAGATGCATTTGGGTTTTTGTACTGCTGATCGGACAAAACATTGCAAATAGAATTGGTCAACTTGACCTTCTTGAACTCTGCAAAAAACAACAATAACAAAAGAAAAAATGACAAACTGTACAGATAAACAACACTGACCTGACATTTTCCATTCTTCTCATACTGGATGCACACAGAGGGGAAGCTCTTATTCCTGCCATCAAACTGCAGCTCCACCCGATTCATCTCTTTGTTGATAACACTGATGAGTTTGGGCACTGACATGAGGAAATGAGGAAATGAAGAAACTAGTTATATTCCGCCAAAACAAATACTCATAAATAGGCACAAGGAAATAAACAACCAGGTATTATGTGGGGAATATTTACCATGGCATTCGTCTAGACGTTCCTGCAGCTCCTGGGCGCAAACTGAAGACAGATAACACAGTATGTGTCACTACTGGTAATGGTATATAAAAGTGCTTTGTACAGTAGTTAAAAAACTAGACTTTACCATCATCTAGAGAAGGAACAGAAACTTCTTCTCTTATAAGTGAAGCTTCAGGATAAACAATCACACGACTGCTGAAGGAAACCCCAGGTGGCTCAATAATCACCACAGAAATCTAAAGTATAGAAGAAACATTGAGAGTTTATAAGACAATGTTTACTAGAAGTGAGCAGTTCATACTTTTAATTCCAGTACAGGGAGTCTACAGTACCTTTGACTGCTTTTCATGAGAAAGAGCTGCACGGTTAACCGTAAACTCCACCTTCTTGCACATGGACATGGCAGGAGCTGCACAGTAGCACACCGTCACATACGCTGTTGCAACACAGACAAGACAGGGCTCAGGATTCATTGGCACAGTATAAGATAGTACAAATGTAAGACTCACCTCTAAAAACACACTTATAAGATCACACTATTGTTTCCTGTTCAAACTATTGCTCCCTGTATCATAGTGTACTTATGGGAATGATTTGTATTGCCACACCATATGGTTTAGCAGTCACTGGTTTTCATTTACTCCACTTTATACGAATTGATCAACATGACATTTTAACCATGTCGAATTTCTCCAAGTTAGTTGATCAAGGGTGAAGATAAAGCAAATATTAGTTGCTGTGGTCTGTACGTCACATTGTACAGCGACTGTGAAACCAAGCACTGTTCATTTCACAATAACTCTGTAATAACAACTTCCATGCTTACTCAAACATTCTTCCAGTAATCATTTCGCAACATCCCACAACCTAAAAAAGGATAATTGCTCACTGTATTCCTCCCCCTGAATAAATAAAGGTTAAAAAAAAAAACATGTTAACATGCTCCTTAGCAGGTGACTGTCACATCTTGGATGTTGTTTTAAATATTTCCTACTGCTAATCCCCATGTGACAGTAATGTAACTTTGACAGAACATTATAGAAAAGACGTGTTCACTGTGGTGCCTATTATAGCAGAAAGTCCTTGCAAGTTGACTTGAATATCAAACTATAACAAAACAAATACAATAGATGCCTTGATGGTAAGAAAACATTGAAAACCTGTTATGTACTTTTGGAGACGGGCGGTAGCAACAGAAAGGAATGGATTGTTAAATTGATTAAACAAAACAACCAGTAACAAGTTATAGTAGGCGACATGTAGTTTATACCTTTACAATTCCTCTCTGTTTCCTCCCCATCATCCTCTTCTCCATTTCCAGAGTGGCCTTCATTCTCCTGGGCTTCACCCGGATGAATGTTGATCTCTATCATCAGACATAATACACACGGCGCCCTGTCCCTGCAGCAGAGCTTAAAATACGGAGTCAGCCTTTGGACAACCACAGCATTTTTCTCTGGTACATTAAAAGGCATCTCATCCTTCATGGTGCAATTAGAGAGACCCTAAAAAAGTCAAAAATAGAAAGGAAAAAGGAGAAAGACATATGTTTAATATGTGCCATCGCCTTTTTACTGAATGTAATCTGGATGGTAAATATTTACTGTTCAGAGGAATATATTGTGATTGGTCTACATACAATGGCACTATATCTTCACAAGCAGGCAGATGGTTATATCCCTGTGTCTGCTTAATTAAATGTTTGAGAGAAAACACTTTATCAGTGAAAAGGGAAATCAAACTGTCAGAGCAGGCTACACCAGCAGTAAAAGGAAATTAAAAGTGTAATATGTCAACAAAAACTCTATGTACTATTCTGCAGTACAGGAAATGTCTGCTTCAGTGTTTCCCAGCAGTTCACCCTCCAGTTGGTTACCTCGGAGCAAATGACTCCATCGCTGTCATATCTAGAAATCTCCAGATGGCAGGCTGATATGTGTAGAGTCAGTAAAACGCACCAAATGGTCCATCCAGTATGAAGCATTTTGACTGAGGACACTCCAATGGAGTCCTACAGTATCTTTCACCAAACATCTCTGTCCAGGAGCAACATCACAACCTTTTTAAACGAGTCCAGTGTCTTCTTCCTCATTGTGACTTTAGGATGCCATTTAACTTTAACATGTTCTTGATCAAACTGCACATCAGCATGAACGGAATCGAGACGTGGTTAGCTGAGTTTGATTGGTTTCACCTTTAGTCCCAGCCTGAAAAGGAAGAGGTATGGGCAGGTGTTTCTTCACACGTTTGCAGTGATATAATAATCAAAGACATCACATTCTTCTTTTTCAATAATTTACAAATGGGCTCCATCTAATCGTGTTTTACAACTAACTTGATCAGTCAAGCTCACAAATCCCTTAATGGACAAAGTTACTGGGAACTCTGTAGTCCTTTTAACACTCCTTTAAACAAACAGGGCTTTGACAGTATATAGATGTAACATCAGCAGTAGGAAATAACACAAAACAAAAATCCTCTGGGTTACTTACTGAGTTTAATAATCCACCGAGAGCACGCTCCTCTCCTCAGATTACCTGTACACCTTGTGTTGTTTGAGTCATGAAGCACGTCACTGTCTTTCCTCAAGGTACGTCCCTCCCTTTTCCCCTCCCTTTTTTCTCTCTTTCCCCGTTTCTCTATCACTCTTGCTCAGTCACAGCACAGTCCTTCACCTTGTTAAAAAGTCATATTGAGACTTCCTGCTCTGAATGAATTCCTCATTACACTATAACCAGAACAACATAGACAGGTCAAAGTCCTCAACTACTAAAAATTCAGACTCCACCTTGAACACTGAGTTAAAGTAGCTTCATAAACAGAGCTGCTTTTTAACCACAGTTGACACTTCATGTGGTTTGTTGGCAACAATTTGTTACATTTGATTAATTTTTCTTGTTACGTCGGTTTGGCAGAGATCCTTGATTGTGTAATGTAGCTCTCAGTAGACTCTGCCTTGATAAACAAGTTTACCACCTCCGCACATAATAACCCGCATACCTTTGCACTCTAGTGCACCGCGAGAGGACAATCCAAAGTATCACTATAACACGCCTCCCATAGCTGCTCGACTGGTTTGATCACTTAATGTTGAACGAAAGGAAAAAAACCTTGTGGCTTATAACTTTAGAAATGTTTTCAAACCAACGGGGAAAAAATACAAAAACTATAGTTTACTCTGTAAATTCAGGAAGTTACTTTACTACTGCAAACTAAGTAGAAAAAATATGTTTATTCAAGCTCTGTGTTGAACTGTGAGGAACAATCACTGAAGCTTTCCAAGGATTTATACATTTAATATGCTATTTACTTTTCAGACTGATATATTTGACTCCTAAACATTTAACTGATTGCTGTAGTTAGTCCTGATAAAGAGATAATCCATTGTCTCTGTTTAAACTCTGAATAAACAGTAAGTGAAGAAGAACTAGCACCACATTTGACTGCACTGCTGCGGAGTAAACATTTAGTGCATCAACTATACCCCTACTATCCTTATTATTATTATTATTATTATTATTATTATTATTATTATTATTATCTGAGTGCAAGAACTTGTATTTGTATTATCATGCTTTTTTTTTAAATTGTTGTATGGCTAGTGCAGGATTTAAATAGTTTATTTTTTCCACACCTTCTTAAGATGTTTGGTGACATTATGCTTTCATCAATTAAAATTGTATTTATTGTAAAGAGACTATACACCTTTATGTAAATGCGGCTGCTGGTGAACATTTTTTTTTTGAGTAGAGGAACCTCTCAGTCTAAACTGTAAGTATGTTTTAGGACCAGCTCTGCTGCTAACTGGGCTTTAAAAAAGCCTGTAGAAAAGATGACCATGAGACAGTTATTTATATGATGGTTATAGAATGGTTTACTCTTTTAAGTAAATAAATCACAGATAGTGTGTTTGCATAGTCACATTTAACTATAACAATGTCATTGGAATATAAAGTTTGGGCAAAACTTTCTAAAAACGTCCTTCATATATTATATACATACATACACAAATACGTTAAAATCTAATTATATATCATATCCATAAGCACTCAAATATTAATTATGCTTTGTAACAATAATCATAGCATATTGTAGGGTTTTTTATATTTACTATATATATCTTAATACTTTCATCATTGTCACTGATGTTTTTTTGGCTATTGCTGAACTAATAAAAGGGAATCATATTGCACTATGATCAGTATAAACTAAAAAGGTCAACGCATGAAGGATATTGTGAATATTGTTGGAAATCGATATGGATATTCATGCTCATGACTGCTTATAATGACAATTAACCAGCACCATAAGCAGATTAAAACGCATTGCTTATTTTCTTTTAACATAAACATGTATCTTTATCATGTATAATTGACATGGGCAACAAAGTGTTACCAAAGTTATTGTTTTTTAATGACATGATGGTAATGTTTGAATCCTAAAAGAATAATAAAGGAATAACACTTTGGAAAATGAATTGAGGGCTGCAGGAGAAATGTCACGATATGTTCTTGATTTAAATGGTTTAAGAAATACATTTTAATATCAAAATATTAGTCAAACCATTGATACCATAAATTCTAGATAAATATCATCTACATGTAATTAAGTTCATAAACAACAACCAATGAGCTTGGATAATATTTATTTGATTATCTAAGTTAAAGCTAGAAAGTATTTTTCCCCGATGAATCTGTTTGTGTTTGAATAATTTTCCGTTCAAACTATGAAGGCCTCCAGGCGTCTCTGCAGGGCAGAGTCGGCCGACAGGAGCCAGCAGTCCAGTGTCAGGGGGGGGGAAATACTGTAGTCAGCAGCATTGGCCCTGGAAAACAAAGACAGAAATAGTCATATACTTCTTAGATAGATAGATAGATAGATAGATAGATAGATAGATAGATAGATAGATAGATAGATAGATAGATAGATAGATAGATAGATAGATAGATAGATAGATAGATAGATAGATAGATAGATAGATAGATAGATAGATAGATAGATAGATAGATAGATAGATAGATAGATAGATAGATAGATAGATAGATAGATAGATAGATAGATAGATAGATAGATAGATAGATAGATAGATAGATTGATAGCTTTTTATTAAAACCAACTAAAATATACCTGGTAACGTCAATCTCCTGGTCTTTGATCCTAAGTTTTGTGGTGGGAGTTTGTGGCACCTCCTCATAAACTGGATTCAGAGCTGGACACAGAGTGCAAACAATTAGGGAAGATAGCTGGCCTTCAAGGACACATTGCAGCAAATCATACAAAAATGTCATCATTTTTACCCACCTAAAATTCCTTCAGCGCTGTCCGATGACTGCTGTCTTAAAACGGGCCAGAGGAATGATTGAGCGTCCTTTCCCTGAATTAAGATGACCAAGTGTGTGTCCCCACCAGCAACATCGATGTCCTTGTCCCGCCTAATAATTGTCCAACTAGAAAAAATATGCAGCTTGTCTTAATTTCTTTCAGACTTGTTTTGCATGGAAAAGTTTAATATTTAAGGAAATATGTTGAAATATGAAAAACAAGATGGCAAGATTCCTGCCATTACTACATAGAGTCACCTTCCAGCTGTGATGGGATCCTGTCCAGTGTGGTGTGTTATTCTCGATCCCTCTCTCACAGTGATTTTATTGACTTCAACATCAACATACAGGTCAGCATTGAGCTGGATGACAATCCTTCTGAAGCCTCCATTCGATACTGAATCAAGCTCGCCGTGTACAGACAGCTCTGATACAAAAGAGAAACAATTGAACTCAACTCAATATCACACTGTTATCCTTACTGTACAAATATCTTTCACTTTAGTAAAAGTACCAGTACAATAATGTCATTATTGTTGTCATATCAATGTAGTGAGGTACAATATATGCTACCCAAATGTGGGAAAGAAGTATAAAGTTACATTAAATGGAAATACTCAAGTAAAGTACTTGTACCTTAAACATGTACGTAAGTAAAGTACTTGAGTCAATGTACTCAGACTTTCCACCACTGCTAAATTGACTTGACTTTAAGTATCAAAAGTAATATACTGTACTGCAGCCCAGTGGTACTCCCTCTAGGGGCCTAAAGATGTTGTGAGACATTTATATTTAAATTAAGTAACCAGAGGTGGGAAGTAACTAAGTACATTTACTCAAGTACTGTACTTAGGTACAATTTAGAGAAACTTGTACTTTACTTGAGTATTTCCATTTTTTGCTACTTTGTACTTCTACCCCACTACAATTCAGAGGTAAATGGTGTTCTTTTACTCCACTACATTAATGTCATACCTTTAGTTTAGTTACTTTGCAGATCTGGATTAATGGTGTGAAATATAATCAAGTCTTAAATCAGACTTTAGTTCCACCTGGAGTAAATTCACAAGCTACCCTGCAGTATACAAAGTCATTAAAACTAGCTGCACCTTTACCAGCTTTGAGAACACTTTAATGTTCAATAATTATAATCAAAACATATCATATATATTATTCTGAAATGGACCACTTGAGTACTTTTACTTTTGGTACTTTAAGTATATTTTGATGCTAACACTTTTGTACTTTTACTTGAGTAACATTTTGAATGCAGGACTTTTACTTGTAACAGAGTATTCCTACATTCAGATAGTAGTACTCAGATCTTGTACTTGAGTAAAAGTAGAAGTACCACTACAGTACTTGAGTGAATGTCCTTTGTTACTTCCCACCACTGCAAACTAAGGGTGATCATGGGTTACACAAAAGGAGGAGAAAGAAATAACTGTTTTCTTTTATACGTAGGGAGAAAAAAAGCAAACTAATAGAGGTTTACGATTAGGCTTTTAAAGATATGTAAGTGAAATAGTGAAGGCACAGAGAGGAGCTTTACTGACCGCTGGTGGGATGGTGAAGTAGTTTAAGGCGAACGTCTCCAGTGACATCAAAGCAGAGTGGAAGTGACTGATTCTCAGTTTTTAGCAAAAACCGATGGGAAACAGGAACTAAAGAATAATAAAGGATAAGGACAGTCACACAGTTGAAGGAAACATTTGTCATGAGAGTAAATAGGATGCCCTGAATTATAAACTAATTCATAATGATTGTCCAAATATGGCATGTGGTGGTGATCAGTACACTTTTGAGAGAAGGTAAATACAGCTGTGGCTGTGAAGCTCTGACTTTTAGCACTTATTTTGCTCTTAGAGTCACACATATTGAAACATTCCAGTGTAAACCAAATTATCTTAGTTAACTATGTCGTATTTATATACATTATTATGAATAACATCGATTAGAAACTCAACTGTTATCTGTTGCCGGCACAATGGTGGCATGAACTTGAGTAGGTGCTTCATCAACTGTAAATTACATTTAAACAAAGTCAGTTACATATATTCACATTACACAAATGTATAGATATTGTGTAAATCTAAGAGAAAAAAGCATTAATCGATACACCCGTTCTGACACATAACAGCCTTAAAACAAACCACTGCATAAACACATAATATTAATCTTGACCTGGCTTAATCTAACACAGACTGCATGCATGCACACACACACACACACACACACACACACACACACACACACACACACACACACACACACACACACACACACACACACACACACACACACACACACACACACACACACACACACACACACACACACACACACACACCACACACACACACACACACACACACACACACACACACACACACACACACACACACACACACAGTAACGATAACATGTGTAAAACAGTTTTCAAACACAAGTAATGTGACCTGAATTTGGTGGAAGGTTTATACCAAGGTGCATAGAAGAGGTCATTCATTTGTTTGATATATCCTCCTATAATGTGTTGTCTTTCTTCACTCTTTGTTTTATGGGGCGAAGCCTGCGAAGCTAGTTCAGGCAGTCAACTCGAGCACTTATGCTGCATTCATACATAACGCCCCTTGCCACTCTACAACCAACCAAACAGAGTCTCCTTAATATGCCGCTCTATTTAACCTGCCAGATCTCTCTCTATGCATTGCTTGCTGCTGCTGCTATTGCTGCAGCTACCCCTCCACGTCGCTGCTGCTTGCCTGCCCCACCACCACCCCAGCTTCCACCCCAGCTTCCACCTGTAGGCTCGGGGGGTTAGTTATTTAATCATCACTCATCGTGCTATGTATATCTGTGGAGTGATGAGGACCGAGCCTAGACGCCAAACTCAACTATATGCTGCTTCTAATAAACATGTTAAAGAAACACGTGAGTTGTCTGACTGAAATGATGCAAATGCTGTGATGGTTTTCAGCAGCTGACTTTGACATGTTTTTCTCAGTTTCACATGATTTGAAGAACATTGTAGCAAAAAAACAAATACAATTAGTTTGCTATTTTGTTTAAACAAGTGACATGTAATGTTTTCATATAAATACTACCATGAATGATATCTTTGAGAAACTCAACTGTTAGGTGGTAGCATGGTAGACTCTTCAAGATCTTCAATTTTGGAGATACCAAGTGAATCCATATCTAAATAAAATCAATTTAAACAAATTCAGTTACATATCGATGTGTGACAATTTTAAGGATGTTAATTGAAGAGAAAAGTGGGTTAAAGGTGGGGTAGGTAATTTTGGAGAAACCAGCTCGAGTGCGCTAGAATTTGAAAATACACAGCCGGAAAAAATCTGCCACTTCCTCACAGAGCCCCTCCTCCAACACACACGAACGCGCACATGACCAATGAGGGCACGAGATAAGTTTGTGCACAGATGGAAGGCTGACAGGCAGGTAGGCCATCCAGTTATTTTAGCCGGGCCGGCTCAAATGATTGGTTGTGCTTTTTACAGCGCCACGGCTTCCACAGATGACATTTTTTAATGGATTTTTTGTCAAAGCATTTAAGATATTCATTGCTATCGGGATGTTAAGAGCATTCCATGGAATATAACAAAAAGTGTATCTCGAGCCGGTTTCTCAAACTTAACTACCCCACCTTTAATTGACACCCCTAATCTGACACCCAACATCAGCCTCAAAACAAACCACTGAATAAACACATTGTCCAGCCTGTGTGAAGCTGACATGAAACAACATACAGCATACATTCTGAGAAAATCGTCTCATTCCGTGCCTGTGTTTAACCAAAATGAGCAGAAAAACTCTGGTAATGCACTGCCTGAAGGATTTTACAAAACGCAAAGGATGGATGAGAATTGGAACAAAGAAAAAGTTTACCTTGAACATGAACAGTATAGTCGCGTTGTATCATTGTTAGAACTGTTGAACGAACAGTAAAGACATTTTAGAATTGAACATATTTAGTTGGATTATAACACAGTACATTAAGGAAGAACTGCTAATTAACTAGTAGAACACATCCATCAAGGCCAGGTGAGATACATAAAACCCCCACCATGTTTATGGCCGGCCATCAGCTAAGATAAGACATCCTTGTATGACCTCACTGCTACAACATTTACTCATTACACTGATGAACCTTTGTCATAAATATATAAATACATAGACCTTGCCCTGGTCCTAGTTACACACATTGGGGAGTCGTTTAGGAAAAAGGGATAATAACATGAAAATGTGATACAGTAATTATGTTTTCTCTTAAATAATCAAGATTTGATAAATAAGCACCCAGCTGTACCCGCAACTCGCTGCATAATTAAAAACAATTAAAATAACTAAATGTACTCATCGTGTCGAATCTGAAATGTATGCAGAATGCTACAGTATATGAAATTATATTTAAATGATTATTATTAAACAATTGTGTATGTAACAATGCTGAAGATGTGTACCTGTACCTTGTTTATAGGAAAAGGATGAGTACGCTTATTTATGATGCAGTTGTTCAAAAACTTTGAAATGGTGATGATTTGTAAATTAGCTTGCATCCTCCCAAATGTGTCGTAAACAGTGCGTTTAGATAAACTGAAAATGAAAATGGATGTTCATATATTGAGGCTCGACTTTAATAAGCAGAAATATGAAAATGTGTAGCAACTATTTCTCATGCAACTTTTTGATTGTTACCAAAAATGTATGAAAACGAGTATAAAATATAAGACATTATTAATTAATCAATACAAATCACGATGCGGCTGAAAAAAAGCATGCACCTTCCTCCACCCTCAAGTAAACCATTTTTAACCATTCAACATGTATTGTGAAGAATCTGAATATTTGTAAATAGAGATAATTGATGCTGCAGGTTATATTATATGAGCTATACATAATTATTTACAATAAATTATTAGTGTATCTTTCATGTCAGAAAAGTGCAGATGTGTAACTAAATCTTACTTGATGCAGAGAATACTGTTAAACAGAAAAAAGAATACAGAAAAAGTTATGATGCAATTTATGCTTTTTTCATACAATGACAGCTATTTATAATTATAATAATTATAAGGAAATAAGGTGTCTATCATGTCTGAGCAGTGCAGATGTGCATGTCTTACCTCGCTCAGCATTTAACTGTGTACTCCTTAAGCCTGAGTCTGTCAAGGAAGAAAATATGATAAAGAAAAAGTTATTATACAAATTCAATACAGCTGTTAATTAATTTTGAAATAGTCAAGCATGCATCTCCCTCCACCTTCAGTTTTTGTTTTACACCAAATGAACTAGTGTTTCTAGTTCATTTTTTTAGCATAATGTTAAAGAAAGAATCATGATTGAGAATTGATTCATGTTGTACAACGACAGCGGTTTATAATTATAATAATGAAAAGGAAATAATGATCTATCATGTCAGAGCAGTGCAGATGCACATTCAAATCTTACCTTTTGGTTGAATTGATGATACTGTTATACAGGTAAAGATTATAAAGTTATTTCACAAATTACAAAACAGCTGTTAATTTACTTTGAAATACTCAAGCATGTACATCCCACAGGGTTTTTAATATTCATCAAAGAAACCAGAGTTTTTCTGATCAGTTTTTTTAGTTTTAGTTTACATTTCTTTACTAATTAAAAAGAATGTATGCTCTATGTACGTTATATAATAATATTAACATTGAAATCAAATCAGGTCAGAGTAGTTCAAATGCTTTCTTACAGTCCATCCCACCATAGCCATCTGTTAAAAAAGATGATAAAGAAAAAGTTATGATAAAAATGACAATATAGCTGTTCATTTATGTAAACTGTATATAATTATATTAATAATAATTCATGTCAGAACAGTGCAAACTAGTTCTTTCATGACTCGTATGCTGTGAAAAAATACAAGATGAAACCAATGAAGTTATGATGCAAACTACCATACAGCTGATCTTTGAAATACTAAAGCATGCATCCTCCTCCACCCTCAGTTCTTGACATCAAAGGAACTAGAGTGCTTCTTCACATTTTTAACATAATGAAAAAAAAACATTTCGTCGTGTTTAAAAATGTATGCTGTTATGTCATATTTTCATAATTGTATTGATTAATAATTAATAGTGTTAGAATGAAAAGGTGAAATTGTATCTTACATGCCGGGGGTCCTGTCAAAAAGAAAGAAATTATAAAGTGAAGTAAATATTCAGTTGTTAGTTTACTTTAGCATCTGTTTCTTGTTCATTTTTTGGTCGTGATTTCTTTTTTTCTAAAGCTTATTTAGAATGCGAAAGTGTGCAGTATATTATTAATTGGTCCAAATTACCTGGTAAACCTTGTCGTGCTCCTAAAAAGAAAACGATGATAACATCAATTCTCAAAAACAATTGTTAATGTCATTTGAAATATTCTTGCTTGTTTTCAGTTTCCTGCTTTGTCAGTTTTCAATATACAGTAAACAACAACATTTTATTCAGTAAACAACATATTAGTCTGCAAATAATCAGAAGATTTACTCTTAAGACAACATGTATGTTATTCATGGGGGTCCTGTCAAGAAGAAAGATATGATAAAGTGAAGGAAATATTCAGTTGTTAGTTTACTTTGAAAAAGGACACTAATTGTTTTAAAATATTGTCAAGATTAGCATCTGTTTCTTGTTCATTTTTTGGATGTGATTATTCCTTTTCTAAAGCTTATTTATGCAAAAGTGTATGAAGTACAGTATATTATGAATTAGTCCAAATTACCTGGTGAAGCTTGTCGTGCTCCTAAAAAGAAAAAGATGATAACATAAATTCTCAAAAACATTTGTAAACTTAATTTGAAATATTCTTGCTTTGTAGATACGTTTTCAGTTTCCTGCTTTGTCAGTTTTTAATATACAGTAAACAACAACATTTTATTCAGTAAATAACATATTAGTCTGCAAATAATCAGTAGATATACTCTTAAGACTAAATGTATGTTATTCATTAAAATACATCATATTATTAATTAATCAATATTGTAATCTGTTATGTCCAATTCAGATGTATGTCTTACCTGAGGTATGCATCACACTGCCCGCTGTAAAGACAAAAAACAATGACAAAATAATTTTTTTTTGGATGTTAACAAATGAGCTTGCATTGCTGCAAATTGTCATGTCAGGATCCTCTTATCAAAACCATTATAAATCACTTAAATCATCTCTTCTGTTGCAATACACTAGTATAAACAATGAATGGTAATATTAAATTACCTGAATAAGAAACAAATTTACCAACCTTTACGTTAATCAAATAAATAAATTATGGTGGATTATTTTAACAAAAAAAATGATGCACTTCCACACACAACAAACAACATAATTATTACATTCAAATGAAGTACATTATTCAAGTTTACATTAACTTTGGATAATAACACGGGAGAAATGAGCGGAAGCGCTCTCTTTTCCTCTCTCCCTCCCTCTCTCCCTCCCCTGACAGCCCGTCAGTATCAGACTCATGCAGCTCACTGATCCAGTAATGAGTGACCCGACAGTGAAGAATAAACATATTTATAACTAGTTTAGCTTGTTCCAGAGGTAGATAAACTAGCGAAGTTTGTTAGGTCTAACTTGAAGTGTGTGTTTTGCTCCGCTCACCGGTCCGTCACAGCGGGCGGAGCTGCAGGATTTATGCTTCACACACGTTGCATACCATTACTTTATTGTCTTTTTCGGACACCTTAAAAATCTGCCAGACTGTGAAGCCATTTTGGCGAGCTTGTTTTGCCGCCACAGAGAAAAGTGTCATGTATTTTGCGTCATCTGATCGGCTCTCCTGATCGGCCTTTATAGAGACCACCGATCACACTATTAAGAGTGAACATCTTTATTATATTATTAATTGGTCCAAATTACCTGGTGAAGCTTGTGGAACTGTTAAAAATAAAAAGATGATAACATAAATTCTCAAAAACATTTGTTATTTTAAAGGGGACCTATCATGCAAAATGCACTTTTGTACGTCTTTTATACATGAATATGTGTCCCCGGTGTTCCAGGAAACTCACCAAGTGTCAGAAAACACAACCCTCTCTATTTTCCTCCATACCCAAATCTCTAAAAAAGGGGCTGCAATGGATCTGATAAAAACTGATCCAGATTTGAACACTGTCCTGACGTCAGGACAGTGGCGCTACGGCTATTGGGCCAACTCCACCAATCAGGAGGAGACAGCCACGGCCATTGCCGTTCGAAAGCCCTGGAGACGCTGTAGTACATATGCCAGGCCTGTAGGTGGTGCTGTTCTCACAGAATCAACCCTTGCTAAAACAGAGCTAAAAAAATTCAAATTGAGCAAAATGAGGCATGGCTAAAATGCATGATCTGTTTGGTATTTTGAAAAAAAAAAAGTATAATGTATGTTATTCATTAAAATACATCATATTATTAATTAATCAATATTGTAATCTGTTATGTCCAATTCAGATGTATGTCTTACCTGAGGTATGCATCACACGGGCCAAATGACCTTGTCGTGTTCCTAAAAAGAAAACGATGATAACATAAATTCTCAAAAACAATTGTTAATGTCATATAACATGTCAGTAAACAACATATTAGTCTGCAAATAATCAGTAGATTTACTCGTAAGACAAAATGTATGTTATTCATTCAAATACATCATATTATTAATTAATCAATATTGTAATCTGTTATGTCCAATTCAGATGTATGTCTTACCTGAGGTATGCATCACACTGCCCGCTGTAAAGACAAAAAACAATGACAAAATAAACATTTTTTGGATGTTAACAAATGAGCTTGCATTGCTGTAAAATGTTCATGTCAGGATCCTCTTATCAAAACCATTATAAATCACTTAAATCATCTCTTCTGTTGCAATACACTAGTATAAACAATGAATGGTAATATTAAATTACCTGAATAAGAAACAAATTTACCAACCTTTACGTTAATCAAATAAATAAATGATGGTGGATTATTTTAACAAAAAATGTATGTCCAGTTCTTTAAATGATATCTATCAATGGCATGCAAGCGCTACCCACAACCTGCCAATAAGGAATCCTTATCAAATCTAGTAACTGTATTTATACATAGTGAATACACCACCTTTTATCAAATCATGCTGTTTAGACTGACTAGATATAATAAATTGCTCTGAGAACGAAGTCTTGACACTGGATTTTGCATCCTGTTTGCTTTATTCACATTGGGTTGCTTACAAGAACCTATATTTGGATGCCTTGACCCTGTCTGTGGGGCTTCTCCTTCCTTGGGTTTGTGGAGCACTTCGGTGTCCCCTCCCTCAGGCTTGGTGACCACCATGGATGTGAGTGGAGTTACAAAGCTGTACTTCAGCGACAGCTCCAAGGCCTCTCTCTTCACGTTCTCCTTCTCAGCTCCAGATAACAGCAGCCTGCGTCACAAATTGTGTTTACACATGTGAGTTGGCATGACAGTATGATTATTGTAAATGACGTAACAAAGTTGCCTTAATTAAAAAGAATAACATAATTCATTAAATTCAATAAATAAAGACTTTATTTCATGTAATATTATAATCTTTAAAATATGGCATGATTTAATACAGTTTAGTTTTATATGTTACACCAATATGCGTGAGTGTTTGTTGTTTCTTGTGCCTAGTGTTTTGTTGATGCACTGGACAACTCAACGTGGGTTGATGTCTTTTATTGAAGCTCTGCTGCAGTCCGTGACAAAGTTATTCAGAAAAGGAACTTTAAAGATGAATCTCCTTTCACAACAAGCAGCCAACGAGCTATTTCTTTTATGTTTTCATTTATATATTTTCATTCATATATGTGTAGCACACTATGCTAATGTGTTTGGCTATGTATATTTGTCTGAATCTAAGGAGGAGGCAGCAAGAAAAAATGATGGTCGACATGACACTCACTCTTTCTCCAGAAGCTGTTTGACCGTGAGATAGGCCCAAACCCTCTGGATGTGGTCGGCAGACTCTGTTCCAGTGGACTCCACGGTGCCGTTGGGGTTAGAAAACGTCATCTTCTTACTGCTCTGTCATAGTCCAAATGAAGTATTATGTCAGCATATACTGTACACAGGAACATTTCAACAACCTTTCAGAAGATTATAGATGGTGTGCAGTGTGAAGCAATTCTTACCGAAATTGCCACGACTTGTGGAGTGAAGGTTCCAATGTCGTTGTCAGTAATCTGACCGGCAACCACAATCTCTGATCCGTTATAATACTGGCTGAATACAGTCTGCGTCAGATTGGTGCCACCTTCATAGCTCATAGTCACATCGATCAAAAGAGGAGTGGCCACCTCTTCATAGAAACCCTGTTGACATGCAGTATGGACAATGTATAAATGTTTACTTCTCCACATCCAACCGTTATCATTTTCTCGATGGAAATGCATCAAATAACATTGTCACATTTACAATAAGAGCAACTGATCGCAAATACCTTCAGCTGTAAATCAGCATCAGAGTCTTCATAAATCCGTCGTGCCACACCATTGTTCTGCAGCGACATCTTCTCAAGGAACTCAAAATTGACATCAAAACCAAAACCGAGACAGTAGAGTGGGAATTCATCCGCAATAGCCACCCTGACATTTGACTGGATTTGTTCAAGATTTGTCACCCCTGCAAAGAGAAAGGACATTCGGCTAAATAAGACCAATCCACTCAGACTTTCCAATCCAACAACTATCAGTTATCGATGGTAAGTGTGCACATTTCTTAAAGTTAATTGTAAATATACTTGACGTTATTTGTGTTTTAATTTCCATGATGTTCAATATCCCACAAGAGTAGGTTATAGCTTGGTGACAGGAGAGGATATGGAGAAAATGACTACAGGGGAATCATTTTTAAAATGATGGACTGTGTCACATGGGTCCTTATAAAACATGTTTGAAGTATTTGCTCGTGTTTATGTGCAAGAGTGTTTAATTGTTACCTGATGTTGGGTCTCCATCAGTGAGAAGAATGAGGATGGATGCTGAATCTTCTCTGGGATGTGCGTTGAGCAAACTGGCTCCTTCCAACACTGCACTGTTGATGTTTGTGGCTAAAAAAACAAACTATTGTATCACAACCGTTCTGCTGGGATATGTTTTCATCCCTTCATAACATTTTAACTAAAAACCTTACCTCCACTTTCTCTAATATTCCTTGAAAATATCTTGGCACTCTCCAGGTTTCGCTGGTTGGCTTGAACAAGTTCTCGTTTCCAGTAAGAAATGCTGCCATCAAAAGTGATAAGACCAAAGTGGTCATCCTCTGACAGGTCGTTCAAGATGTGGATTAAGGCTAACCGGGTCTGTGCAAAAAACATAATTGACAATTCAAAACTTTTATTCCAGTATAAAACAATGTTGTGTTTCATTTGTGCCTATGTATATAATAAAGAGTTCTGTCTTACTGAATATAGCAATATGTCACAAACTCACACTCTTCAATTACTTTACCTGTTGCATTTTTTTGCCGTGCATTGAGCCACTTCGATCGATCAAGAAGACAACATTTTTTGATATGCGGGTAAGACTAGATGGGGCAAAGTGATGAACAAAGTAGCCGGCTGAAGTCTTTGAGGAAGAAAGAAGAAAGTTTGATTGTGACAAAATATTGTTGAACCAACAGGGGATGGTAAAATATATTTTTATTTCAGTATGTATAGTGGTTTTTAAAAATAAATAATAGACCATTTAAAGTTTTCCAGAACATGAACTATTGCTTTACCTTAATGTCTCCCAGTCCACTGTCCCTATTGACATCGTAAACAATAACCAGATCTCCATTCAGTCCCTGCTCTCCACAGCTGGTACACGTTTTCTGTTGGTCTTCTGTTGGGTAGAAGTTCACCCACACCTGGAAACAGGAAGGAGAAGGTTTTTACAGACTTTTTATTGACACAGAAGTTGATGAGCAGGTTTTATTCTTCAAAGAATCCTCTGCCTCTTGTTAAATGTGATAAGACTGAAATCTAATCACTGCATCACACTACTGGAACAACAATATGCAGTTTGAGATCAAACCAGAAAGAGAAAACTGTTGAAAAAGTGCGACAGTAGATCTATAAAAATAGAAAAGTATGAGCCATATGACAGAATGTACATTGCCATTATATATGTAGCTAAATGGTTAAATATAAATCATAATAAAGTCAAATCTGAGTTAAATACAAAAGTTCTAATCACTGCTAAATCCCAATTTGGGACATTTCAAAGATTTCCCAAATTGGGATCAATAAAGTTCTATCTTATCTTATCTTATGATGTACCTCATTGTCTGCATGTGTTTTGTTGATGGCATCAGCCAGGGCTAGTCCTCCTTTAACCTCAACGATATTGATGCCAGATTCCTCGTGAATGTGCACATCAACCTGACAGAATTACATACATTAAAATAGTTAGAAGTAGTGAACATACAAAATGTTTTGCTGCACTATTGTTTTCAAGAATAGATCAAGGGAGACTCACTTTAAAGCTTTTCACAGGCTGCATGGGTCGAGCGTGGATTTGCAGCTCGTACTTTCCAAGCCTGCGTTTCAGCAGCTCCTCATATGTGAGTTCAAAGGTGACCTTTTTGTGAGCAGCCACAGTCACAGAGGTCTTAAATTCCTCCAGGGTCCTCCCTACAGAACTGCAATGAGATGATCAACTTTGCATTAAAACAGTGGTTTCCCCCTCAGTCTTGTGACCATTTCAACACAAATAATACCTATATTTATAAACCCTAATCACAGGTTATGACATTATTGTGGGTTTAACATTAGATCAACCAAAGGTGAATATTTCCTTCTCAGATTGTTACATTTGAAAGACTTTACAGCAAAGATGTTTAACAAATTCTCCATAAAGATGCAAACATTTAAGTCATACAAAAATATATTTTTTCCCTCGTTCTCGGGAGTACACACACATATCATTTGAAATATCTGTCAAAAAATGTATTCAATGCACCTGACAAGTCCGGCGCTTTGTCCGCGGGACACAGCCTCAGTGTACTGCTGCCTGGCTTTCTCTTTACCTTTCACAATGCCATCGTACACTTGGCCATCAATAAACCTGAAGAAGACCAAGGGAAATGTGTTGTTTATATGCATACTCCTTAGTAGCCTGAGATTTATCATTTTTATTCTGATGTAAAATCATTTCTGTGCAAATTCCTGTAAACATGTTTGCTTAACACACATTCTGAATTTGCTGATGAAGGCGTTCTTGGGAATCCGGACGTGGAACTCTATTTCCTTTGACTCGTCCATACGATTGGCCATGCGGCTCGTGATGACAGTGGTTGCATAACGACTGGTCACTGTGGAGTTGATGTGAAAGCTGTAGATGTCCCAGTCGTCCTAAACAAATACAGCAGGAGGAACATTTCACAATAAATTAAATGGCTTGGTTAATCATGTTGGCTGAAGACCAGCTGACCAAAGATCAGGTCATGGTGAAAATCAAATAGTGGATGGCATCATAAAAGTCTTGTTGGGCTAACTGCAGAATCACCCCGCTCTTGTTCTTATTTCGTTTTTTTGATTACACATCACAACAATCATGAACAACATCAAGGGGTCCATCTTTTGTGCTCAAAATGTGACCCCCAACGTGACTGTGTTCACATATTTACTGCCCAACAGTATGAGTAATACACATTCACAGGGCCGTCCCTCTCTACAGGCCGATCACGCAGACTGCGTGGGGCCTCACCTTGCGGAGGGGGCCTCATCTTGCGGAGGGAGCCGAAAAAAAACAGAGGGCCTCATCTTATAACTTTGCGTGGGGCCTCATGTTGGCCAGGGACGGCCCTGCACATTCACACCAGCCAATAGGGGTGCTAGGGGCGCCGCCCCAACTCTTCCCACATTCTAGATTGTCATTAAAAAATACTTTAATTTGATGATTTTTGTATGTATATTTTTTTAATTAACAAGATAAATATGATATAGTCAGTAAAATGTATGATCTACAATAAAATATTGATTGAAATTGTGTTATGAAGAAAGGGGTGGGGGTGGGGTGTCTAAAGTCAAAGATGAGTCTTGATTGGGCCAAATTTGACCCAGAGTCACCCACAACATTTCAATGCACTGCTGGGGCTTCGAACACCAAAATATACACTTTTTTTGAGAGGGAACTTCAGACTTGGGTAAAATGGTCAAAATCAGTTTTGCTATGTTAATATAGTTGTTGTGGAGGTCATCATGAAGCCTTTTTCGATAAAAAAAACTAGAGGGTAGATATTATACAATTGTTGCTTGAAACGGGTCACGGCAGACCAACACACAACACAAGGGTTAAGCACATATCTGAAAAAACTAAAAAGTATGAACAAACTAGAGTCCACATGGAAATTGCTATGCGACTTGCCATTTTTGGGAAATTAAACATAGCTGTCCAACTCAATGAAAGCTACAGGAAAAGAGATCAGTAAGCATAATAAGGAGGTTCTTATTCCCTTCTCAAATAATAGACTGTATCAAGTTCTGTGGTGCTTTTGAGCTAGCCCTGCGTTGTGACATATGTTTTTACTTTGTGTAAATGTTTGCTTACATTTTGGTATAGCCCCCCCTGGAGAAAAAAACTGCAGCCATTGATTAATTAAATTACAAAAAATCCCTAGATGTTCCTACTTAATAAATGTATTCAATAGATTAAGTTTCATTGCAGTGGCATGCTCTGTTCTATTAGGTTTTGTGTCCTCACCTTGTTCGGTTGTGTCGCAGCCAAAGCCAGCAGCAGCCCAAAGAGGGTGATTTGCAGCACAGCTCTCTCCATGATGGCTCCCACCAGAATGAAATGCTCGTAGATCAAACTGTCTTTTGAACTTAAACAGACAAGGACAACATGATGTGTACACACATTTGTTTCAAAGGTCAAACTCCTCTTTCTCTCTCTTGTATCAACATCTCCCACACACATGCTCTCCCCCCCCCCACACACACACAAACACACACAGTTATATAAAGGTCTACACAACAGCATTGATGTGGTAGCTGTAAATAATCATGATGTTTAAGTAGAGTTACTGCTTTTCATGAGTAATAGCCGCATGATTAACCGTAAACTCCAGAGGGATTTAATGTTTTGCCGTGCCTTATTTTACTTTGTTGCCCGGCCTAGTTCCGCAATTAAAGGATTTTCTGATCTTCAACCAACCTTCTGCATTTGGGTCCTGTCTACCTTGCCCTCCAGCCGTGACAGAAGACTCACACCAAGATGGACCCAGCAGGCAACCTCTACGAGGTAACTTACAATTTATTGTGCCTAAGAAATGACTGCAAATACGCCTCAAGTGGAGAAGAGAGGCAGTCAATCTTGGCAACTGCCAAAAAAGAAGTTACCTCGAGGCCCTGGTTGAAAGACTTGTTACCTGAGTGGGCTAAATACTTTTTGTATGAGACTGAGGTAAAACAAGATTCCCGGCCTGCTATTGCTAGCCCCCTGCCTCCCAGTTCCCAACCTGACACCATACGCCTCGGTGTGTTCTGTCTGGAGTCAGACCCTGCTTCTTCCCCATTTCCTGCTCCTGTCCAGGAACCGTTCTTGGGTACTCGTCTGCCTTTTGGAGGTCCAAGGAGCCTCCAAAAGGCTCCTAGGAGAAGGAGACGCAAGTCCAGGCTACCAGCCCGAGCTCAGGAAGCCATGCATTGGGCTCCAGTTCCGGTCCCAGCAGCCATGGTCCCGGCTCCCACTCCAGCCCCCCGTGTACAAATATTTCATAAAGGCATAACACTTAACACAGGAAGATGAATTGAGGGCTGTTGTGCTGGAGGAGATGTCACTATTATGTTCTTGATTTACAATTTTCTCTTAAATGTTTTAAGAAATATGTTTTAAAGGAGAGGTGTCATGCTTTTCCGGTTATTACCCGTCCCCTTGTGTGTTATGAAGGTTTTTATGCATGTAAACGGTGTGCAGAGTCAAAACCCTCAAAGTACACCCTGTAGCGAGTAAAACTCTAACACAGAAAATACCTCCCCAAAACGCCTCGTTGGACATACGTCATTGTCCATTTGATTCTTCCGGGTACGGCATGATGTCATGCGGTACCCGGAACAAAATGGACCAATCCGGAAGAGCTATGGCCACACCCAGCGGCGCTGGCCGCACCCTCTGCCAGCCTAACATTTACTGTTGGAAGCTCTGGTTCAGTTCACAATCGATCCAGTCATGCCAATGCCAAGGACCTGTTTCCTGAAATGTGTCGAAATCAGTCGGAAGTCGCAACGGCTCATTTCAAAATAAACGTGGATTTGCGTAAAAAACAATTTTTTCGGGGTTCGGGTGTTTTGTTTGATTTTAAATAAACAAAGTCTTGGCTTTCAGAATATGAAACTTTTATTTCCAAAATCACACGATAAATACATTTTTGAAGCTTGTAAAGGGAAGATGACAGGCACCTCTCACTCGCAATCTGCTCTTCCGCAGCGCCGCCCCCCCTCCCTCCGGCTGAAATTATGAATGTAAGGCATATAGTAATCATAGATAACATGGCAGGGTCCGTTACAGTTTGTTTTCATCTGATTTCAAATAAACAAAGTCTTGGCTTTCAGAATATTAAACTTGTTTCGGCAAATTTAGATGATAAATACAACTTTGAAGCTTGTAACGGCATAATTACAAGCGGAGAACGGAGTAACTTAACGTCACAGCCAGTGGCGTTTTCTCCCGGAGGCCAAGGGAAGCCAGGCTTCCCCTGTTTTTTCGGATTGTAGTTATAATTTAAATAAATAAATAAAAACACTTTGTTTTGTTTCGATAATTCTCCTTTGCTGTGTGTTGCTGCCGGCCCGTCTCTCCCCCACTCTCATTGAGTATTTTACAAAGAGTGAAACAAACAGCGTCCCTCTAGATGTTATGGTGAAACAGTAGATTGCATTCACTGTTGCGAGAGGAGGCCAGCCGAATCGGGCTTCCCTTGGTGAAAAAAAATTGAGGGATTGACCAATCAGATGAGGCCCACGTGATGCCCCTGCCAACCTGTGATTGGTCAGGGCCATGCCAAGGGAAGCCAGCCGCCTCTGGCTTCCCTTCAGAGGCGGCTGGCGGCTGGCGATTTGATTGGACATTGCCATCCAATCAAATCACATCAACATCAGTTTTACTACGTACTGTAACTGTCATCACAGCCGTTTGAAATTATCAAGCAAATGAAGCATTATGGAGGGTGGAGATTTGGCGTACTTAATCAAACATAACTTTACTAAACTTCCGCTACAGCAGCAACTACAAATTAAATCAGATGACAGGCCAATGCCCACACTCGAGCTGTGTACACAGAGGAAAAAGGGAGTGAATCGGACGTTCAATGAGGACAATTATGTCCGCACGGAGTGGCTAACTGGAAGCGCTAAACTTCAGCGTCTATTTTGCTGGCCATGTCTTCTTTTTGACAAGGATTCGTGCTCCCTGAACAATCCTTGGGCAACTTCAGGATTCATCGACCTTGCCAACCTGTCACGGGCAATTGAGAGGCACGGTAAATCCAAAAATCACATAGATTGTGCTGTTTCGGCTGGAGAGTGCGTGCGGACCTGTCGGTTAGATAACAGGCGTGTGCAAGTCCTGCATCTGTGTGATACAAATGTGTGTAAAATGATATCGGGCGCTGTAATCACTCATCTGGTTACGTTATTGACCACCCCCCCCCAACCCAAAAAAATGGGCTTCCCCTAAATGTTTCCCCACGCCACGCTACTGGTCACAGCAGGCATAACAACAGCCGGTGTTTCTCGTGAGTGTTTTTCCCGGGAAACAAACACAATATACACAAACGCAAAAATACACAAACACACACACACACATACACACACACACACTCGCAAGCTTCCCCCAGACCAGTAATCCAAACGGAAATATTTTCCCTCCGGACTATTTTGATCATTTGCTCTGCTAATAATCAATCAGATCGATGGATTCCAGAGAACAGGAAACTTTGAAGGTCTTTTTCTCAAAATGATGACTCGGTGACAGTCATTATATAATGTGACATATTTTGCTTAATATTTGGAGTACAAAAACAATCCTGATATCATTAGAAAGCTAGGAATCTCCTCTTTCCAACAGTGTATACATACAACTCAAAATGTGTCTTCGGGTCAATGCGACTGATTTCGATAGAGCAGGTCACAAATGTGAGGGGAAATCTGAGCTGTTTGTCCTACCGACGGAAGAACCACGACGAAGTCAGTGGTTGAAATGTCTGTTTAACACTGTTCCTTCAGAGGTTCGAAGAACGTTACCGTGTGCGCGGCATTTCACAGACGAAAGCTTCCAAAACATTGCCCAGTTTGAGGCCGGATATGCACTGCATTTGAAACTGAAGGACGATGCTATTCCTAGTTTGTTTGGACCGTTTGGAGCAGGGGAAGATTCGGGTACACAACCTGTAAGTTTGCATTGTTATTTGTGTATTTATCAAACAAGGTATCTACCACGACTGTTTAAATGTGTAAACGTGTTTCGGACTGCTAAGCCATTGACACAGTGCTAACTGGGCTAACTAAGTTGCTAGCGTTTCCATATATCAACTCCAATATCAGCAGATGGCCTTACGTATCTCATAGCAGGAGAATGTCTGCATTCACACACGAAATACTCATAGACAGTATACTCCGGGTGATTTACCGTACGGTCAGTCGCGAAACGTAATTACATTATAGCTGGCGTTCCTAGCGTGTATGCTACCGAGCTAAACAACGGAGCTAGACATGAGTTTGCTCGGGAAAACATTGTTGTTATGCCAGCTACAATGAATGTAGCAGACTACCCGTATAAGATTGCAATTGTAAACATGTTCTTGATAGCCTAATATGAACCACTATCTGTTGTTCATAGTATAGTATAGTATAGTATAGTATAGCATATGAACAACTGAACGTGTTTCGGACTGCTAAGCCATTGACACAGTGCTAACTGGGCTAACTAAGTACTCATAGACAGTATACTCCAGGTGATTTACCGTACGGTCAGTACATTATAGTTGGCGTTCCTGGCGTGTATGCTACCAAGCTACCGTTCATAGCGTGTATGCTACATAGCTAAACAACAAGGCTACCTAGAGCTAGACATGCTAGGGAAAACATTGTTTTCATGCCAGCTACAATGAATGACCGAACGTAGCAGACTACCTGTATAAGATTGCAATTGTAAACATGTTCTTGCTAGCGTAGACTAGCTGTTGTTCATAGTAGATTGGCATATTGCACTGAACAACTAGCAAACGTAGGTTAGCATATTAGCTGGCAAGCTAACTGTTTTGATTAGATAGATAGATTAGATAGATACACACTCCTACCACAACTACTACTAACGAATCTAAAACAACTAAGTTTCTCTAATATTTTGTGATTTGCATTTGATTTCGTCCAGCCAGATCAGGAAACTCCTGGCGTATCTGGCGGACAACACACACACGGGATGACCCACTCTGATGCCTCGTCCTAAAAAGCCCCGGCAGCCGCTTACAAAGCTGCGATAGGCAAGATGCCGAAAACGCCTATAAGGGGAGGAATGGATGATATACAGTGTATATATGTATATTTACGCATGTTCATTTTGTACATTTCTAAAAATAAATTTTGATGGAAATACTTAGTAGGCCTATCCTTTCTTCCCTGAATTATTTGCTCCTATAACATATCATTCATATATAGCAAACCATGATTTGATTTCTCATCAAACAGTAGTAGTTTATTACAGGTAAAAATAACTTACTCTTCTATAACAACAGTTGTAGGTACAGTTCGGTTAGTTAGCGTATAAAATATACGGCTGTACCGAGGCCATTATAAGACTGTTGTTCCGCTGAGAGCGAGCCGAAAAAAGCACTGTTAGACATGGGCGGAGCCTCTCTGGTGGTTGACTAATCAGAACAGAGTCGCCGAGCTGACCAATCGGAGCACACTAGGCTCACAGGGAGGGGGGGGCAAGAGCTCTAACGAGCCGTTTAGTGGAGAGAGTGAATACTGCTGAATACACATACTTTACAGAGATGCTGTATGCGAAACCAATGTGAGTTTGGAAAATTGCACAGTATTTAAATCTATTTTAGTATACCTCAACAATGGAATTATGATCAGTGGAAATGGCCATGACACCTCTCCTTTAATATTAAAATTTGAGTCAAAACATTGACACCATCTGATAAATCCTTCAGGTAAATATCATCTAATTAAGTTCACACAAAACAACCAATTATCTTGGATTATATTTATTTGCTGTTAGTTACAGCTAGAAAGTATTTTTCAATGATGAATCTGTTTGTGTTTGAATAATTTTCCTTTCAAACTATGAAGGCCTCCAGGCGTCTCTGCAGGGCAGAGTCGGCCGACAGGAGCCAGCAGTCCAGTGTCAGGGGGGGGGAAATACTGTAGTCAGCAGCATTGGCCCTGGAAAACAAAGACAAAAATAGTCATATACTTCTTATATAGATAGATAGATAGATAGATAGATAGAACAAACAGCTTTTTATTAAAACAAACTAAAACATACCTGGTAACGTCAATCTCCTGGTCTTTGATCCTAAGTTTTGTGAAGGGAATTTGTGGCACCTCCTCATAAACTGGATTCAGAGCTGGACACAGAGCGCAAACAACTAAGAAAGAAAGCTGGCCTTCAAGGACACATTGCAGCAAATGTTTGCAACTTTTAATTAATTATTTATCCACCAATCATCACTGTTGGGTGCAAATATTGATATTGTGATGTTTTGTTGAACTGATATGTATCATACAAAACATTTCATCATTTTTACCCACCTAAAATTCCTTCAGCGCTGTCCGATGACTGCTGTCTTAAAACGGGCCAGAGGAATGATTGAGTGTCCTTTCCCTGAATTAAGATGACCAAGTGTGTGTCCCCACCAGCAACATCGATTTCCTTGTCCCGCCTAATAATTGTCCAACTAGAAAAAACATTTTGCAGAGAGTTAGACAAGAACATCAGTAGCACTAGGGCGTCTGGGGTGAATTTGATCCTGCTGTTGCTCTGAGATGATCTAAGGCCAAATATGAAAAACAAGATGGCAAGATCCTGCCATTACTACGTAGAGTCACCTTCCAGCTGTGATGGGATCCTGTCCAGTGTGGTGTGTTATTCTCGATCCCTCTCTCACAGTGATTTTATTGACTTCAACATCAACATACAGGTCAGCATTGAGCTGGATGACAATCCTTCTGAAGCCTCCATTCGTTACTGAATCAAGCTCGCCGTGTACAGACAGCTCTGATACAAAAGAGAAACAATTTAACTCAACTCAATATCACACTGTTATCCTAATGCTGCGTTCACACCGGACGCGATGCGATGTTTGGGGGCGGCGCGATTACATGTAAAGTCAATGCAGAGACGTGGACAGACGCGAATTCGCTCCGACGGCGCGCATGAAGCGGTGGACGCGGCGCGAATCACGCGATTGAGGCGATTGAACGGTGCCGCGTTAAATGCGAGAGTTCAATTTTTTCAACTCGAGCGTCAAATTCATGTGACGCGTTCTCGCGGAAGCCAATCAGCGGTGAGGATCTCAACCTGCCATCACTGACGTTCAACCACACACAACATCAGCCGTTAGCTGTTAGCAGTTAGCACACAGAGCTCACAGCTCCTCATATCTGTTCAGAAACTGGACAAAAGTTAAACAAGTACAAACCACAGACTGTCTGTGCCATGGCGAATACAGTCGCTGGTTTATTTATGTCTGTAGGCCGTTGTTATGAGTGTGGAATGAACATATACAACGTTAGCTTAGCCTGGTCGACCCGATCTTCATTCAGAAAACAAGCATTTTAAAAGATTTTTCGCCTGCCGTCTTGTCTGCAGACTTGTCAAGCATTAATTCATGGTTTTTACTAACCGGTATCAGTATGTTGTTACTTCGGCATCATTTAGAAACGTGTATTACAATTTAATCATGGTAAAATATGTTCATTTTGTTGTAGTTGTAGCTCCCGAGCCAGCGCGTCTTGTTTGAATGATGTGAGTAAACACAGCTGGCAGCCGCGGTGAAATTCGAGCGTTTAGAGCGATGCGATAGGAGCGATTAGAGCGAAGCGAATATTCACATCGCGTCCGGTGTGAACGCAGCATTACTGTACACATATCTTTCAATTAAGTATACGTACCAGAACAATACAATACTCAACAATACACTCCAACACAAGTAGTCAGATCTTGGACTAAAGTAAAAGTAGAAATACTGCAGTGTAAAGATACTCTGTTACAGGTTAACCTCCTGCATTCAAAATGTTACCTAAGCAAAAGTACTACATTATTAGCAGCAAAATATATCTTTGTACCAGATCCAAAAGTACTCATTATCTAAAGCGGACATTTTCAAAATAATACATACTATTTTCCCGGATTATAATTAGTGATGCATTAATGTGTATATCATTTTAATTTTGCAGCTAGTTAAGGATGAGATAACAATTATAACTTTTGTATACTAAACTGCTTTAAGTATCCCCATACATTATAGCATATCCTAATGTATGTGTTGATTTCATTTTTTTATTGATAATATGAACCTGCAAAAGTAACTAGTAATTAAAGGGCCCATGTCATGCTTTTCCGGTTATTACCCGTCCCCCTGTGTGTTATGAAGGTTTTTATGCATGTAAACGGTGTGCAGAGTCAAAACCCTCAAAGTACACCCTGTAGCGAGTAAAACTCTAACACAGAAAATACCTCCCCAAAACGCCTCGTTGGAGATACGTCACTGCCCATTTGAGTCTTCCATTTAGTTCCGGGTACGGCATGATGTCATGCGGTACCCGGAACGAAATGGACCAATCCGAAGAGCTATGGCCACACCCAGCGGCGCTGGCCGCACCCTCTGCCAGCCTAACATTTACTGTTGGAAGCTCTGGTTCAGTTCACAATCGATCCAGTCATGCCAATGCCAAGGACCTGTTTCCTGAAATGTGAGGAGAAATCTGAGCTGTTTGTCCTACCGACGGAAGAACCACGACGAAGTCAGTGGTTGAAATTTCTTTTTAACACTGTTCCTTCAGAGGTTCGAAGAACGTTACTGTGTGCGCGACATTTCACAGACGAAAGCTTCCAAAACATTGCCCAGTTTGAGGCCGGATATGCACAGCATTTGAAACTGAAGGACGATGCTATTCCTAGTTTGTTTGGACCGTTTGGAGCAGGGGAATATTCGGGTACACAACCTGTAAGTTTGCATTGTTATTTGTGTATTTATCAAACAAGGTATCTACCACGACTGTTTAAATGTGTAAACATGTTTCGGACTGCTAAGCCAGTGCTAACTGTGCTAACTAAGTTGCTAGCGTTTCCATATCAACTCTAATATCAGCAGATGGCCTTACATACATGTATCTCATAGCAGGAGAATGTCTGCATTCACACACAAAATACTCATAGACAGTATACTCCAGGTGATTTACCGTACGGTCAGTCGCGAAACGTAATTACATTATAGCTGGCGTTCCGAGCGTGTATGCTACCGAGCTAAACAACAAGGCTACTAAGAGCTAGACATGAGTTTGCTCGGAAAAACATTGTTTTTATGCCAGCTACAATGAATGTAGCAGACTACCAACCCAGTCTCACGGCATTTCGTGTTATTAGTCACAAAATTAATTTAATCTTTTGCTTCGTGTTCACCAACACGATTTTCACATTTTTTTCGTGTCACACAGAACGATTTTAAATGCAATGTATTTCTATTGGTAGTATGTTTCGTGCCTGCAACACGTCTTTTTGTCCGGTCGGGTCTTGGAAGACCAGAAGCTGTGTGGTTCATAAAAACATGTTCTTACTCAATATCTTACCCTAAGCCTAACCCTATCCCTTTTATTTTAAATTGTATAATGTCTGAGTTTTTTTTTTTTTGCCGTCAGTGAGGAAAAGAAATGGGGCTCAGAGCCTCAGAAAACTGAAATCTGTATTTTATGTCATCTTTTTTTCCTTCTAATTTGTTATTATTTGTATTCATGACAGTTACAATGAATGACCGAACGTAGCAGACTACCCGTATAAGATTGCAATTATAAACACGTTATTGCTAGCCTAATATGAACCACTAGCTTTTGTTCATAGTAGTTTTATTACACTCCATTATAGTTGCCGTTCCTCCGAGCTAACGTTCATATCGTGTTTGCTAACAAGGTAAACAAGATAGCTAGGTTAGCATATTAGCTGGCAAGCTTACTGTGTTGATTAGATAGATGGATTAGATAGATCCACACTCCTACCACAACTACTACTAACGAATCTAAAACAACTACGTTTCTATAATATTTTGTGATTTGCATTTGATTTCGTCCAGCCAGATCCTGGCGGAAAATACATCACGGGGACGGGACTACCACACTGATGCCTCGTCCTAAAAAGCCCCGGCTGCGATAAGCAAGATGCCGACAACGGGGAGGAATGGATGATATACCGTGTATATATGTATATTTATGTTCATTTTGTACATTTCTAAAAATAAAGTTTAATGGGAATACTTAGTAGGCCTATCCTTTCTTCCCTGAATTATTTGCTCCTATAACATATCATTCATATATAGCAAACCATGATTTGATTTCTCATCAAACAGTAGTAGTTTATTACAGGTAAAAATAACTTACTCTTCTATAACAACAGTTGTAGGTACAGTTCGGTTAGTTAGCGTATAAAATATACGGCTGTACCGAAACCATTATAAGACTGATGTTCCGAGAGCGAGCCGAAAAAAGCACTGTTAGACATGGGCGGAGCCTCTCTGGTGGTTGACTAATCAGAACAGAGTGGCCGAGCTGACCAATCGGAGCACACTAGGCTCACAGGGAGGGGGGGGGCAAGAGCTCCAACGAGTCGTTTAGTGGAGAGAGTGAATACTGCTGAATACACATACTTTACAGATATGCTGTATGCGAAACCAATGTGAGTTTGGAAAATTGCACAGTATTTAAATCTATTTTAGTATACCTCAACAATGTAATTATGATCAGTGGAAATGGCCATGACATGGGCCCTTTAATGTTGTCATATCAATGTAGTGAGGTACAATATATGCTGCCAAAATGTGGGAAAGAAGTATAAAGTAACATCAAATGAAAATACTCAAGTAAAGTACATGTACCTTAAACATGCAACTAAGTACTTGAGTCAATGTACTTAGTTACTTTCCACCACTGCTAAATTGACTTGACTTTAAAGGACAGGCTTTCGAGCGGCAATGGCCGGCCGTGGCCCAACCCCACATTCCCCTGATAGGTGGAGAGTTGGCCCAATAGCCGTAGCACCACTTTACTGACGTCAGTAAAGTGTTCAAATCTGGATCAGTTTTTATCAGATCCGTTGCAGCCCCTTTTTTAGAGATTTGGGTATGGAGGAAAATAGAGAGGGTTGTGTTTTCTGACACTTGGTGAGTTCCCTGGAACACTGGGGACACATATTCATGTATAAAAGACGTACAAAAGTGCATTTTGCATGATAGGTTCCCTTTAAGTATCAAAAGTAATATACACTGTACTGCAGCCCAGTGGTACTCCCTCTGGGGAACAAAAGATGTTGTGAGACATTTATATTTAAATGAAGTAATTCTCCAGTAAACATAGACAAAGTCAAAACTGCAATATTTCCATCTGAAGTTAGTAAGAGTACTTTTAATTAAATTCTAAATAACTACAGTAGGCCCACTTGAGTGAATGTCCTTTGTTACTTCCAACCACTGCAAACTAAGGGTGATCATGGGTTACACTATACACACAAAAGGAGGAGAAAGAAATAACTGTTTTCTTTTATACGTAGGGAGAAAAAAAGCAAACTAATAGAGGTTTACGATTAGGCTTTTAAAGATATGTAAGTGAAATAGTGAAGGCACAGAGAGGAGCTTTACTGACCGCTGGTGGGATGGTGAAGTAGTTTAAGGCGAACGTCTCCAGTGACATCAAAGCAGAGTGGAAGTGACTGATTCTCAGCTTTTAGCAAAAACCGATGGGAAACAGGAACTAAAGAATAATAAAGGATAAGGAGAGTCACACAGTTGAAGGAAACATTTGTCATGAGAGTAAATAGGATGCCCTGAATTATAAACTAATTCATAATGATTGTCCAAATATGGCATGTGGTTGTGATCAGTACACTTTTGAGAGAAGGTAAATACAGCTGTGGCTGTGAAGCTCTGACTTTTAGCACTTATTTTGCTCTTAGAGTCACACATATTGAAACATCCCAGTGTAAAGCAAATTATCTTTACTATTTGGTATTTATATAAATTATTATAAATAACATCGATGAGAAACTCAACTGTTATCTTTTCCCGGCACAATGGTGGCATGAACTTCAGTAGTTGCTATGGTGGCAAAAACAACTGTAAATGACATTTAAACAAAGTTAGGTACATATCATATTTACATTACACAATTCCAGTTCACTTGGCTTAATCTAACACATAATGCACGCACACACGTGGGTTGTGATGGTTTTCAGCAGCTGACTTTGACATGTTTTTCTCAGTCTCACATGATTTGAAGAAAAAAAACTAATACAATTAGTTTGCTATTTTGTTTAAACAAGTGACATGTAATGTTTTCATATAAATTCTACTATGAATGATATCTTTGAAAAACTCAACTGTTAGGTAGTAGCATTGCAGACTCTTCAAGAGCTTCCATATCGTCGATAACAAGTGAATCCATATCTAAATAAAATACATTTAAACAAATTCAGTTACATATCGATGTGTGACAATTTTAAGGATGTTAATTGAAGAGAAAAGTGGGTTAATTGACACCCCTAATCTGACACCCAACATCAGCCTCAAAACAAACCACTGAATAAACACATTGTCCAGCCTGTGTGAAGCTGACATGAAACAACATACAGCATACATTCTGAGAAAATCGTCTCATTCCGTGCTTGTGTTTAACCAAAATGAGCAGAAAAACTCTGGTAATGCACTGCCTGAAGGATTTTTAGGTTGGTCTGTTTAAAAGGAACAAATGATAAAGATAAAATTATTTCACAAATTACAAAACAGCTGTTAATTTACTTTGAAATACTCAAGCATGTACATCCCACAGAGTTTTTAATATTCATCAAAGAAACCAGAGTTTTTCTGATCATTTTTTTTTTGTTTTTGTTTAAATGTTTTACTAATTAAAAAGAATGTATGCTTTATTTACGTTATATAATAATATTAACATTAAAATCAAATCAGGTCAGAGTAGTTCAAATGCTTTCTTACAGTCCATCCCACCATCGTCATCTGTTAAAATGAAAAAGATGATAAAGTAAAAGTTATGATACAAATTGCAATACAGCTGTTAATTTATGTAAAATGTATATAATTATATTTTATAATAATTCATGTCAGAACAGTGCAAATGAGTTCTTACATGACTCGTATGCTGTGAAAAAATACAAGATGAAACAAATGAAGTTATGATGCAAACTACCATACAGCTGATCAGTTACTTTGAAATAGTAAAGCATGCATCCTCCTCCACCCTCAGTTATTGACATCAAATGAACTAGAGTGCTTCTTCTCATTTTTAACATAATGAAAAAAAACATTTTGTCATGTTTAAAAATGTACGCTGTTTTCATGTTATGTTATGTCATCTTTTCATAATTTTATTGATTAATAATTAATAGTGTTAGAATGAAAAGGTGAAATTGTATCTTACATGTCCTGTCAAAAAGAAAGAAATTATAAAGTGAAGTAAATATTCAGTTGTTAGTTTACTTTGAAAAAGGACACTAATTGTTTTAAAATATTGTCAAGATTAGCATCTGTTTCTTGTTCATTTTTTAGTCGTGATTTCTTTTTTTCTAAAGCTTATTTATGCAAAAGTGTATGAAGTACAGTATATTATTAATTGGTCCAAATTACCTGGTACAGCTTGTGGTGCTGTTAAAAAGAAAAAAATTATAACAGATTCAAAAAAATAAATAGTTAATAAGACACTCTTAAGACAAAATGTATGTTATTCGTTAAAATACATCATATTATTAATTAATCAATATTTTGTCTGTTATGTCCAATTCAGATGTATGTCTTACCTGAGTTATACATCACACTGTCCGCTGTAAAGACAAAAAAACAATGACAAATATTAACATACAGTTATTTACTATAAAAAAATATACGTCCAGTTTTTACCAAGGTACCCAGGGGGCTAAGTCATTTTACAGACATGGAATGTTGTAAAATGGTTGTAAAATGGTCCCCTATAAGTGCTTTGACAAAAAATACATACAAACATTTCATCTGTGGAAGCCGTAATACTGTAAAAAGTATGACCAATCATTTTAGCCGGCCCGGCTAAAATAACTGGATGGCCTACTTGCCTGTCAGCCTTCCATCTGTGCACAAACTTATCTCGTGCCCTCATTGGTCATGTGCACGTTCGTGTGTGTTGGAGGAGGGGCTCTGTAAGGAAGTGGCAGATTTTCTCCGGTTGTGTATTTTCAAATTCTTGCGATCTCGAGCCGGTTTCTCAAACTTACCTACCCTACCTTTAATGTCAAATCAATACCCTTTTATTATTTGTGCAAATTAATGTCTTTGTTCTTGTGAAAAATATCCTATTTTGATCATGAAATAAACAAAATTCCTGGTGGCAAAACATTTATTTCACTTTCACATACTCTCTTCTTAGTTATTAACAAAAAACATATTAGTCTGCAAATAATCAGTAGATATACTCTTAAGACAAAATGTATGTTATTCATTCAAATACATCATATTATTAATTAATCAATATTTTGTCTGTTATGTCCAATTCAGATGTATGTCTTACCTGACTTATACATCACACTGCCCGCTGTAAAGACAACAAAACAATGACAAATATTAACATACAGTTATTTACTATAAAAAAATATACGTCCAGTTTTTACCAAGGTACCCAGGGGGCTAAGTCATTTTACAGACATGGAATGTTGTAAAATGTTGTACACCAGAAATTATATCTATGACCTTCAAGGATCACAACCTGGGTGGACAACCCGGTCAATAGCTACTGGAAAGCTACAGTGAGGGTCCAAACAATGCAACCCCAATATGAAAAAAAGTCAACAATTCTGGCTGGATCAGATGCCATCATTCTCTTTCTGATTGAATATCTCTGTGACAGTTCATGGTAAAGACAAACTGAGTGAAACCTGTTGAAAGAGCAGAAAATAAGCTTTCGGGTGATGCCTTGGTTAAGCATGTTCTCAATAAGGCCACTAGATGGCACTGTGCCTTTTTTGTCTCTCCAAAGCGAAATCCATTTCAAGCAATGCACTTGTGGTCCTCTGGATTGTTTGCTGTGTTCAAAATGGGTAAATATACTTAAAAGATTATTTCTATAACATATTGAAGTTTTTCAGTATTTTTTCAGACTGGAAAGCTACAGGCAGCGAAATTCAAAATGGCCGCCACTTTCTTTGCAAAACCCTTTAATTGAAGGTTTTATATGTTATAGGACAAGGCAAACTGAGTTAAACTTATCTGGAAGTTGACATTAAGTTCAACTTAAAGGTAGGGTAGGTAAGTTTGAGAAACCGGCTCGAGATACACTTTTTGTTATATTCCATGGAATGCTCTTAACATCCCGATAGCAATGAATATCTTAAAGTGGACCTATCATGCTATATTTAAATGATATATTGTAGGGCCATACCTATATAAGGTATATTTATACGTTTCTGTTTTCAAAATACCAAACAGATCATGCATTTTAGCCATGCCTCATTTCGCTCTATGTGCTGTTTGCTGTCTACGGGTCTGATTCTGCTGACCACGCCCCCCTGCAGGAGAGGTGAGCCGTGCTCTGATCAGCTGCTGGGCTGTCAGAAGAGGGGGATAAAAAGAGATCTCCGTCCTCCGTGTTTTATTATATAGAGTCGTTATTCATTTGTTTTAAAGCTCAATAAATAACAAAGAAGACCTTTGACCGGCACTTTTCTAATTTTGTCCGGAAGATTTAAACTTTAACGGACATCTTGACCGGCGAAAAAGACTGAAACTGAAACTCTGCCGCGCGGTCCCCTCGTTCCTTGGAAAAGGCGGAGAGGTGGGTGTTTGTCATCTGCTGGTGGACTAACCGGAGAGAATTACAGTGCTTGCCTCGACGGGGAGGGATTGCATTGAATTAAAGCAGCGGGAGCAAACGCTTGCCTCGGGGAGGGAGAAAAAAAGCCACAGCGGAGAATAAACAGAAGGGTAACCATGGTAACTATGGGCGGGAAGTCTTCTTCGCTGCTTTTGTGGCAGACTACAGCGCCACTTACAGGCCTGGCATATGTACTACAGCGTCTCCAGCGCTTTCAAGCGGCAATGGCCGGCTGTGGCCCAACCCCACATTACCCTGATAGGTGGAGAGTTGGCCCAATAGCCGTAGCGCCACTTCTGTGACGACATAGAAGTGTTCAAATCTGGATCAGTCTGTATCAGATCCGTTGTAGCCCCTTTTTTAGAGATTTGGGTATGGAGGAAAATAGAGAGGGTTGTGTTTTCTGACACTTGGTGAGTTCCCTGGAACACCGGGGACACATATTCATGTATAAAAGACGTACAAAAGTGCATTTTGCATGATAGGTCCCCTTTAAGTGCTTTGACAAAAAATACATACAAACATTTCATCTGTGGAAGCCGTAATACTGTAAAAAGTACGACCAATCATTTTAGCCGGCCCGGCTAAAATAACTGGATGGCCTACTTGCCTGTCAGCCTTCCATCTGTGCACAAACTTATCTCGTGCCCTCATTGGTCATGTGCGCGTTCGTGTGTGTTGGAGGAGGGTCTCTGTAAGGAAGTGGCAGATTTTCTCCGGTTGTGTATTTTCAAATTCTAGCGATCTCGAGCCGGTTTCTCAAACTTACCTACCCCACCTTTAATCAAATGATAATTATTATATATATTGATGAAATGAATAATACTGTACAACTGATTTACAAATTATTAGGGATGCTCCGATCAGGGTTTTTGGGGCCGAATCAGAATCGGCCGATACCGATCGCCGATCCAATCATAGGGTGGGTGGGGGCTATGGGGATCTTCCATTTAAAGTGTTGTATTGTGAATTGTGTAGCAGAGTTTCCGTTAGCCGGTAATTACCGGACTATGACCGGTAATATGCTGATGTTTAGAAACTCAGTTAATGGGGCTCATTTTTATATTGCTTCAGTTTATAATCGTAACAGATCGAAAAGTTCCGATTGATTTTTCAATAAATGATGCGCTTCCACACACAACAAACAACATAATTATTACATTCAAATGAAGTACATTATTCAAGTTTACATTAACTTTGGATAATAACACGGGAGAAATGAGCGGAAACGCCTTCTTTTCCTCTCTCCCTCCCTCTCTCTCTCTCCTGACAGCCCGTCAGTATCGTCTCATGCAGCTCACTGATCCAGTAATGAGTGACCCGACAGTGAAGAATAAACATATTTATAACTAGTTTAGCTTGTTCCAGAGGTAGATAAACTAGCGAAGTTTGTTAGGTCTAACTTGAAGTGTGTGTTTTGCTCCGCTCACCGGTCCGTCACAGCGGGCGGAGCTGCAGGATTTATGCTTCACACACGTTGCATACCATTACTTTATTGTCTTTTTCGGACACCTTAAAAAACTGCCAGACTGTGAAGCCATTTTGGCGAGCTTGTTTTGCCGCCACAGAGAAAAGTGTCATGTATTTTGCGTCATCTGATCGGCTCTCCTGATCGGCATTTATAGAGACCACCGATCCCACTATTAAGGGTGAAAATCTTTATTATATTATTAATTGGTCCAAATTACCTGGTAAAGCTTGTGGAACTGTTAAAAATAAAAAGATGATAACATAAATTCTCAAAAACATTTGTTAACTTAATTTTAAATATTCTTGCTTTGTAGATACGTTTTCAGTTTCCTGCTTTGTCAGTTTTTAATATACAGTAAACAACAACATTTTATTCAGTAAACATATTAGTCTGCAAATAATCAGTAGATTTACTCTTAAGACAAAATGTATGTTATTCATTCAAATACATCATATTATTAATTAATCAATATTGTAATCTGTTATGTCCAATTCAGATGTATGTCTTACCTGAGGTATGCATCACACTGCCCGCTGTAAAGACAAAAAACAATGACAAAATAATTTTTTTTTGGATGTTAACAAATGAGCTTGCATTGCTGTAAAATGTTCATGTCAGGATCCTCTTATCAAAACCATTATAAATCACTTAAATCATCTCTTCTGTTGCAATACACTAGTATAAACAATTAATGGTAATATTAAATTACCTGAATAAGAAACAAATTTACCAACCTTTACGTTAATCAAATAAATAAATGATGGTGGATTATTTTAACAAAAAATGTATGTTCAGTTCTTTAAATGATATCTATCAATGGCATGCAAGCGCTACCCACAACCTGCCAATAAGGAATCCTTATCAAATCTAGTAACTGTATTTATACATAGTGAATACACCACCTTTTATCAAATCATGCTGTTTAGACTGACTAGATATAATAAATTGCTCTGAGAACGAAGTCTTGACACTGGATTTTGCATCCTGTTTGCTTTATTCACATTGGGTTGCTTACAAGAACCTATATTTGGATGCCTTGACCCTGTCTGTGGGGCTTCTCCTTCCTTGGGTTTGTGGAGCACTTCGGTGTCCCCTCCCTCAGGCTTGGTGACCACCATGGATGTGAGTGGAGTTACAAAGCTGTACTTCAGCGACAGCTCCAAGGCCTCTCTCTTCACGTTCTCCTTCTCAGCTCCAGATAACAGCAGCCTGCGTCACAAATTGTGTTTACACATGTGAGTTGGCATGACAGTATGATTATTGTAAATGACGTAACAAAGTTGCCTTAATTAAAAAGAATAACATAATTAATTAAATTCAATAAATAAAGACTTTATTTCATGTAATATTATAATCTTTAAAATATGGCATGATTTAATACAGTTTAGTTTTATATGTTACACCAATATGCTTGAGTGTTTGTTGTTTCTTGTGCCTAGTGTTTTGTTGATGCACTGGACAACTCAACGTGGGTTGATGTCTTTTATTGAAGCTCTGCTGCAGTCCGTGACAAAGTTATTCAGAAAAGGAACTTTAAAGATGAATCTCCTTTCACAACAAACGGCCAACGAGCTATTTGTTTTATGTTTTCATTTATATATTTTCATTCATATATGTGTAGCACACTATGCTAATGTGTTTGGCTATGTATATGTGTTATTCGTTGTTGTAGTTCTCACGGCGTAACGGAAGAAGGGAGGCTACAAGATTAAACGCCAAGAATAAACGCCCGTTTCAAAGAACCGACCTGTGTCTGTGTAGTGAAGAGAGCTACAATTATTATAACTTTATGTTTTGCTAATGTTGTTGTTTTTTGGCTTCACCTACAAGTAATGTTCCCACATACATTTTACCACAGTTTTAGTCAACTTTTTTCTTTTGGCAACAAGTGCTGAAAAGATTTTTGATGATAGTTGATCAATCATGTCAGTGTTAGCATTAATGTAAAGGAGCTATCACTATGTTTGATAAAATCATCGTAATTTCTTTCCACTGCAATCGACTAGAAATGAGAAGTATTTTTCGTTTACTTTACCTGTGGTATCTATAATTAATATACCGTGTATTTTGAAGTTAAACCATTACAAGTTGCATGTTTGCCTTGTCTTTGTGGCCCACCTATGTACTGTTAGTATATGTATAAACACTGACTGTTACATTATCGTTTTCAATTTAGATATTTATATGAGGTAAAGCAAAATGTCTGATTTAATTTACTGCTGCTCGTTTTCCATTGTATTGTTAACTTTATGTGTGTTTACTCTGATCTATACCTTGCATTTGAGTTTTGAAGTTTAATGTATGGACTGGGTACAGCTGCAAATTAATTGCAAGTAGATAAATACATTTGTCTGAATCTAAGGAGGAGGCAGCAAGAAAAAATGATGGTTGACATGACACTCACTCTTTCTCCAGAAGCTGTTTGACCGTGAGATAGGCCCAAACCCTCTGGATTTGGTCGGCAGACTCTGTTCCAGTGGACTCCACGGTGCCGTTGGGGTTTGAAAACGTCATCTTTTTACTGCTCTGTCATAGTCCAAATGAAGTATTATGTCAGCATATACTGTACACAGGAACATTTCAATAACCTTTCAGAAGATTATTATTATTATTATCATTATTATTATTATTATTATTACAGATGGTGTGCAGTGCGAAGCAATTCTTACCGAAATTGCCACGACTTGTGGAGTGAAGGTTCCAATGTCGTTGTCAGTGATCTTACCGGCAACCACAATCTCTGATCCGTTATAATACTGGCTGAATTCAGTCTGCGTCAGATTGGTGCCACCATTATAGCTCATAGTCACATCGATCAAAAGAGGAGTGGCCACCTCTTCATAGAAACCCTGTTGACATGCAGTATGGACAATGTATAAATGTTTACTTCTCCACATCCAACCGTTATCATTTTCTCTATGGAAATGCATCAAATAACATTGTCACATTTACAATAACAGCAACTGATCGCAAATACCTTCAGCTGTAAATCAGCATCAGAGTCTTCATAAATCCGTCGTGCCACACCATTGTTCTGCAGCGACATCTTCTCAAGAAACTCAAAATTGACATCAAAACCAAAACCGAGACAGTAGAGTGGGAATTCGTCCGCAATAGCCACCCTGACATTTGACTGGATTTGTTCAAGATTTGTCACCCCTGCAAAGAGAAAGGACATTCGGCTAAATAAGACCAATCCACTCAGACTTTCCAATCCAACAACTATCAGTTATCGATGGTGAGGGTGCACATTTCTTAAAGTTAATTGTAAATATACTTGACGTTATTTGTGTTTTAATTTCCATGATGTTCAATATCCCACAAGAGTAGGTTATAGCTTGGTGACAGGAGAGGATATGGAGAAAATGACTGCAGGGGAATCATTTTTAAAATGATGGACTGTGTCACATGGGTCCTTATAAAACATGTTTGAAGTATTTGCTCGTGTTTATGTGCAAGAGTGTTTAATTGTTACCTGATGTTGGGTCTCCATCAGTGAGAAGAATGAGGATGGATGCTGAATCTTCTCTCGGATGTGCGTTGAGCAAACTGGCTCCTTCCAACACTGCACTGTTGATGTTTGTGGCTAAAAAAACAAACTATTGTATCACAACCGTTCTGCTGGGATATGTTTTCATCCCTTCATAATATTTTAACTAAAAACCTTACCTCCACTTTCTCTAATATTCCTTGAAAATATCTTGGCACTCTCCAGGTTTCGCTGGTTGGCTTGAACAAGTTCTCGTTTCCAGTAAGAAATGCTGCCATCAAAAGTGATAAGACCAAAGTGGTCATCCTCTGACAGGTCATTCAAGATGTGGATTAAGGCTAACCGGGTCTGTGCAAAAAACATAATTGACAATTCAAAACTTTTATTCCAGTATAAAACAATGTTGTGTTTCATTTGTGCCTATGTATATAATAAAGAGTTCTGTCTTACTGAAATGAGCAATATGTCACAAACTCACACTCTTCAATTACTTTACCTGTTGCATTTTTTTGCCGTGCATTGAGCCACTTCGATCGATCAAGAAGACAACATTTTTTGATATGCGGGTAAGACTAGATGGGGCAAAGTGATGAACAAAGTACCCGGCTGAAGTCTTTGAGGAAGAAAGAAGAAAGTTTGATTGTGACAAAATATTGTTGAACCAACAGGGGATGGTAAAATATATTTTTATTTCAGTATGTATAGTGGTTTTTTAAAATAAATAATAGACCATTTAAAGTTTTCCAGAAAATGAACTATTGCTTTACCTTAATGTCTCCCAGTCCACTGTCCCTATTGACATCGTAAACAATAACCAGATCTCCATTCAGTCCCTGCTCTCCACAGCTGGTACACGTTTTCTGTTGGTCTTCTGTTGGGTAGAAGTTCACCCACACCTGGAAACAGGAAGGAGAAGGTTTTTACAGACTTTTTGTTGACACAGAAGTTGATGAGCAGGTTTTATTCTTCAAAGAATCCTCTGCCTCTTGTTAAATGTGATAAGACTGAAATCGAATCACTGCATCACACTACTGGAACAACAATATGCAGTTTGAGATCAAACCAGAAAGAGAAAACTGTTGAAAAAGTGCGACAGTAGATCTATAAAAAAAGAAAAGTATGAGCCATATGACAGAATGTACATTGCCATTACTGTATATATGTAGCTAAATGGTTAAATATAAATCATAATAAAGTCAAATCTGAGTTAAATACAAAAGTTCTAATCACTGCTAAATCCCAATTTGGGACATTTAAAAGATTTCCCAAATTGGGATCAATAAAGTTCTATCTTATCTTATCTTATGATGTACCTCATTGTCTGCATGTGTTTTGTTGATGGCATCAGCCAGGGCTAGTCCTCCTTTAACCTCAACGATATTGATGCCAGATTCCTCGTGAATGTGCACATCAACCTGACAGAATTACATACATTAAAATAGTTAGAAGTAGTGAACATACAAAAATGTTTTGCTGCACTATTGTTTTCAAGAATAGATCAAGGGAGACTCACTTTAAAGCTTTTCACAGGCTGCATGGGTCGAGCGTGGATTTGCAGCTCGTACTTTCCAAGCCTGCGTTTCAGCAGCTCCTCATATGTGAGTTCAAAGGTGACCTTTTTGTGAGCAGCCACAGTCACAGAGGTCTTAAATTCCTCCAGGGTCCTCCCTACAGAACTGCAATGAGATGATCAACTTTGCATTAAAACAGTGGTTTCCCCCTCAGTCTTGTGTACAATTTAAACCAAAATAATACCTATATTTATAAACCCTAATCACAGGTTATGACACTATTGTGGGTTTAACATTAGATCAACCAAAGGTGAATATTTACTTCTCAGATTGTTACATTTGAAAGACTTTACAGCAATGATGTTTAACAAATTCTCCATAAAAATGCAAACATTTAAGTCATGCAAAAATATGTTTTTTCCCTCGTTCTCGGGAGTACACACACATACCATTTAAAATATCTGTCAAAAAATGTATCCAATGTACCTGACAAGTCCGGCACTTTGTCCGCGGGACACAGCCTCAGTGTACTGCTGCCTGGCTTTCTCTTTACCTTTCACAATGCCATCGTACACTTGGCCATCAATAAACCTGAAGAAGACCAAGGGAAATGTGTTGTTTATATGCATACTCTTTAGTAGCCTGAGATTTATCATTTTATTCTGTGATGTAAAATCATTTCTGTGCAAATTCCTGTAAACATGTTTGCTTAACACACATTCTGAATTTGCTGATGAAGGCGTTCTTGGGAATCCGGACGTGGAACTCGATCTCCTTTGACTCGTCCATACGATTGGCCATGCGGCTCGTGATGACAGTGGTTGCATAACGACTGGTCACTGTAGAGTTGATGTGAAAGCTGTAGATGTCCCAGTTGTCCTAAACAAATACAGCAGGAGGAACATTTCACAATAAATGAAATGGCTTGGTTAATCACGTTGGCTGAAGACCAGCTGACCAAAGATCAGGTCATGGTGAAAATCAAATAGTGGATGGCATCATAAAGGTCTTGTTGGGCTAACTGCAGAATCACCCCGCTCTTGTTCTTATTTCGTCTTTTTGTTTTGATTACACATCACAACAATCATGAACAACATCAAATGCTCAAAATGTGACCCCCAATGTGACTGTGTTCACATATTTACTGCCCAACAGTATGAGTAATACACATTCACACCAGCCAATAGGGGTGCTAGGGCGCCGCCCCAACTCTTCCCACATTCTAGATTGTCATTAAAAAATACTTTAATTTGATGATTTTTGTATGTATATTTTTTTAATTAACAAGATAAATATTATATAGTCAGTAAAATGTATGATCTACAATAAAATATTGATTGAAATTGTGTTACGAAGAAAGGGGTGGGGGTGGGGTGTCTAAAGTCAAAGATGAGTCTTGATTGGGCCAAATTTGACCCAGAGTCACCCACAACATTTCAATGCACTGCTGGGGCTTCGAACACCAAAATATACACTTTTTTTGAGAGAGAACTTCAGACTTGGCTAAAATGGTCAAAATCAGTTTTGCTATGTTAATATAGTTGTTGTGGAGGTCATCATGAAGCCTTTTTCTGATAAAAAGAACTAGAGGGTAGATATTATACAATTGTTGCTTGAAACGGGTCACGGCAGACCAACACACAACACAAGGGTTAAGCACATATCTGAAAAAACTAAAAAGTATGAACAAACTAGAGTCCACATGGAAATTGCTATGCGACTTGCTATGTTTGGGAAATTAAACATAGCTGTCCAACTCAATGAAAGCTACAGGAAAAGAGATCAGTAAGCATAATAAGGAGGTTCTTATTCCCTTCTCAAATAGTAGACTGTATCAAGTTCTGTGGTTCTTTTGAGCTAGCCCTGCGTTGTAATATGACATATGTTTTTACTTTGTGTAAAAGTTTGCTTACATTTTGGTATAGCCCCCCTTGGAGAAGAAAACAGCCACCACTGATTAATTCAATTACAAAAAAATCCCTAGATGTTCCTACTTAATAAATGTATTCAATAGATTAAGTTTCATTGCAGTGGCATGCTCTGTTCTATTAGGTTTTGTGTCCTCACCTTGTTCGGTTGTGTCGCAGCCAAAGCCAGCAGCAGCCCAAAGAGGGTGATTTGCAGCACAGCTCTCTCCATGATGGCTCCCACCAGAATGAAATGCTCGTAGATCAAACTGTCTTTTGAACTTAAACAGACAAGGACAACATGATGTGTACACAGCCGTTTAAAAGGTCAAACTCCTCTTTCTCTCTCTTGTATCAACATCTCCCACACACATGCTCCCCCCCCCACACACACACCGCATTTTTATGCGGACGACACCGTGATGTATTGTGCAGGTCCCTCCATTAAGGAGGCTGTTGTTAAATTACAGGCTGTTTTTAATATTAAAATACACTGTAAAAACAGTTCCGATGGTGAAGTCAAAAAAACTCAATTTTTTTATGTAATTTACTTGCCCTAAATTAGTTTTTTTTCAATGTGCGTTTAAATAAGTAACACTTAAGCAACAATGAGAACATGTTTTAAGAACTCATTAATTTGTAAATTAATATCACAACTTTCTTTAAAAATACGTTTTGGAAAACGTAATAAAAATGCTTTTTGTCAACGCCACGGTCTATGCCAGCGCGTCTTGTTTGAATGATGCGAGTAAACACAGCTGGCAGCCGCGGTGAAACTCCAGCGTTTATGCTGCGTTCACACCGGACGCGATGCGATGTTTGGGGGCGGCGCGATTACATGTAAAGTCAATGCAGAGACGCGGACAGACGCGAATTCGCTCCGACGGTGCGCATGAAGCGGTGGATGCGGCGCGAATCACGCGATTGAGGCGATTGAACAGAGCCGCGTTAAACGCGAGAGTTCAATTTTTTCAACTCGAGCGTCAAATTCACGTGACGCGTTCTCGCGGAAGCCAATCAGCGGTGAGGATCTCAGCCGCCGTCACTGACGTTCAACCACACAACATCAGCCGTTAGCTGTTAGCAGTTAGCACACAGAGCTCACAGCTCCTCATATATGTTCAGAAACTGGACAAAAGTTAAACAAGTACAAACCACAGACTGTCTGTGTCATGGCGAATACAGTCGCTGCTTTATTTATGTCTGTAGGCCGTTGTTATGAGTGTGGAATGAGCATATACAACGTTAGCTTAGCCTGGTCGACCCGATCTTCATTCAGAAAACAAGCATTTTAAAAGGTGTTTTGCCTGCCGTCTTGTCTGCAGACTTGTCAAAGCATTAATTCATGGTTGTTACTAACCGGTATCAGTATGTTGTTACTTCGGCATCATTTAGAAACGTGTATTACAATTTAATCACGGTAAAATATGTTCATTTGTTGTAGTTGTAGCTCCCGAGCCAGCGCGTCTTGTTTGAATGATGCGAGTAAACACAGCTGGCAGCCGCGGTGAAACTCCAGCGTTTAGAGCGATGCGATAGGAGCGGTTAGAGCGAAGCGAATAGTCGCATCGCGTCCGGTGTGAACGCAGCATAACAGTTCATGAGCGTGCTCCCCCGCCCCCTGTCAACACTCGCGACACATGAGTGGCCAGCCTAAACAACAATAAGCGCTGCTTGGCAACCGTGTGTGGCGGCAAAGTATATAGACATTTTGACAGGAGAGATTTAGTTCAACATATTTTACCAGTCATAGTCCGGTAATTATTTACACTCTAAGAAGAGTCCTACACAACAGACATGGCGTCAAAAGGAGTAATGTGTGGAAATATTTCGACCAGGTTAGTAAGTGCGGTGTAGAGTGCAAACTATGCCAAATTAAACTTATATATATACATACTATACCTTGCTATACCCGCAAACTCCGTTCCAGCTGAGAGGGTCTTCTCTACAGCTGGCCTGATTGTGAATCGCCTCCGCACATGAAAGCTGTAGGCCTATAGCTGTCAAACTGTGATCACCAGTTCAATACATTTGACAAATTCGACTTGGTTTCTATACTTATTTGAACATGTATTTATTTATTTCCAAAAGTTATTGAATATGGGATATGTACATTTCGGTTAACCGGTTAACCGTTTTTTGGGGGGTCGAATATTCGAATATACATTTGCTTTCAAATTCCCATCCCTACTTTATATACATCTCTGAGCATGAGGTGGGGTTAAAAAGAAGTAGTTGGACATTTTATGAACTATATCAATATCATGACTATTTGGTTCATTTTCTTGCAAACCAGCCTTTTTTTGATGGCTTAAACCCCTTGTAATGCATGTGAATAGCACCTCTGTTACCGTCTGTTAACAGCTAATGTAAACTGGCTCGTTATGTTTTCAAGACGGATTTGATTTTTGTTTTGAGGAAAACACATGGTGTGTCCTGATTTGTACTCAATTTAGTGTTTTATTTGTATTTACAGGGAACAGCAGAGGTCGAAGTGCAACAGGCTTGTGATGCACAGCATGAAGTTATACATTGCCCAAGAGCCAGATGCAGTTATAACCATCAAGTAATAACCATGTGTCTCCATGTATGTTAATGTGTTGTGCTTTTAAACAAACTTGTTACTCTTTTATGACAACTGTTTTGAAATAATCAAATTTTAATAAAATGTATTAACATGTCCATAACGTTCCCTTTTTAAATGTATTTGTTTAATCTGCAATGTTTCAATGCTATCAAATATTTAAAGGGTTGGATTGAAATCAGGAAGAGTTTGTCGTATATAGGTTCCGGCAACTCAATTGTGTTTTATAATTTACTTTATTCTCGTGTGGTTCTTAGCAGATTGTTATTTGCATTGGTTACACTTAATATCTGGGCTTTTAATTGTAGGCTCATCTCATCTTTTCATATGCAGAAAAAATCACATTAGTGAGTTTACCCTACTCCTATAATTGCTTGGAACCACTTGACACATATTTTTTAAGTTTTAGCAAAGTAACACATTCGTGAGTAGAGGAAAACTAAAAAAAGTACATTTCACCAACTCAAAAATTGCAAAAGTTGACTAAACTCTTAAAATTGCTTGGAATCACTTGACACATATTTTTAAAGTTTTACCAAAGCAACAGTTTTTACAGTGTAAGCTTCTTTTAAATGTTGATAAAACCAAGGTAATGCTATTTTCAAAAGCCAAAAAGACACCGGAGACCACTTTGGATATTGTTACTACGCAAGGAAAAGTAATTGAAGTGGTTGTCTGTTATAAATACTTTGGTATCTGGCTTGATGATTGCCTCTCTTTTAAACTTCAGGTCAATAATCTGCTTAGAAAGCTGAGGGTGAAGCTAGGTTTCCTTTTCAGAAACAAGTCCTGTTTCTCGCTTGAGGCCAGGAAAAGGCTAGTCACTGTGACTTTTTTACCTGTGCTGGACTATGGGGATCTGATCTATATGAATGCACCTGCCCATTACCTGCTCAAGTTAGATGCCGCCTATCACAGTGCGCTGAGATTTGTTACAAACTGTAAAGTACTTACTCATCACTGTACCCTGTATGCCAGGGCCGGTTTGCCTTCACTAACTGTACGGAGGCTCAGTCATTGGCATGGGCGTAATTTCCACTGGGGACAGGAGGGACATGTCCCCCCCATTTTTTTAAATCCCATTTTTGTCCCCCCCACTTTTTAAATGTGTTTATTATTTATTTTTTACGCAAGCGGTCATCGTCACGGAGGATTGGGTTGTTGTTAGCATCTGGTGCTAGCTCGGAGCTAACGGAGAATTGGAAGATGTTTCAACAATAAGGAGAGGGAGAGCTCTCTCCTGTCGGACTGAGAGAGATAACGCTCAGGGAGGTAAAGAACTCGCTGAGCGATTAGATTGTAAACTTTAGTCTAGTTATCTCAGTGGGTCTCAAACGGTTTGGTCATCTATGTAAACAAATATTTCCATCTATGTAATATTAGTTGTATATAAAATAAGTTAAGAAATCCTTCCAATGTGTACTATCTATAGGTCAGTACAAAAATAAAAAAACACAGTTTCAAAGGGGAGTGATTAGTCAAATATGCATAAATAAAAAGAAAGAAAGCAGACTAGGTAAGATAAAGATATAGAGAGGAGTTTATCAATGATTTGTTATTGCTTGTGAGCATATTCTAATGTTTTTTGGAGTATTGAAATATATACAGTTCTGTTTGATATGAGTGTTGAGAACTGTATCCATACATCTCTTCATTTGTGCACCAGATTGATGCATTTACCTTCGATTTAAAGAAAACAAATCTTCCCGGGGTGCATGCCCCGGGACCCCCCTAGAGGATGTGAGGTCATCACAAATAAAACAGGTTCACATGGATAGGATACTAGATAAGTGTGCACACTCATTATATACACTACACATTTTTCTTGGATTTGTTAACACTATAGTCCCTAATATATTTGTAGAAAGGCAGGAAATTAAATTAAATTGAGAACATTTTTCATTACGGAGGACCCCCTGTTTTGTGTCCCCCCCACTTCTCAAACCAAAGTTACACCCTTGGTCATTGGTACATGTTTATCTATAAAGCCATGTTGGGTAAACTACCAACTTATATCTGCTCTTTGATCTCACAGAGAGTGGCAAGTATCTATTGCCTGAGATCCCAGGATGTGTTTTTTTACATGTGCCAAGTGCTAGGACTGTTTTAGGTACAAAAGCTTTTATGTGCGCTGCTCCTCTAGCTTGGAACACTATGCCATTTCTTTTTAAACTGAGCATTTTGGTTCCCCTGCATCATTTTAAAGCTCGGATAGATGTCATTGTCATTTCATTTCATTTCAAACCTTTATTTATTCAGGTTGTATCCCATTGAGATCATTGACCTCTTTTTCAAGGGAGACCTGCTCAAGTAGGTTCCACATGAAACATTAAAAACATAAACAGAACAACAAAAGGACATCATACAGTAGCATTACAGGGATTACAAATTACATACTATCCACATGCACAGGTACCAACAGCTTCCGATTCAGTAGCATCCAACCGAGCTTTAAAAACATTTAGTGGCACCAGATTGCTCAGTTTCCATTTTAATTGCAGACTATTCCAGGACAGTGGAGCTGCGCATCTAAATGCTATTTTCCCTAAGACAGTCCTAGCAGTTGGCACATTTAATAAAACCACAGCATGCGATCTCAGGCAGTAGCCACTTATAGTTCGCCGTGTGATCAGGGAGCCGATGTAGGATGGAAGTTTCCCTAACATGGCTTTATATATAAAAATGTACCAGTG